TAGCTATCTATTTTTTAACTTGTTTAAATTCTCCCGATAATTTTGGTGTAAATAAGAAAAGGATTTCAAAAAAGCGATTATATCTTCTATTAAGTGAATTTTAACAAAATCAGGTATTTTATTATCTATGCAGTCTTCTCAATTTCTCTTGTTTCTTTATCTTATAGGCAATTATTATTGGATATTACTTTCTGTAAATAACTTTGGGTTTCTTTGAGTATTTGCTTAAAGGCTTAAGATATTTATAATATTTTTAGAGTATCTTAATAATTTGAAACAATTAGGTGAGTTTATAATTATTCACAATAAATGCAGAATGAGATTTCTAAGTTACACAATAATTTTAGTGTGAAACATTTTGTAATTAATTCCTTCTTATTTGATTTTTGATTTCAATTTTTTCTAATTTAAAACAAATATTTTTATGTAAATTGTTAATATATTATAATTCTTTAAATACTCTAAATTTTATTTTCGAGTTCTTTTGAGATTTAACCAATAATTGTTCAAGTAACTTTTTTCATTGTTTCTATAATTAAGTGTTCTTAAGAATAGTAAGAATAATGTTCTATTTTAATTCATAAAATAGTTATATAAATAGAATAATAAAGAATTTTTGAATATTTGTTTAAATTTTCCCTATATATAATAAAATCATAATCAGACCATAATTCCAAAAAGACCCAAAGTAATGATAGGTAGAATCATGCCAAAATCATCAGTATTGGGATTAGTAGTGTTACCATTACTAGAATTATTATTTGAGTTGTTTGGTTATGTAGATCCAGCTAAACATTTCTCGCACTTGCTGGTTGCTGAATTCCATGTGTAAGTATATGCAGATTTAGTGTAGCATATCTTTGGATCTGTCATGGTTCCTGGATCTCCAGGTGCACACTTGCCGTTTTGTACAGTGCAGACAGTGAAGCTTTTAGCATCAAAGCTAGGAACTGGTTGGCAATCTGTACCTGTAGCAAAGGTGTCACAGGCGTGGGATACACAAGATGTGGTTGTTCCAGATTAATTCCATTTGCAACTCTTGTTAGTTCCACAAGCAATAGAGTCAGAATTTGCATCGGAGCATTGTGTGAAGTTCTTGCAAGTTCCGTTAAGTTTATCAGTAGCTGAATTGGGTGTGAATGCACAAACAACCTTATTAGTACCATCTATTCCTCCTCCATTACATGCTTCTAAAGTTTTGTAGGTTGAGCAAGCTGCTTTAGGTATGCAGATCTTTGTGTTAGAAACACATTCTTTACCAGAAATAACATTAGTACAAGCTGAATTATTGATTCCTTTATCAATGTCTTCACATTACTTTAATCTACATGCTTTGGTTCCTGTAGTTTAACCAACTGGATAGGAGTAGATGCATGTTCCATCTGTTCCTGTGAAGCATCCAGGTTCGAGGTAACTTGAGCAGAGTCCTAGAGGGATACATTTAGTTCCATCAGTGGTGCAGGAACCACTACTGACAACTTGAGATTTACAACTTTCATGGGTTGTTCCAGTAAGATCTGAACATTCCTTCAACTTACATGCTGAGCCATTCCAGAAGCAAATTCCATCTGTACCAAGATTGTTTTTGCATGCAATTTCTGTTTTGTATTCATTGCATTTACCCTTAGCCACACATGTAGCTCCATCTGTGATACAACCACCATATGCTAAGCATGTATTTTAATCACTTGAGACTGCATCTGAACATTTATCGAATTTCTTGCATTTTTCAGTTGGTAAATATCCACAATCACCATCAGTTCCCTTATTACAAGATGCCTTTAAGACAGTTTTCTCACAAGATGTAATGGGTATGCAGATTTCTCCATTGGTAGTACAAAGAGGAGAGAAGGCTTAACAACCTTCGTGAGTTTTAAAGAGAGCATCCTCGCATCTATCATAATCATAGCAGGTTGAGTTTGTTTCAACCCAGAGACAAGGTCCAGTCTTTGATGAGAGACAGTATTATTTGGTCTTGAAGTCGCCGCAAGTTTGTGCTGAAACACAGACTGTGCCGTTTGTCTTACAACCACTCAAATGTGCATCACATTCAGCATCAGTAGTTGCACTTAAATCTTAACAAGCTCTTTCTCTGCATTTATTGTTTTCCCATCCACATCTACCCAATTCTGAAGTCTTAGCATCCTTTACATATGAGGCGCTCTTACAAATTGATTCAGTTTTATATCCTGAACAAGTTGTCATAGTGATGCAACCAGCACCTGTGGTTGTACAAGTCTTATCGAAATCACTGCATTATTTGTGAGTGTTGATTGATGCAGCTAGATCCTCGCATTTCTGATCTCTACATACTTTACCTAACTCTGTCCAAGCACAATACTTTTTAACATCTACATTATCAACTTTGACTGTTATGACTGTGTTAATACAATTAGATTGACTTGTATTACTTTAAGCAGAACATCCTGTTTTTTTAGGTTCGCAGAAGTTAGCCCATGTGCATTCAGGTCTTGCTTTACAGGAATCTTAATTGATCAAAGTATCGCAATTCTAAGTTTCAGTACATCCATAACCATTGGTATAACAACTTGGGTGATAATCTTTGCATTCCTTATCTGTTTTCAAGTTATTTGGTGCTTCTGTGCACACTTTTCTAGCACAATTTCCAACAAGTGTACCAACAGATGTTGATTTGCATGGTCCATCAAAAGCAATATAAGTTTAGCAAGTTATTTCTGTTCCTTTAAACTCTGAACATTTCTTGCCATAGGATTCGCAACCTGTTCCATTATAAACACAGAATGGATTGTCAGTGGCTTTAAATGGTTTCATTCCATCACTGCATTCTTTATTATTAGTTCCTGTAATATTTGTACATTTCTTCTTTTAGCAAGAGGATGTATCTGTAGCAGCACCAGTATTGTAGCAATAATCATTTCCATTTGATCCCATAAATTTGGCACAAGTAGTTTAATTTCCTTTGTAGGCTGAACAATCAGCTGATTTTTCAACACAGCCAGTTCCTTTTGTTACACAACCATCTAGATAGGCCTTGCAATCATTATCTGAACTTGCGATAATGTTGTCTGAACATTTTCTCTCTTTGCAACTACTCGTTTCTGTATTTCCAGCATCTCCAGAGCATAGAATGTACACATCAATTTATTTGGTAGTATCATAGTAGGAGAATTATTTGAAACCTTCGCATTTCTCTTTTGTTCCTCTATATTCAGAGCAGGGTCTGTCTCTTGGAATGCATCCAGTACCTCTAGTCACGCAGCCCTTCATCCAACTGTCACATTCTGAATCAGATTATGAAGCCACATTATCGTAGCAAGTTCTAGTTTGGCAAGCACCAGATGTGACAGCAGCAGTATTTACTTTACATAAATCTTTAGCTGTGTTATCGAATAAGTATTGACAATAATTTTGGTTACCAGTAAGAGTATTACATTATGAAGTATCATCTATACATTTTGAACCATTGGTCTTACAAGTTTTCAAATAGTTCTTGCAATCATAATTAGTATAAAATTTGGCTGTTGCGTCATCACTGCATGTTCTAGCTGCACATTTAGTACCATCCCATTTGCATTTATTGTCACTGGTATCAGTAACGCCTTCACACCATGCTTTTTTTTCAGTAGTTGATAAATCTGCTTAGACTGTATATGATGCACAAGTAGTCTTTACAATACATTTAGTTTAGTAATATAGGCAACCTGCAACATTACTTTTGCATCCAGTTTCATCACCATCATTATCAGCACACTCTTAAGCTCTGCATTTTTTGGCATCTGTTTTATGTTTTATACATGGGTATGTTCTAGTAGCATCTTTCAAGCTCTTACATTAAGTCTCTTCACTACCAGTTTCTGGTCCTAATTCAGGTGTAGATGCTCCATTATAAGTGGAACATGCACCTAATTCAACACATTTATTTCCCCAAATATAAGTACACTCTGCATCTGATGTATCTTTTAATGAGTTGCATGTAGTTGATTTATTAGTTGCATTTGTAACATCGTAATTTTCACAATCTGCTAATCTTGGAGTACAATTAGCTCCTGAAATGTATGTGCATTTAATACTATTAGAAGTTAATAACTCACAATATGCTTTCTTATCTGTTCCTGATGCTGGAATTTTATCACATCCATCAGTTGTATTGTAACAGGTTCCTGAAATATAAGTGCATTTCTTTCCAGGAACTCCTAAATCACATGATAATTATGATGTTGCATTAGTGATATCGAAGCAGTCGTAATCTCTGCAAGCTGAGGCTCCTGTTGTAAAGGCGCACTTATGAAATTTATCATCTACTTTGCTAAGACAATAAGTGGGCTTTGCAGTTGCATCAGTTGGTAATGTGGCGTATGATGAGCATGCACCAGTAGCTACACATTTAAGATCAGCAGTTGGTGTTTTGAACTCATCATATGTGCAAGGTTTTGAAGATTTAGTGATGGATTAACAGAATGCTGTTTTTCCACTTGCTGCAGTTATATCAGTAGGAACAGTAGCATCTGTGCAAGCAGCCTCTGTTGAGTCATTAGTTCTACACTTTCCATTTGAAAAGGCACAGCCAAGTACTCTATTATCGCAATCTCCTTAGTTTAATGGGTTTGGAATATCTTCGCATTTTGCAGCAGCACAGGCGGGACTTGTTCCTGCTTTACAATATAGCTTTTTTGTTTTATCCGCTACCGCTAAGCAATAATTATCTACAGTAATAGTAGCACCATCCCATCCAGTGATGCCTGTTATGGCATGTGAAGTACAGGCGGTCACTGCATTATCTTCACATGCAGATTTAGCAGCATTAAGTTTGCAATAATCGGTTCCCACCTTCATACTATGACAAAACAATGATTTTAATGTATCAGTAGTAGCACTTCCTGGAATTACGGCAACAGCACATGAAGCTGGTGCATCATAACACAATCCACTGAAATAAAAACAGCCAGAATTTTATTTATCACAATCGGCTTAACTAACTGCTGATGGAATTTCAGCACAAGTACTAATAGCAGAGCATGTGCCACCGGTTTTATAAATACATTTTGTAAATACACCAGTTCCTGCTGCATGTTTAGCTGAGTCATCAATCACGTATAAACTTTAGCAAAGTGTCTTCTTTTAAGCGTCTGTCTTTGTTTAATCAATTTTATAACTAGCGCAACCTGCTGCAACAGCTACTGTAGTTAAACAAGTGGAATCAGTTACTTTTTGGCAGACACCTTTACCACTTGGGTATAAGAAATCATTGCAAGTCTTTTCATCTGTTTAAGTAATAACTTTTTCGCATGTGGATTAAATAGTACATGTAGTTCCACTTATCCAGGTGGGCATTTAACATTTTTGTTCATCAACATACTTCTAAACACTCTGTACTACTTTAGTCTCATCATTTACCTGTTATACCATGAGTATAGGCGCCAAGTGCTTAAAGGAGCATAACATACAGATGAAAGCTCCTGTGCCAGCCAATAAACAGGTTCCAGTACCTTGTACTTGTTTTAGAAATATTAAGTTGTACATGCCAAAGTTGTATAAGTACTTAAATATTGGTCGCAAGTTCTGACTGCGCAGTTATTTCCAGTTTTATATCCACATGATTTTCCAGATGAGTCAGTGATTGAAGTACAGTAATCGAATTTGACTTAGCCTGTTGCTGATGTGTCTGGAACAGCATATTAGTCGCATGTATTGTGATTTATGCAAGCTGATCCTGATTTTAAGAATCTACAAGTGGATTTGTAAGTCATACAATCTTAATGGCTTCCTGCAGATGTTAGATCTGCGCATGCTCTATCCAAACATGTATTATATCTTTGACATTTTCCTGTACTACTTGAGAAAGTGGGACATGTATCACTTGTTCCAGTTTATGATGAGCAATTTATTGTTGTTTTATCCACACATCCTGTTCCAGATTTAGAAACACAACCTGTTTTGAATGTTTCACATGCCTCATCTGTTGTATTAGCATCTTAGTTATCTTCGCATTTTCTTATTGTGCATTTTGCAGCAGTTGCTGTACCAAAACAATATTTATCAGGCATACTTTTGACTTTCACTGCTTCACAGAATGATGCAACTCCAAAATAATCACCACAAGTAGCAGTTTCTTGATTTACACAACTACTTTATCCATCAAATACACATCCTGATAAGAAACCATCGCATTAGCCCTCTTGCATTCCTGATGCCATTGTGCATGTCTTTTGTTTACAAAATGAATCTGCTGTTGCAGTTGAATCATTATAGCATTAGACTGTTTTATAATCACTGATAGATCCTGTACTGTATCCATACAATTTATTGCATGTATCTCTATCCCCTTTTAATTAAGTACAAGTGGTAGTATAAATAACACAACCTTTGCCAGTACTGATACAACCTGGATTCCAAGTTTCACAGCTTGGGTTATCTAATGCCTCAGTATTTTCTGTACATACTCTTTAGGTACAAGCCGTTGTTTCTGAAGCTGCATCGATATTTGTGCAGTATCCTGGATAACCTCTACAAGTGTCTTTTGTTCCTTTCAATTTCGAACACTCTGGATTTGGTAATACAAGCATCAACTCCATTACTAATACATGAACTCAATTCATTTTAACAATTAGCATGAGTACTATAAAAAGATCCAGTAAGATGAGAACATTAAAGCTCTTCACAACCACTACTTCCCCAACCACATTTTTTAGTTACCCATTTTACAATTGTTTTGGCTTCATCTGTAAATCCATCAGCAACTCTAGCTGTATTAGCCATGCATATTGCCTTCTTTTTAAACCTTGAACATAGTGAATTACTTGTACAAATTGGTTGCCAATTACAATCTTTAGTTCCTTCACAACTTGTTTGTTTAACTGTATATTCACATGTAGTTGCACTCACACAACCTGATCCAGTTGTTACACAATTAGTGAACCAATTGGCACAAAGGGGATTTGTGTTTGTTGATGAAGGGGCAGAAGCACAATCTCTAGCTGTACATTTAGTTCCAGTCTTCCAAGTACATCTACCTTCTGATCCTACTCTTGGATTACATGCAGCTGTTGAATCTCCATCGTAGTCAGTACATTTTTTTAATGCTGCCTTAGTTGAACATCCCTTACCAGTTGTAACACATCCTTTTTAATATTTTTCACATGCATCATCAGTAGTCAAAGTATCACCTGCTTAATCGCATACTTTTGGTGCACAATTTGCTTCAACTGTTGTACTTGTACCTGTGCAATATCCATCCAATCCAATATAATTACTGCAAGCAGTTGCAGTACCTTTGTAGGTATTACAATTTTGTAAAGCACTAACACACTTAACACCGTTTGTCACACACGACTTTTAATAATCCTTGCATTAATCATCAGTCTTGAAGGTTGCATTCTCACATTTTCTTGCTCTGCATTTTGAACCTCCAGCATCTCCTTCACAAACTCCATCAGATCCAATATATCCAACGCAACTTGTATTATCACCATCATAAGTTGAACAGAGTGGTTTGACTGTTCCTAAATAACAACCCTTTCCTGTTGTTATGCATCCCTTTTAATAATCTTTGCATTCATCATCTGTAGAAATTGATTTTGAGGCTCCAGAGCATTCTCTTGCTTTACAATTTGTAGTATCTTTTGCCAATTCACATTTTCCATCCTAACCAATATAAGCTTTGCAATCATCTTCAGTTCCTGTGTATGCTGAGCAATTTGGTAAGGGTGATGACCAGCATCCTTTTCCTCTTGTGATACAAGTTGATTACCAATCTCTACATTATGTATCAGTAGTTAAACTTAGCTCTGCTTCTGAACATGCATAATCTCTACATTGACTTTAAGTGGTATCATATTTGCATTTGAAGGTTCCTGAAATACTTGGAGTACCCTCACATTGACTTTAAGAGTATTTACCGCATTCTTAAGCTTCAATGCAAGCTGTGCCATCACTCACACAACGATATGAGATTGCTTGGCATTCTGATACAGTAGTTTTAACGTAAGCCGAACATCCTGCGAAATGAACGCATTTTGAATCTAAGTAAGCACAACCAAGTGTCTTCCAACAATTTGTTTCGGGTTTATCAACTAATTCACAATATGGTTTGAATGTGCCTTATTGAGTTCCTGTCTTTTTTTGGCATTTAGCAGCTGTTGTTCCGACTGCTGCAATCCATTCGCATGTCACTGCTTTGTAGCCTTCGCAATCAGTTTGTGATTTAAAAAGACCACAATCATTACATTCATTTGACTTAAGCACTTGCTGTGAGCAAACAAGTGCTATCAAACACAAAATTAAAGTTAATTTCATTAAGTTATTGAATAAATCTATAAATTCAAAGTTAGTTTTTTAAATTAAGTTTCATAATAATTTTTTTAATTGTACATTAATTCCTTTAATTTTTAATCATAAATCATAAGTAATAATTTAGAAAAAAAGAAGTATCAGGATTTTATTTTAATTTAAAACCTTATTTATAATTAATATTAATATAATTCTAATCTATTTGATAGACGAGCCATGTTGAACTTTGCTCTGAGATTTCTTCATGCTAGGCTGGACACATGACCACATATTCAATGGAATTGATTATTTACACTATTAAGTTATATGGCCTCTAATAAAATAGAATTATTAGTTATTTTTTAAACCTAAAAGAGAAATCTGACACAGAAAACTTGAAATTTTAAGATGTTAAGCTATTTCTTAACTTGATCAATACAAATCACTGAAAATAAAGATGTGTTATATATGTAGTATATAATGTTTTTCTATTTGAAAACTACTTATAATTTGAATCAATGAGCTAAGGAATTTGATAATGGATGTCAAATTTAGACAGGAAGAAAAAGAAAGAGAAGAGTATTATGATTTTTTTCAATTAGTTTTAATTATTGTTTGTTCTTTATTTGCTGTGATTGATTTCAATAAGAAAAATGAAAAGAATGTGATTGGTTATAGAATTGGTAAGAATATGTAGTCATAAATCAACATACTCAACAAACTAAATTACCTATTTAATTTATATATTTTAGAAAGTGTTACATACCTAAGTTATTTATTTAAAATTCATATAATAGTATTGAAAAAAATAATTCTATTGTTCTGGACAAAATAATCCTATAATAAAAATCACACAACTTGAAAATTATGAACGTATTTTTATTCTATATTGATTTTATTACAAATAGAATATTAAATTCCTTTTTTTTAATTACATCATATTTTTTCATCAAACTATCAGTCAATGTCGCCATTATTCTCATCTGATAGTCGACTTTTAGCTCAACATAAATTGATATTTTCATTACTCAGTCAAAAAGATTTGGATAATTGACCGTATTAATTTTGCTAGATTTTATTATGCTTTTTTTATTTAATTAAATTTTATTTCTAAACCAATTTATATATATCACAATTTAAAATAGAACATAATTTTTTATTTATTTTTTATTTAACTACCTTTAAGTTAAAAAGTAAATATTATAGATGATAACTTATTGATAAAAAAATGTACATTTATAAGTTGATACCTAACATATTATAATATGTCAGATCCTAACTTCAATAATAACTCGATTTATATTTGTATTACGTCAATTAATTTCTATAAGCATTTTTCTTAAATTAATACCCTTCTTAAATTCTATAGATTTTATTATTATATTTATATCAATAATATTTAACAAAAATACAATTTAATCATGATTACTATTTTTATGGGCAAATAAGATATTTGAGACTTTTAAAATTGGATTTCAATCTATGATAAAATTCTATCAGCAGGAATATCATTTAGATTGCAATTGAAAGCGACATTAGAACAATTATCATCCACCCAATCAGTTATTTTGCAGCATCACTTAGAATATTGTGTAAATCATTAAATGCTATGACCACTGCTAGTGATACAATGAAGAAGATGCAAACTTCAGGAATTCCTATTTAAATAAATACACTTTTTGAGTTAAAAGGATTTTAATAGAACAAAAAGGCCAGATTCATAAAGCAAGATAAACAACAAAAAGTTGTTTAAATTATTGGTTTGTCGTATAACACCACAAGGAAGAGAATGAAGGCAAATTTTCTGATCATATTAAAGTAGCAATATCGCAAGGCAGTTTTATTTTTAAAGTTCAGTGCTTCATAAATAGATAGGTATTTCTTTTTAAATATTGAGTGATTCAAAAGCAACTAATGCTTAGAGCTTACATACAGGTAAACATAATAAATCACTAAACTAAGGATTAAGAAGCAAACAGCTAAAAAATTGTTAATTACAATAATATAATGATTATTGGGTTTTGGGCAGTATAATTATAGGATGCAAGCCATAAATATATCCAGTAATAACAAGTTTATGATTGATTGAATTTTAGACCAAAAATTGTATTAATAATCAAGAGCAGTTGTAAAAATCAGTAAAGCAAAATAAGGAAGATTTTTTACGTTTTTATTGAGAGCTTGACTTTGCTTATTTTGTGTAGTATTAGGCTATTAGTTTTCTAATTAACACTTTGTGAAAATATATATTTTATGACTCAAAAATTGATTGGATCTCAACTTGAGTTTGAACAATTTAATTGTAATAATAGATATGAAATAGATTATAATAGCTATGGAAATTAAGCAACTGAATATTTGGATATTTTTGATAAATAAAGGATTGACATTCTTTTCTTGAAATTTGAGCGGGGGTTAAAAGTAGAATGGATCATTTGGTGTATTCAAGGAAACAAAATCTGGAATATAAAATATATCATCCCATTAAAATTTTTAAAAGAATATCTTAACATTGAGAGGATACTCTATGTTAAGAAAATAGAAATTATTAATCCAAGTAAGGATTTCAAGGATAGTCCAAAAAAAGCTGATGCCTCCAAGGAGGATTGAAATTGGGCCAGTGAATTATAGTAGGAGTTAAAATTTATTGGATGTGGCAACAACACTCTCGGCTTATTATTTTTGTTCTTAACTATAGTAGATCTATTTTCTTGGAATGATGGTAATTCTGTATTCATCCAACAGTCTTTATCCGTCAACACTCAATGGGATTATCAAATGGATTAGGTTGGTTTCCGTAATGGTTTTGAAGAATTGAAACTAGATTTCACATCCATACTGGCTTTATGTTTTATTAATCTCAAATGGAGTTAGTGTGTAATTGAATTCATATGTTGCAAATAAATCAATTTCACTTGTAATTTTGGGACAAATAGATTTAAAATCTAAATCTCCCTTCAAGTGCAAACAGTTAGTAGTAGTGGTGTTGGAATAATTAAATTCTATATATTTCTATTGAATCTTTTAACAGAGATTATTGTAACACGTGAATCCTTTTTCGAATTCGCATTAAGAATTGCAGCCATCATTATTTATGATATTGCCATCATCGCATTATTCTTGACCAGCAACTATCATATCACCGCATTTGGTAATACATTTTTTGAGTTTAAAATCACTATAGAATCCTTCTTTATTATCACATTTTTAACAATTTTCTATTTTACAGTTAATACAATTATTAGGACTATTTAGACATTCTTCACATTAATCTGAGCATTTAATACACTCGTTACTTGCTAAGAAATATCCTTTCTAACAACTGATACAATTTATCTAACCATTAATGTACTCGCATTTATTACAATAAGATTTACAAGTGTAACAATAGCTCTTTTTATCTAATGTTATGCAATTAAATCCAGGGTCAATTAGGCAATTAGTGCATCCATCTCTTGGTATAGTATTAACATCATCACACTATTCAGAACCAAGTATCAATCCATCTCCACAATCTGTTATACATTTGTCCATTGATAATTTATAACCAATTTAACAATCAACACATCTACCTTGTTAACAAGTCTAACATAATAATTCACATTAATATTGACACTCAAAGCATCCATCATAGGGAGTAACATTTCCATCATCACATTGTTCTTTTCCTGCTTTTATAGAATCCCCACATTTTGAATAGCAATTATTCTATTTGCCATCATAATAATATCCTTATGATTCAAAGCAAATCGTTCTTTCCAAACATCTACCTTTCTTGATATCAAAAAAATAGGATTCAATGCATGCTTTGCATCTTCCATATTAACAATTTGTGCACACCTCTTAACATTAGTATTGACAATTGAAACATCCATCTTAAATGATATTATTTCCATCATCACATAACTCTTCAATTGTGATGTATTGATCACCACAAATAGGATTACAAGTGTCATTGTCTAAATCTAAATGGTATCCTAATGTGCAAGTGATACACAAACCATGAAAACAAGATTCACAATTAATTGGACAAGTTTGTTCATATTTTTCAATGTAATTCTCTGACACTTCATTTCCTTGAAGATCAACTCTTATTCTGTGAAACAAATACACTAAATCCAGATAGGATATATATGTATTGCAATTGTTCTAGGTACAATTCTCAAATAAATCAAAATCATAATATTAATCTTTCAATAGATTGAGTTACTCTTCATAAGACAGAGTTACTTTCACTATCCCTTCCTCACTTTAATTCAAATAAGGAAGAATTAATAGTTGGCATCTTCCATTTTAGAGTTAATACTTCTCATAACACGATAGACATTCTCCAAACAAACATAATTCGCAGGTTTATTCACAAGTGTACTAACATTAATGACACCCATCTTCAATATTCATATTACCGTCATCACATTACTCATGAGAAGTAACGTAAGAGTCACCACAAATTGGATAGCAAATCTTATTCCTTAATTCATACCCATGTTAACATTGAGTGCATCCTTTTCCAAAGGAATAATCACAAGAAAGGCAAGATAATCCACATTCGCATTTATTCATGATCTTATTTAGGAAATATCCATATTAACACTATTAGCATTAATTATTCAAACAAATTTTACAAATACTAATATTTTAACATTAAAACTTGCACCCTTTACTACAACCATCGTTATCCTAGTTATTAGCATCATCACATTCTTCGTAATAATCAATATCTGGAGCTGACACAATGATACCGTCTCCACATTTATTTTTGCAATAATTTTTTTCTATTTCCAAACCTTCTCTGCATTTTGTACAAACACCTTTGGTCAAATCACAGCTTTGACAATCACTTTTACAAAAAAACCGACAATTAAAACAATTTGTATTATCAGTGGCATCATCACATTATTCGGTCCCTACTTTAAGTCCATCCCTACATTATTCCTTACAAGTGAAAGTAGTTTAATCCAAATACCATCCTAAAGTTGCACATTCATGGCATTTTCCATTAATCTACATCGTACACTCTACTTAAACTGAAAATTAGCAATTATGGCAACCATCATGTTCTATTTAATTACCATCATCACACTATTCAGAATCGTATATTATTTGATCACCACAATTACAATTACTATTTGATGAACAAGGATTGCAACTACCATTAGTAGGACAAGGAAACATTTGTTAAAGGAGAGTAGATTAATAAAAATTAGAATCTTAATCACATTAAACTGGATCTCTTTTTATGAATCCTTCAAAGCATTCACTGCAATCTGAATTGTTTGTGCATTTCTTACAATTTGTTATACAATTTTTGCATACTGTAGAATCATCAAAGTAGCCATCTTAACATACACATTCATTATTCACTAGCACTTTAAAGCTACCAGGCCTACATTCCAAACAAAATATTTGATTTATACATTAATTGCAATCTTAACTGCAATCTGAACATCCACTAGTATCTTCGAATTTTTTTATATCACAAATGCAGCCTAAAGAAGGATCTATATAGCCATCCAAGCATTCTTGACAATTCTACAATGAAGTACATAGTTTACAATTCTTTGAACACTACTTACATTCATTTTTATAGATATCTAAATATTTACCATCTAAACAGCTCGCAGGAGTGATAGTTGTTGAACAAACATTTTAATTTGTACATGACTAACAACCAGGTTAACAATAATGAACAGCAAGATAGTACTTATAAAATCCACAATATGCATTAAATGGTTCATTATTTGGACCCTTGCATTCCCATTGAACATTTAAAGTTTTAGCTGTGTGGAGATACAGATATTCAAAAGTTATTTCTTGATCAGTAGAAGTAATCTCAAATTAAATTTAATTTTCTAAGTAAAAGATGAACAATCCATTTTCTGGAAAAGTCGGACCAAAAATAATAATAAAGGCAAATGATACACTATGATGAGGATCATTTATTTCATAGATCCTTTAAAACTTTGCTTATGCCCAAATCTATGGCCCTCCAAATATTCTAAATTTCTAATTCCAAATAGAATAAAATATTCCTTCCCCTTTGAAAAAGTTAGATCCTTATTGATGTAATAATTCGTAATATTTGTATGTTTCAGGATTTATGGATAAATCTATGAACTCTTTCACTAGGTATTCAGAATCTAAATACTTTCTTAATTGATTTACATGGAGTTTAATCGTCTAGTCCTTAACAATAAGTAGCATTAATTTTTTTTTAGTAATTCTCCGAACAGCTACTGCATTGGCCAGATGCAGTTATCCATTAATTCTGTTTGCATATTGAACATTTAAACTAAGAATCGCATTTTTAACAATTTTGTGGACATTATCCTGATGAAATCTATATACTCCGAATTCCCCAACCTGCTGAAGATGATCTAAATAATAAAAATATTGCTATACGCAGGATAATTGCCGACTAATTTGATTATGAAATAGTTTGAAATATTTACATATGTATATAATACATAATAATAGTTGCTATTGTAGGAAATATCAGAATATGTAAAATCAGGCTTGGATTCTTGATTTTAAATCATAAATTAATCGAATTTCAACCCACTTCCGTCTTTATAGATATGTGCCTTGTAAGTTCCATTTATTTATAAAGATATACTACTTTTATCTGGCATTGCATTAAAAAGTATTAATTCTATTCTTATTCCAATTAAGTATGTCCCTTAATCAGTCAAATTAAGTGTACTCAAATAACCTTATTTGTGTTTAAATATTCCATAAATATAATAATTTTCGAAAGCTATATTATTTAACGGATCTGCTCCAGGACTTTCTCTATCATAAATGGGTTACCATCTATTTTATAACAGAGTTGTATTTTGAGATATATATAGATTCATAAACAAAGCGACTATAATGAATATATAGAATACTTGGATATGGAACACATGATCTTTTGAAATAAAGTGCTTAATCAATATGGCACTTTTTAAAACAGGCTTAATTCCTAACTATATAAGGTGTTGCAATCGCGCATTCTGTTTATTGGCAATTTGGAATTGCGCTACCAGAAATAACACATGTTAAACATTGATCAGCAGATACACCAGAACAAGTCAAACAATATGGGGAGCATCTTAATCCTGAAATAATAAGATTTTTTATGGCTAAATTTCCTTAACTTGTTGAAATATTAAAGCTATGATATCCAGATACATATTTAGTATCGACGGTCGCATTTAAGACTTACTAAAAACTTTTTTGATTTATGCATTTCCAATCATAATATTATGGAACTGAAATAGGATTACTATCAAACTTAAATGTGTTAGATCCGAATGAATAATTTACAAAATCTCCGGTTTTCCAAGAATTATAAAATATTAACTCAAATGTGATAAAATACATTTAATAACTCCAATAAAATTAGTTATTGTTTTAAACATTTCTTTGAGATTGATTTAATACAATATAGCTGCCATTTTCACCACAACTAATATATTAAGAGTAACCGATATTGTCTCCATCGATATTTATAAATCCATCTGTATCCAAATTGTTGAACGTCTTATTAGTCGTGAGGTATTATGCTAACTATAGCCATTCACAATTTGCAAATTAGAGGTAGAGGAGAATTACCTGGAATTAAATAATCATTAAAAATTTGAATGTAAACCAGATTAATGTTTATTCAGCTTTCATAAACCTATGAAATACACAAAATTTCAGATTGAGTTGTATATCAATAAATTATAACCAAAGTAAGTAAAATTATAGATCAAAGACTCAAATAGGTGAACTCTATCATTATTATAAAAGACAAATTAATTTTTTTAATGGCATATTATATTTAATAAAGTAGGCCAATGTCTCTGCTGATTTCACAAAATCTCAATCCCATTTCTTAACAAAACAAGGTAAAACACACAAACATTTGCAATATAATTATAAATAATAAGTATAGCTATTGTCGAATATTCCAATCAATTTTATTAAAAAATTTTTTTTCAAACTAAAATTTTATTTTTTATTTAAAGTGATAATTATGAAATTTAATAAATAGAATGGGACTTAAATAAACAAGTTCAAATAATTACTTTGAGACAAAAAATAAACCTAAATCACTTAGATTTTAATTTCGTAAAAAGAATTAATAATCAAACTTGCTGTGCATATTTTGAATCGAATAGTTTATAATCGTAAAAATTTAAAAAGAAATATTTTTGGTAGAATAAGATATTTGATTACTATGGTAACTCCAATATTCATTAATAACATTTTATTAACATATAAATTAAAAACTTATATAATGAAAAATTTAATTTCATTATTAATTAAATCAAATATGAAGTTTAAACTCAAACAGAAGAGATTTTGAAATAATCGCATCGATAACAACTAGAATTACCAAAATATCATAATACTTTGTCTCTATTAATGATATTATTAATCTTAGACAAGTTTGTAACTCAAACACAAAATTAATCAGAACAGAATTACAAGAATAATCAATACATTTGAGATCTCTTCTAAAATGCTTAAAATATTATCCCTGTAATGATTACTTATTTATATATGGTTAAAGAAAAAAAAATGAAGATTTTAATGTGACACTTATAATTGAAAATTTATTACTAAGTTAAACATCAACTACATAAAATAACTAAGAGAATAAGAACTTGATAATTTCATAGATGAATTTAAACTTATTTTTAATGAATAACAAAAAAATGAGTATTTTTTCCAGTTTCAGTCTCAATAACTACCATATCATATATATAATAATTTAAGAAATTTCAGTTAAATATTACAACTATATCTAATTAATTATATATTTTTGTAATGTTTCACAATTGATATCACAATAATTAAGCAGTCAATTTTTATGAATCAAAATGTGCCTTTTCTAGTTTATGCAAGAATTGAATGCATTAGATAAATTTCTCGAAATTAGGTACCAAATCAGACGATTAAGCTAATACTTCATCCCATATAACTTAAATTTTCATATCATCTTAATGGAGCTTCTGTAAATAATATCTTTACTTTTTCATTCAAAGTTCTCATAACCTTATGAACAGCTTTTAGTTAATTTCTAGTAACGCTTTCAGCTGATTCATTTTATTCATTAGCTTGATCTTTTTAGTCAGACTATTACTTGATGTTATTTTCATTTAAGACATCATGTTGAGAATTAACTTTTTATGGTTGATTATCATTTCCTAAGACATTTTCTTTTGAATCAATAGTTTAAGATAATTATTAAACTCTATCAGATGAATTCTATGGTTGACTTTACATTTAATCATGAATTAAATTTTCCTAAGATATCAATTATAAGTACAAATTTTTAGTTGCCTCCCAATTATTATTTTTGCAAACAATCAATTTCTTTATCCATTTTATTACTTTTAATCTTCTAGGTCTATTTAATTTAAGGTTAATTTTAAGGAATAACATGACTTTCCTAAATTAATTCTTACTTCTCTTCAAATTGATTAATATTCTATTATTAAGCTGGTAAGAGTTAAGAATTGATTTATTTACATTCGTTTAAATGTTTTTCAATTTTTTAAGCAGTTCTTTGTTATTATTTATTAATTCCAAAGTTAGTCTAAGTTTTAATAATAGAATGCAACTCCTCTTAAGAAGAGGTCAAAATTGTAGCGCTTGATGATACTTAATTTCCTTCGATTGGTTTAATATCAGATTTTATATCTTTTTTGACATCTACTAAGTGAGTTTTTTTTCCTGAATCCTTGGCATCAAGATGAGTATTTTTTTGAGTGATGGTCTAAGTTTCCACACTTGTTGAAGCAGGTTAAATTTATCCATTCGTTTGAGTAGCTTTATTTTATTCCTGACTTTAAGTCTTCTATTATAATATTCTATTTTCTTGAATTGGGTTTTCATTCTTTTTAATTATAAAATTTTACTTTAAGAAATTTAAGATTGTGGTTCTATTCTGATAATACTTTCTCAAAACCTTACTCTTATCTTTGGTTATTTTGGCTGGTTTTCTCTTTTGATTAAAGTTCAACAATATTTGTGCTAGTGTCTCCATCTTTGATCTAGTCCTTGACCCTATTGGATTAGATAAAAATAGTTTTCCAGTACTCTTAATACAATACTTTTTTTTTGAGAAGCTTGTCTTATTTTATCTGCTTTTTATTCATAAAGAAGTATTTTAATTATTCTTGGTAAAGCATTCAAAAATTTAGCTTTCATTCATAATGATAAAAAAATAAAAAATATATAATCACTATAATGTTTTATCTATTTAAAATTTTAGAATACGTTGTAGATTGACTTCTAATTTGAATAATTTATTAAAATCTTAATGTGTGATTCACAAATAACAATATTTAGATCATTACTGAAACAATACAAATTTGAAGTCCTCCAACTCTTATGCTTTTTTAGCTTCACCACTAAAGGTTCTTTTAATTTAGAACTTCTTTTTCTAATGCAACAAATTTATCGATTATTCAATAGTATTTCTACATAAGAATCTTACAACTTTAACTTGATTTTGCTATCCAATCCTGTCAGCTCTTCCGATGGCTTGATCTTCGATAGCAGGCTTGCTAATTTATTTATAAAAATACATTCCACCAAGGGTCAACTAAAAATACGTTGTTTGCCATAGTGAGATTCAATCCTGTGGATGTAGCTCGTAATGAGAGTAAGAGTGCAATTGCATCTTAAGATTCTTTGAATTATTTAATCACCTTCTCTCTCTTTTCAACACTCATCTATCCAGTAATTCTAAAAGCAACGATGCCGTTTTCCTAAAACAAATTATCAATCAATTGTATCATATCAACTGATTGAGTGAAGATCAAGACTTTCTCCTTTTATTGCTAGACAATTTTAGTTTTATTCAAAATGGCTTCTAACTTGGAACTTAGACCAAACTTCAAAGTTTTCAAGTCTTCAAATTCATTTTCATTTTCAACTTTGATTTCAATTAAATCTGTGATCGATAAGGTCGCTCTACATACAGGACACAATTGCTGTTAATTTATGGCTTATGTGAAACACCTAGGGATTCAATGAATGGATTACTTTCTACAAAAGATATGGCCACAAGAAGACAAACAAAAAGTATCGACTTAAGTATTGGTACAAATTTCACATTCCTATAAATCTCCATTTCTTATATTTTCCACTAATGATTTCTTATATACTTCTGTCATATTGGCATGTTGTTATTTGTTATTGAAGAAAGAATTAATTCTGTCTATCACTTCTTCCATAGGTGTTTTATCCAAATTAATTTCCTTCAGTGCTAATTATGGATGGTTGCATGCTAACTTTAATTTATTGATGATTTAGAATATATGCAAGTAAGTTTTATTATTTTTACCAATTGTGAAATGCTTAAAGATATCTTGAGAACCAGCTAATAGTTTCTAATACAGTATTTTTTCTTTCTCATTAAATTCAACCCAACAGATTTCTTCCTCCACTTAATTGAGACCATCCATTCTTTAAGAGTTCTTAGTCCTCCTCAATATAATAGGTTACAAAATCTAAGATAATATTCTCTATTAATCATCTTCATTTTCTTCCTTGTTAATGTAGGTATTCCACCAAAAACTAAAACTTAAATAAAATAGATTACTATTCAGAAAATGTTTCAACTTTCAGAAATTACAGCAAACTAAATAGATCATCATGTTTATTTTGCATCGGAGTTCCAGTTAAACACCATCTGAAATCAGCATCCAAAGCAATGGCACTCTTCGATTACAATGTTTATCTAATTTTGATATTATGAGCTTCATCTAAAATGACCCTATGAAATTTCTATTTAAATAAATTGTTATGCTCCTTGGCTATCTCCAATTGTTCCGGATTCAATTACCTTTTCTTCTTTTATTTCTCTTACTTTTCCTTCTTCACTCTCTGTCTCAATTATTATTTAAATTATCTCTCCTGCTTTCTCTTCTCCTGACAATACTCGTAGAAAGGATTGTAATAGGACTAGCTCTAGTAATTATCATCATCATCTGAACTACTATTATAAATATCCATAGTATTAGATAAGTCGCTGACCTCCTCTAAAGATTATCCCCTTTCAACTAAACTATCATTCTGTGCTACATTACCATCCTATTCAATGTTAACATTATTTATTTAATTCCAAATTTAAAAGTCTATGCTCAATACAGCATAGGTAGTTAATATTATATCATAGTTTTTAAAATCTATCGTTTTGTTCTTTCTGGATTTCTTAGAGTAATAAACTAAGACCTTTAAACTCTCCGGTTTTGAATGCTTAACTATTTCCTTCTCCCATTGTTTTATCACTGATTTAGGAACTACAATCAATGTCTAATGTTCACGATTAAGGGTTTCCAGAATTAAGGCCAGAGCCATTAGAGTTTTCCCTAAACCCATCTCATCGGCCAGAATACCTCCCTTGGTCTCTTGAAGTGGCACTAGCTCTTTAGATACCTTACCTGTAAACATATTGACATATAAGGATTCCCCGCCTTATAATTTATACTCCTACCATAATGGAGACAATTATTACTTCTATTGTAATTAGTGATCAGTGATATGTCCTTCCCTATAGAGCATCCAGAACAGTGCTTCCTTCTAATGTTTCTTAAGCTCAGATGACATCAATTTTGGAGTGTCATATTCCTTAAGGATCAGTTTATTTATTAGAAAAATGTCATTTATATCTTATTTATTAGACTCATAATTTGCTTTTTGATATTTAATTTATTCCTTAATCTCCTCGAATTTTTCTTTTTATACATGTTTCTCAAACTCTGTATATGTTTAAATATTTTGCTAATAAAATAACCTCTATGAAAAGAATTGACTTAAAATATCTTAATATTGCTGAGTAGATTTTCGATTTATCTTGAAGTCAACAAAATATAAATCGAGTATCGCATTTTTAGAATATTAGTAAATTTTGAGATTGTTATCACTCAATAAGTTGAGTTGATCCCTGTTAGATTTGCTCAAAGTATCAGTAATTTATTTACGAACTTTTATCAGATTCTTATGCTAATTGGCATACATGGAATCTTTCAAAACTATTTCAGATATCTGAAAAGTGCATAAAAAAACAGTCTTTAAGACATAATCATCATACAATTCTGCAAACTTATTATCCACTGAACTTTTTGAACGCTTTATAAATGTTTTAACATATTAAAAAAATTCCAAACCAATTCTTTGAAATAGCTCATGATGGATTGGGTAGATTTCTTCCATTTTTGGAGAATATGGTTTCTTGAATTGATTCAAAAAAGTTGAAGGGCCTGTTTAATACACTGCTAAGTCTTGTATCAACTTTTTTTCAAATAAATTGTTATTAAACCTTTTACTGTTAATGTAAGTCTCAAATAATTGTTACTTTTCTATGATAGGACGAGGAAATGATTTAAGCAAACTTTTGATTGAAAAATTGACATTGGATTTCTAAAAGAATTGGCAATATTAAGCAAAGAAGATCTTAAATTACTTGTTTTATTTAATTAAGCAACTTTCCTCTATTGTTACATTCATAAAATCCAACATCAACAACAAAGAGAGTCTTGCATATTTTAACAACTCCATCTGGTTTTCCTCTTCAGGGGTTAATTGCTCTGTCTTTTTGTTGTATCTGTCTATCTTCATTTCGTAATCATCATCTATAGCCAATTATGTCAAATACACAGAAACTTCAGCGACTTCAACAATTGACTGGTTTGGTTTTGTTATTCTCACCCCTAATTTCACATACCCAGCATTCAAGAGAAAGAACCATATTTCATCATATAAATGCAAAATTTTACCATGATTATTATATACTTTCTTAATTACCTCCTTCCCTTTTCTTACTTTGCAAACTATTCTGTCTGATTCAAAATGATTAATATCACTGCTAACTACATATAACTTCTTCTTCTTCATTTACTTTACTTTCTTCTATTAGTCAAAAACCTTAAGCTTCACCTTTAATTTATTTTTACAGTTCATGTTGCCATTACATTAAAATTAGCAGAAAAACTTTCCAATGTATAATTCTGGCTTTTTCTATCCTTATTGTAATTGTTGCGATTCCTACATTATTGCACTTTTTTAATTGGTCTTAATATAAAATAAAAATTATGAATGAAGCAGTTAATGTTTAATTGTAAAAAATATAGTTATAGTTATCGTCAATTATATCTAAACTTATAAATAAACATCAATTCCTTATTGAAATCAAGAATGAATTTGGTATCACATAATTAGTCAAATATAGAATAATATTATAATAATAATAATTTTGATAGCCACTTATATGTTCTAGAAAATAAGCCATTAGAATAGATTCAAAACTTTTATTGAGTCATTATATAATTGCTTCGTCTATGTGCATGGATTTAATATTTTATTTCTAGAAAATCTAGAATCTAATTAATAGAATTTAGTAATAGAATTAAGACCCAAATATAAATCTCTACAAAGTAATTTTATACAATATTTCAAATGAATCCCACTTATGACTTACTAGGAATGATAGCACATGTGGAATAGTAAATAGCATTGTTATTAAAGGTTAAATCTAAAGAATAATAACAAGTTCCAAATTAAAATATTGAAGATTAACCATTGATTGTGAGCGTAGAAGAAAGGTACGAAAGGAATTCTTCTTGCTCTTCACAAAAAACTCTCTCTGATAATACTTCATAAGTATTGCTAAATCAATTGCAATCCAATTTTGAAGTTATTAAAAGAGGAATCAATGAATTATTGGCTTATAATAAAAATGATTAATATGACCAATTGAAAAACAATTTAAATAAGAAATAAGGAAAGAATAATTTTTTTGTGAGAAGTGAAAACACTTACGATTCTAACTAAAATAAAGAAATCTAAAAAAATCTTAAATTAGATGTAAAAGGGACATAAGCCTCTATTAATAGCTATACATCGTAGATGAATTAATTGACTTAAGAGTTGAAGTAAATATTATCAAGTAAAACTATATCAGATTTACAAATGAAATAGAGAATCTAATAATTAGAATAGTAACATGAAGAATTAAGAAAGAATTTCTTTTCTTTTAGACAAATGTAAGAGAGCATTACACAGTTATTATAGTTTGATACTTGCTTATAAGATACATTAAGATAATGTAAAACTAAATGTGAAAGAAAATATTGAATATTATGTAAAATTCATATAAAAGAATAATAATATAATATTTTTACAAAATATTAATTCAAGAATAAAAAATATCTCAAAATTACTACTTAAGGTAAAATCATTTGCAAATTTAATTGGAGTTCTAAAGATCATAGATAAACATATGATATATAATTTTATATAATCAAGGCTATCTATTTATAATTAGAAAAGTAGTAAATGAGTTTATGTATGAATATCTCCATCCTAGTGCACAATAAATATTAAGAAATGATTTATATTCTTAGAGGTTAATTTTTGAAATTTATGAATGGTTAACAAATTGGAAAACTAATTCATGAAATGTGGAATTTGTAATTGTTATAAAAATATATATGATTATTTTTCAAATAAATTTATCATAATATAAGATTATAACGCATTCTAATTTATAAAGAAAAAAAATCATAAATTAAATAATAAAAATCATAGTTAGATTCTAGTCTATTTATTTTTGGCAATGTCGAAAATAACTTAAGAATTAGAATATCCAGTATTTAATACGAGTTTAGAAAACTGAGTTGGTTTATCTATGTTGGTTGAATCTAGAGATTTTGCTAAGAGATTAAATGGTTCATCAAATTCTAGAACAATTCCATTTTCAATGACCATAACTTTATCATAATCAGCAATAGTGTTCAATCTATGAGCAATAGTAATAAGTGTACAATCCTTTAGTTATTGCTTAAGTGTATTTTAAATGAAATCATCTGTTTTCATATCAAGATTAGCAGTTGCTTCATCTAAAACAATAATCTTCTTTTTATATAATAGAATTCTTGCTAAGCAAATTAATTATTTTTATCCAACAGAGAATAATGAATTAACATCACTAATATCTGTTAATAAGCCATTCGAGAAAGATCTAGTGTATTCCTTTAACCCTGCAACTTCTAGTGCTTACCAAATGGCTTAGTCATCATATAAATTGAAAGGATCTAAATTTTATCTAAGACTTCCAGTAAATAAGAATGGAGATTATGGAATAATGCCAATGCTACTTCTCAGTTTTTATAAGCCTAATAATTTGGTATTAATTCCAGCGATTTCAATTTTGGATCCTTCGTAATCTTCTATTTCATTCATTCTAAATATTACTTACAATATTGAAGATTTCCCAGCTCCTGTTCTCCCCACACAACCAATTTTCTACCCACTTTTTATATCAAATGTTAATCCTTTTAACACTAAATCTGAATTACATCTATATCTCATATAAACATTTTGGAATTTAATATCACCTGATTCTGGAAAATTTGATATTTTTCTATCTTCTTCTTTTACTTAAGGTGCTTCTGATTTCACATCTATTATTTAGAACATTCTATTATATGAACTCATTTAAGTTGCAAAATTTATCAATTATTTTAATCCTAATGATAGTCCATCGTTATATGTGGTCAACAATAATACACCTTATGAGAAAACAGCAACATCATCGTAATTCAAATTTAGAAAAATGAATAAACTAATAGAGGAAGCAATAAATCCAATAAAATCTATGTTAAAGCAAAAGGATCTTGTCTAATAAAAATAAGTTAAGGCATTTAAATTATAGACATTTGATAGATCTAAAAATTGTTTCTTGAATAAATTCTATTATTTATACACCTTTATTTGAATAGATCCTCCTAGTGTTTTTTTTATGAAATCAAATAATGGACTTCTCTGGATTAGTTCATTTTCTTTCAATTAACTGACAATTTGATTATAAAAATTATATTGATAAAGGTTAAGAGCAATTATAAAGAAAATAACAAAAATAAAATATGGTTGCAAGATGGCCAATGTTATTAAGGCTATAAAGAAATTTCCAATCATTTCCAAAATATCCAAACAAACTTAGTTTGTTGAATTATCACACAAAGACAAATCATTTGAAAATCTATTTATAATTCTTCCTGAAGGATTCACATCAAAGTATGATATTGGAGCTTATGCAATTGAATTAATCATCTGTTTATGAATATTTTGGGTTGTGGCTTGAACTTATTTAATATTAATAAGATATTTTATAAAACTACAAACCATTAATCCAATCACTAAACAAGACAACATTAAAAATGTGATTTTAGTTTACCCATTTTTTTCATAAAATTCAAATTATGTGATCACCCTCGAATATAAGATTTTGCAGATCTCATAGACTACCTCTAAAATTAAGACCAAAATAAAAGCTAAGCACTTCCAATTCCTAAAATATCTAATATAAACTGAAAAATTAGTGATTTATTATGTATCTGATTCAGAAACAGTTAAATTCCTAGAATCACTTAAATCAGCTCCTTCTTTTGTCAACTTAATAGGTTATTATTCTAAATTATCTGATTTCTAGATTTCATTCTAAGTTTTATCTAATTGTTGAGCTAAATCTTTATTGATCATTTCCAAATGAAATTTTATTTATTCATAAGGACCTTGAGCAATTAGCTCGCCATGGCTTAATATAGCAATTTTATCACATTTTATTGCATATTAAATTTAATGAGTGGCTAAAATAACTATAGGTTTAGGTTTGCTTTTATAAATGGTTAATTGATAATCAAAAATGAATTGCTTAATAGCAACTGTGAATATTTTTTGAGCAACACTTGCATCAACAGCAGATAAAGGATCATCAAATAAGTATACATCAGGCATTTAATATAGAGCTCTGGCTAAAGAGATTCTCGCTTTCTATCCTCCAGAAAGTGTGATACCTCTTTCTCCAATTTCTGTCTTATCTCTAAATTTCATTAATTCAAAATCAGATTCCAATTATGCAACCCAAATAACCTTCTCATACAAAGTTTTACTATAGGCTTTTCCAAATAAAATATTATTTCTTATTGTGTCTGGAAATAAAAATGGTTCTTATTCCACATAACCAATTTTTAATTTGTTTTATTATGGTTCTTATCCATCAATTAAAATTAATCCTTTATAGGCTGGAATTTCACATAACAAAGATTGCAAAAGTGTTGATTTCCCACATCCTACTCTTCCAATGATAGCCCATAATTCTCCTTCTTAAAAATTTAAATTCAAATTTTTTAAAATTGGTTAATCATTTTCAGATACTGAATGTGTCCAATATGCACTAAAATTGATTAATTCAATTCTGCTTTGTTCTTTCTCAATTTACTTTACTTCATTAAAATCATCAACTTTATTCATCACAAAATTTTCTAGGTTTAACACATTTGCAATTCTCTCAAAAGTAACTTTAATTTAAATAAAGGCTTATATTCCATTTGAAACCATATATACACATGAAACTCGTAATACATTTAAGAGTTATAATGTGGAAATCATCTCAGCCATCCTCATTCCATTTCTAAAATCACAGTAATATAACAATATAAAAAATAATAAACTTGTCCAAATATGTGAAGTTTGAGAAAATAATCTATCTATTGCAGTTCTTATGAGTATTTTTAGTAAACTCAAATATTCAATTTGTCTTAAACCACTTATCATTTTTTAAAAGGCTTATTCCCATGCTTACATTTTTATTAATCTAATTCCTTCTATGAATTGGTTGGTAATTCGTAATCTTTAATCCTAATGAAGTTTTGCTTATTTGAGGGTTTCTTAATTGTATGATTATATTATGATTTAAATTGGGTATGCAAGAAATACTAATAGGACTGCCAATAAACCAATTATGCCATCAAATCTATTCCACAATATAAAACAAGCGAAGAACATTGAAATTATAACAACGCTACTTGGAAATATCATACTAAACATTTATTCTAATGTGTTGATGTCTCCAGATATTATATTTAAGATCTTGCCTATATTTGCTTACTTAAATGAGTAGGAATTTAACCCAATCAATTTAATATATACTAAATTTATTAAACTTAGACGTGCTTTGGTTGAAAATACCAATGAATAATTGGCAGCATGATGCCTGCTCAACAAACAAATGAAATTTAATATTACTAAAATAATCCCATAATAATGAGCATTTTCGTAATCATTTTAAGATACACTACCTATGACAAAACTCATAATAAAAGAAATTCCATTTTTTGAAACGGACTCTATAACATAGGTAACAATACATTTTCCTGTTATCCATTTCAATTCGCCAAAAAATATGAGCTTAACTAATGTTCTAAAACTAATCAGGTTCAGTTTTTAAATTCTGTTTTATGCTTTTTCGACCTATTCTAATAAATCATCATCAGGAGACAATTTTGGGAGGTGTTTGTCTGTAATTTTAAGTCTTTTGTTTAACACTTCACTTCTTAAAAGCAAAGCATAAGAAGTGTAATGCAGAAAAAAAAATTTTGAAATCCAACTATCGTTTTATCCAAGATGATTTGGATAAAATTTATGATCATTCTATTGTTTTGTATCTATTGAAATACATGCATCTTCAGTTTTATCGAGGCTTTCTTACGAAAGAAAATTTTAATTTTCGCTAATGAGGCTCATAAATTTATGTTTTTTTAGAAATTTAAGTTATGGAATATTTTGTTCTGGTATTGGAATTCTCTTAATAGTAGGCTATACTTATTCAGTTCGACTCATAATTCGAATTACTAAATACTTATATAATAAATTATACTATTTAATATTAAAGTAAATTTATGTTTAATTGTTGTTTAAATTGTGAAAATAACATTTTAATTAAAACTAACATATATTTTTACAAAAATACTATTTTCTGAGGAGAAGGCTAAAAAAAATAGTAAATCGAATTACCAAACATAAAATAACATTCAAATTGAAATACTTTTAAAGTGAAAATGCATTATATTATTGATGATAAAAATAAATCTTTTATTTAATATAAAAGTTCATGGAAATATTAGATATTCTTTAATCTTATTATTTTTATTCAATTTTGCAGGAATCCAAGATATCTATTTATTTGCATTTAAATATATAAAATAATAATCACTAAAATAGTACAAAATTAGAATACTAATAGGATATAAAATAGCCTAAAAATATTTAATTTTGCAACAGATATGAAAATGATCTCTCCATTTAACATTGTAAATAATACCTTTGTAATACGAACATTTAAAAATAGTGTTAAGTACGATTTTTTATTAGATAATAAATCATAATCCTCAATGATACATTTGTGTATAATATTAGTTTTATTTTTAGAATTTTGTAATTATTTACATTTATACTCAATAATGAATAAGTTTTTAAACAAATTTATTTCTCTTATTCTAAGATCAGCAGCAGATATACTGCAACTATATAAATATTTGAAACATAATGAGGCAAGTGGACATAATTGATTTTTGGACTTGCATATATCATCTATTGCTAAATAGTTATAATAAGAATAAATTTTACTGAGAGTACAAAACAGCTATGATTTTAGTTTGCGATTATATACTTGTTATTTATTACCTATGCTTTATTTACCACTTCCGTTTGATGGGCTAATTTATTTATTTAAGATATAGCCAAAGATATTAGAAATAAAATTAAACTGAGGGAACTGATTTTGTATAATATGTCGGTGTTTTTTTAGTTCAGATAACTAAAATTCTGAGATATAGAGGTTGCTTTTTAATAGTATTATTTGTGGATATCATTTTATAATCGAAACCAAGGGCTTTGACAGGTGGGCAGATTGTTTGTAAAGTAGGATGATTATATATTCAAATTTTGAGTATAATTAAATAAATAAAAATAATCATTCTCTTATGGCTGAATCAAAAAACTCCTCTTATTTTAAGCCTTTTCTATTTGGAGCGATTGCTGGATGCTCGGCTGCTGCTATTATTATGCCAATTGATACACTCAAAGTGAGGATCTAAATCTAAAGTGAAAGTTTGGGTCTTGGAGTGCTCAGTCATAAGAAGAATATCATTTAAATGAGTAGAGACATGCTCCAAAAGGAAGGATTAAGGGGGTTTTATTCAGGGTAGAGAGAATTTTAAATTTAGCCTTGGTTCGGCATTATTGAGACAACTGACATATACAACAACTCGTCTTGGTATATTCAGGATAATCACTGATTCGGTTAAGAAACAATAATAACGTAACAAACCCCATCATATATCTAAGGTGATTTGACATTTTTTGAAAAAGTAGGGGCATCTTCATTAGCTGGATTTATTGGAGCTTTGGTAGGTAATCCAACAGATGTGTGTCTGATCCGATTTTAAGCAGATCAATCACTACCGATTGAAGAAAGAAGGAATTATAAAAATGCATTTGAAGCCTTGACAAGAATATATCGAGAGGAGGGACTAATTGCTTTTTGGAAGGGATCTATGCCGACTGTAACAAGAGCTGTTGCAATAACAATTGGATAGCTAACAACATATGATTAGATCAAGTAGATGAGTATGCAATTCAAAGATTCTAAAAATGAAACTGCGTTCGATAGGATCATGTAAATCTAATGATGAAGCATATAGGGCATCATGTGGAGCTGGGATCATCTCTTCAATAATTTCTTTGCCTTTTGACAATGTGAAGACTAAACTTCAGAAGATGAAGTCCTTGCCAGATGGTTCAATGCCCTACCAAGGTGTGATAGATTGTTTTATAAAATCTATACAAAGAGAGAAACTGGTTGGATTATGGGTTGGATTATTAGTTTATTTTTCTAGAGTGGCACCTCAATCAATCATGATTTTATTGATATAAGATTTTCTCCATCAAAAGTATGGTAAGAATTGATAAGTATCTAAAATAATTAAGTGATATTAAAAATTATCATTTTTATTTAATTATTTTATGAAAGATCATACTATTTCGTTGAAGTCTTTAAATAATAGAACTATGACATCGATGAGAACCAGGACCAGAGATATATCACATCTGATTGATAGTCAATACAGTCATCGTTTCCAAGAACAAATTAAATAGAAGTAAGTACTTGGCGAACTTCATTTATAATAATATGTCTAGCAATAGAGGATTAGAAAATAAAACCAAGCCTATCTTGGTAATTAGTTGAGAGTCAAAACTGAGGAGAAGCTTGAGCAGTTAACAGAATAAGTCAACGAAAACCAAATTCTACCAATGTTAGAATAAATCTCAGAACTTAATTTCGAACAAATCACATAGGGGTTGTCTTAAGAAAAGGATCGTAGCATCATAATTACTTCTCTAAGACAATCATTATAAAAAGCAATCAATTGCACTCCCAGTTTGGCTTCACTCAAATAATAATCCAGTAGTTTCTTTTCAGCCTAACCAACTGGTAGACGAGATGCAGTCGTGCTTAAATAATGGTTTGTAAACTTCATCGATACCATCCACCAATCCAATAAGGATTTCAAAGATAAACTCATTTCTTTGTCTGAAGCTCTACATCTATGTTTATTAGAGATCATTCGATAGGTTTCTTACCAATGTGCTGAAAGAGGACAACTCCTTCATTCATTAGTTAAAGGATATATTTTAGTGTTTCATAAACATTTCATGATAAAAGAATAAGAATAAAGAACACTCAAATTCTAATTGTTTGAAAAAGATATTTTTGAAGCCAAAGAAAAGGAGGAAATAGAAAATCGGTCAAGAGTCTAAATTAGCATCTTAACACAAGAATTGGATCAATTAAAATATAAAGAAAATATGATTAACTCAGAACGTATAAGTTATTAATAAACTATCAAAAAACTATAGAATAAAATTAATTTATAGGAAACAATATCAAAGAGTGCAGCGAATATGATAGGCAATCTACAAAGGGAGATAGATTAATTGAAGCATCAGTTATCCAAGAAGAATCAAAACAAACATTCTTCTATTAATAAATCAGAGGATGCTATAGAGGAACAAGATCTATCGCTATCTTAAGTGCTTAAGGAGATGAATCAACAGACAAAATTTGAATAAAATTAAGATATGATTGTTAAAGATGTGATTGAAGAACTGCCTGTTGTTTCTCATAGTGTTGGTGTGTAAACATTCTAAAAATGTCTGTGTGTTCTTGAAACTCAAACTGATCTATAATTGATGTCTCCTTAATATGATAAATTTTTATCCACCTAGGAGATAGAAAATACATACAGAGAATTCGAACTAAAACAACAATTAGAATAATAGAGTTGGTTGGATGGGCTATGCGATTAGATGAACATGCATCAAGATGAGCCTTCAATTCATGATTATGAAAATAGGGGAGTTAACAAAATAGATTTAATATACGAGGTGCCAGAAAATGATGAAGGGTCACCTGATGTAATGAACAAAAGAAAGCAGGATTATATTTAGGAACGAAGATTTTAAATTGAAAGATCGGAAACATCTGAAAAGTTGATTAGAGAATTTGATAAATAGAGTTCAGATAGGTTATTAAATATAAAATAAGTATAATAAGGAACTAGTTCTAATAATACTTAATAGAATTCTTAATAATCTTCATAAAAAGCAATTAAATTATCTCCATAAGCTAATCCTTAAGTCACTTAAACAAATGCTTGTAAAAGCGACACAGCTAAATAAATCTAAAAGCAATAAATTCAATAACAATAATAGCAAAGTAATTAGTAATTGGGGTCATAAAGATATTTTCCAGCCAATGAAAATCTAGAAAAGAAGAATGAAAAAGATAAGTAGGGGTAAAAGAAAAAGAAGATGAGTGCATCCTAGCAACTTTAATAATAACCAAAATAGCATGAACAAACTTCATCTCAGAATAATACTCAAATAATTGAAGTCAATGAAAAAACTGATTCTATATAACCCAATTTATCAAAGTAATAAACTACTATGTTGATGCTTCTTTATCAGATACAAAAGTAGAAAGCTTAAAATGCAACAGCTAGAATGAATGAAACAAATGAACTCTTAACACAGGTGTTACTATTTGCAAGAAAATTGACTCTTCATATCTTAAAAACTTAATTCAAGACGCATACCTAAATAGCAGAAGAGTTCTTATTTGAATTTGAATCATTCAGAAAGAAAATTTAGAATGACAAGGAAATTTTGGAAGAAGAGTATGTTTTGGATGAAGAAAAAGAAAAGGAGGAGAAAAAGCAGGAGGCTCTGAAAAGAAGGAAAGGTAAGATATAGAGAGCATTAAGAATGAATTTCGCTACAAGATAAATGAAATAGTTACCAACAATAGATAGGTTGACGCATCCTGGTGTGTTATTAGCAATTAAAGCAAGAGAGCAATCTCATTTGTTCAAGAAGGTTGTTGCGTATTGGCCAGTTAAGAACGTCTTAAGAACTATAAGTCAAATATATTTAGAAAAAACATCCTTTGGAGGAGAAGCTGATATGTAGATCTTCGTTTTCAATTTCTTCCTTAACAAATATGGGTTTAAACATGTTGCTGAAAAAAAATACTTATAATTTTTGTTATCCGTAATTCACTTTTGTTAAATCTTTCGAGTGAATGTATTCGCTAGATTATTATGTCTTTTGCATGATGAACATCTGAATTTCAATCAAGAAGAATCAGCTTTCATGATATCAGGATTGGAATATATACACAGTCAAACAAGTCTAGGTGTTAATATTGTACAAGGAGATAGTGAGTCTAAATTTTATGTTCCTTATTTGAGAGCTTTAGAGTAAATATATGTATTATATTATTGTATAGTTATATAAAAATACATTTAGAGAATAAGTTAACTGAGGATGAAATTAAAGAACTTAGAAATGATTTAGATAATCTTAAGGAAAGTGATTCAAAAAATAAATCAGGCGTTGTTGATCTAGATTAATTTATGTCAAAGGTTATCGATAAATATAGAAATGTAACTCATCGAACTAAGTTATTTGTGATTCATGCATTTCAAGCTGCTGATTTGGATGGTAACAAAAAGATTAATCATAATGAATTTTTAACTTTGTTCAGACACATTGAATTCGAGAAATTTAATTTCTAAGAAGCATTAGATTTATTTGAAGAAGAAGCGGATATTATTCACTAAGGTGAAAAGAATTTATCATTTAATCGTTTCACTTCAGTTTGTGTCAATTAGTAGATCTTTACTGAAAATTCTCTCAATGATTTTATTGGTAAGGAGGCTAATATGGAATAGATATTTGATAATTTAGTGAAAACGTGGAGCTAATATAAGCTTGAAGTTTAAGGTTTGCTAACTCAACTATAACCATTTGTGACATCCGAAATTTATTAAGAATGGGTCAATATATTGTTCATTCTAGAAAAAAGGATTCTCAATTAGAAACCCGATTACCAGAATGTTAGGCCCATCTTAATAGCACACAAGATATTAAAGTTGGAGCTGACAAGATTGTTAGATGAGGATGAATAAAATTAGAATAAAGATTGATTATATAGTAATAATAGTTTAGTATTAAATTCAAAAATGATCATTAATTATATTAAAATATTTTCTGAGCTTTAGAAGTAAATTTGAAATGGACAATATATATTAATTTCAATTAATTATGATGCTTTTGTGGGTGCCACTCATTTTATCATTTCCCTTGTTATGGATTATCCTCTACCCCTTATGTATCTGCTATTTCTACAAATTCAAGTATGGAAATAAAGTCTATGTTCTTTACTTCCCCTTTCTGGGCCAATTCAAATATCGAATGGATGGATTAAAATTTTAGAAAGATGTTATTTATTTCAAAAGAAATATTGCTTATAACCACCCAGAAGTAGAATTGATTATCACTCACATTTTCAGTAGACCATACTTCATTTTCATCAAACCAGAAAATGTGAAATAAATGCTCTATAATTATGCAAATTATAAAAAGAGAACTGATGAGATATTTAGAGACATTATAGCATGTAAAGGCCTAGTATATGCAGAGGGCTAAGAATGGAAAGATTAGAAGCGGGAAATATCCAACTTCTTTACTTTTGAGTAGTTGTCTTCTAAGATACCAGTCATCAAAACTTTAATTTAAGATACATTATAATACAAGGAGAATTAGAGAGTGAACATAATAAAACAATGTGCAAGAATATCTTTGAGAGCAATGTAGATCTGTTTTTTTAATCAAATGAAAGATGAGTAGATAAACGGCTAACATTTAAGTGAAGAATTTCAAGATCTCTCTAGATATTTTCTTTATGTAAATCGAAAATATCTAATTAGGTTACATATGGTAGTCTAATACATTAGTTGAGAAGTTTCTTTGGAATCAAGTCTCTATCAACGATGAAGTCCTACTTTATGACGGCCAATGAGAAGAAATTCCTTTAAAGAGTGTATGTAGTAAGAAATTATATTAATAATCTCATCAATAACCACTAGAAAGGATCAGAAAAGGATGTGTTTTCAATATTATTGAGAGAACCTTTGACTGAAGAGGTTAGGGAATAGATCATTCATCAATATGTTACATTCGTTTTTGCAGGAATGGATACAACATCTCATTCGGCAGGCCTGTCTATTTATATGTTAGGTAAGCACCCTTAGATTTAATAGAGACTCAGAGAAGAATTAACTAAAATTAATTTTGATGAGATAGATTAAAAATTAATAAATTCTTTACCATTATTGAATGCATTCTTAAATGAATGTCTAAGAACTTAAACCCCAAGCGATGGAATTATTCCAAGATTGGCTGTAAAAGATCATTACGTAGGATAATACTTAATTAAAAAAGATTGGTATGTAGATGTAGGATTATAGCCTATGATGACTCATCCTTAATATTTTGATAATCATTTAGAATTCAACATAGAAAGATGGTTAAATTAATCAGAGCCCGAAGCATTCCTCCCTTTCTCATATGGTCCAAGGAATTGTTTAGGATAACATCTAGCTAGAATAGAAATTAAACTGATCCTTATTTACATTATCAAAACCTACAAAGTAATATTAGATGATTAGACTGATTTAGTTATGGATTACACTTTCCTTTATGCTCCATCAGATGATAGATTAGTAAAGTTCATAAGAATATGATCATTAGATATATCAATAAATTTGCTTAAAAATAAACAATCATTTATTATTCTCATGTATAAGTTCTCTCAATATAATGCTACTAACAACATTTTTAAGGCATCCAAACTCTTTCAAGAAACTTTCTTCATAGCTGTTCAATTTATTCTGAAAATATTGTTTCCCATCAAAATCTAAATCAATCCTTTTATCAATTCTTAAGTATTTATATCTAATGTTTTTATTATTCATTTCCTAAATTATAAACTCTAACTCTTCTGATTTATTGTCTAGTTCTAAATGCTGATTGGCAATATGAATAATATATCTATATGATTTATTTTTACTCTCTTTTCTCCATTTAGTATTTTAGGTTGCCAATTTTAAACCATAATATAATCCCTTCTTTATTTCTGCCTATCCCATCTATTTGATTTCCTCAAGACTTTATAAGATTTCTGCTTCATCACACAGATCAATCACTTAGCATTATTGAATCTTCTAATTTGCAATTATATCATTAAAAATAACTATACTAAATTTTATCCTTGAACTTAAGTGTTGTTTCTATTTTAACTACTAAATTACATATTCTATGGTATTCTAAATTAAAATATAATATTACCTTTAATTAATCAATAGTACGACCCTCCAAAAGATTGATATCACAACAAAACACAATGTCTACATCTGTTTCTTAATTTTAGACTGGATTAGGAGCCACTTTTAGTTATTTTTCTAACTATTCTTTTGTTTCCTCTTCTCTTGACTTTAGATCTTACTAATCAACCTTATTATTACCTTCATTTTCAGTAGTATTCATATTGCTTTTAGAGTTTGCTTTTAAATTTGATTCATTTTGCTATTAATTTTATTTTTCCTCTAATTAATCGTTACTTGCTTTCTTATCTGACTCATCAATATTATTATTTTTGTTTTATAGTTGGTTATTCTCTCCTTATGGTTTATTTTGTTCTTAATCATCTCCCTTATCTAATAATTCCTTATTATTAACATCTTTCTCTTATTCCACTGGCTTAATTAGTTCTTATTCTTAATTTTTAGAATTTTCTTAGTTATCATTTTAGTTCTTATCATTAGAATTTAGATTTTATTATTAATGGCTTTCATTATTTTACTTATCTTTAGTGTTATCTTTGTTATCTTTATTTTCCTCTTCCGCCTAACCTACTTTCTAATTTGGTTCATTTTTATTCTAATTATCACTATCCTATTCTTTATCCCCCTCTTCATTTTATTACTTAGCTTTTACCTCTTCTGCTTTAGAACTATGATTGATAATTTGAATAATCATACTTATGCTTCTCCTACATTTTTTCAGCCTTAGTTCTTGCTTTTTGACGTTAAGAGGATGGCTTTAACTCAGGTGACAATTTATCTTTAGGATCATCTTTGGATTCATTAATGGATGGTTTCTATTTGTTTGAGGCAGACTTAACTTTCGAAGAGGCGCTAGAGTTCTTTTATTTAGATTTGCTTGAAGTAGTAACAAAATCAGACTCCTCTTCAGAGTCATTTTTCTTTACTTTTTTACTTCTTGTAGTTCCTAATTTTTAATCAATAATTGGCTAGCTCTCTTTCATCACATCCTTGATTGTTTAAGTTTTTCTTGGCATTGGCAATTAAAATGTATTAAATTATTTAGTTTACTTTACTAAACTCCCCTTTTTTATTTTAATTAAGCACACAAATATTTTGTCAATTATATTATAAATTTAAAAATTTCACTTCTTAGAAATTCTATTACTATAAATATTAAATCAGTAATTTAATTGAGCTACCCCATTATTGGGTTGAATCAACATTGATGCTGGACGTTTAGAGTTGAAAGTATCATAAATTAGGATTGTTTAATATAATAATAATATATATTCAATCATTATAATTAATATGAAAAATGTTAGTAAAGTTCAAAGTCAAGAATATTTTCACAAAAGCATTGCAAAGTCTTCCTCTCTGTAAAAACGATTTTCTCAAAGAGTAAGTTCTCCATAATAGTGGGTTTTAGGAAAAAGGCTGGAACAATAGGATTGTTGCATCTGAATAAATTTTAGGAGTTGTACCAAGAGAATACTCGAATAAAACATTCTTGCCATCAATTAATGGTGGAACAGCCTCCATCGTTTAGAAATACATTCAAATGCATAAGAATTAATAAGAGCTCGATAATCTTATTGAATGTGAACAAAAAATATTTGCTACCAAATTAGAATAAGTAAGACAGGTACACAAATTGTATAATGTCCCCAAAATCCATTAAGTATAAAATGATACATATGCAGAATGTGTTTAATTAGATATTGGCATACTCAAATGATAAATTAGCAATTTTGGAGGAAGAACTTAAATTGATGGATTAAAAGTTATCTCCCATATTACATTGCATGTTTACAATAACTGCACGAGAGAATTGCTTAAATTAGATTTAGAGTTTGTTGAAGTAGTATTAAACTAAGGATTTAGAGAAATTAAAAGAATTTATTAATGATTATAGACTATTATCACTAAACACACTTGAGAGTATTGTGAAATGGTAATAATACATTGAGCATAAAAATCTGAATATCCAATTTTGTTTGGATGATAATACTATATATTGTGAAAGGTTCTATACAGATTATGAAATTTTGAGGCCATAATTGATTAAACTATTCGACATATCAGAATCTCATGATCCATTCTTTGTGAAATTACTAGGAAATAATCAAGCTAAATTATATGCAAGGGTCAGAAGAGCTGAAGTTGAATTATTGAATCTGATTTTTAACAATAATTATTTAAAATGAGTCAGTCAGCATTTTTATATTTAATTTCTTGAGTTTTATTTTTTGTGCTAAAATTGAGAGAAAATTTTCAATATTCAACTTAGATTTTCTCAAAGATTACTTTATTAACAATATGATCAAACTTAGCAGTTTTATTTTATATAGGATAGATTTAGATTAGACAATTTAAATTATAAGCTAAGCATGGATTAAAAATGATAATATCACATAATGGTAGATGGAGCCTATCAAGTAAGATTTAGTATATTGTTAAAATTGAATGTATGAATTCATATGAGAAGGAAGTGAATTTTTACTAATTCTTTTATATATAATAAATAATAAAAAAATTCGAGCTTGGCAGTACTCGAAACTGCAACCGCCTGATCCGTAGTCAGGCGCACTACCAATTGTGCTACAAGCCCATGTTATATTATTATTTGTTGATTGAAATATAAACTATTACACTAATAATATTAAAGTATCTTTTTGAATTCTTAATTTTAGTATAGTTTCAAAAATCAATAAAATTTAAATATTAATATACTTGCATTTATTATGAACCTTTTGGGTACTTTTCGTCTAGGAAATCAAAAATTCTATAATCAGACTTGACTAGGGAATACATTTAAAAATTGAAATACTTTTATATTCTAATTAAGGTTCCAATTTTGGTGGTCCTTCTTCCTGATATTCAATTTAAACGGCTAAGTTCAAATCCTTTTGAACTTATAACACCTCTGTAAAGAATTCTGTGACATCATTAATTAACATTGCTTCTACTTTAATTGCAGCCAAGAAGGCCAAGTGAGTTGAGATATTATTTATTTTCTTATGAACTCTTAACAACAGAGCTGCAGTTATGGAGATGATGATATTTCCTCTTTCGGATGTGGCTTTTATTGATTGCTGTTACTAATAAATGATGAGATCCCAGGCTCTATATAGAGTTTCTGATGGTAGGACATCAGAAAACAGATTAAAGAACAATTCATATAATTCGTTCTCCACTTCAATCCCATATAAGAACATTTTGTGAAATAGATCTGGATGCTTTTTGTTGAGATACACTCTTAATTTAGCACATTGTTCTAGGAATAATCGATTTTATAAGGTCTAATCTTCATACAATGGATAATCAGCCAGAACCTAATTGTGAAAACCAACTAATAGCCAGAAAGCTCTGCTTTCATTTGTTAAATCAGAAGGAGTCTATTTAGTTTCATTAGCAAATTCAGTGTAATCATTGTACCTGACATGATAGTAGATTTACATGACCAGCATTTTTTTGGCAAAAGTGAATAGATGATGAATATACATATTGTTTGGGATCAATCCTTAATTTCCTTGATACAACAAGAAACAAATCAGAAGATTCTTTAATTGATAATAAAATTGCTCATTGCCAAATCCTTTTCGACTGTCTTCTTGTCTCAAATAGAGGTCAATCTATTAAAGGAGAGTTTTTTTTAAATTTAGTTTAAGTTGGGATAATTTGAAATATAGGGAAACACTTTCATTCATGCTATCCTCTCTATCAAGACTGACTTTGTAGTTTTAACTCAAAATTGTCTTTAAGGGTTCAAAAGATATCTACAATAATTGAAACCATAATTTGTTTCTTAAATAATAGGGAATCCCCATTAAAAAGAGCCCATTAACTAATTCTTGTTCTTGGGGATTCTTGATATTATAGAAATTCATAGATTCTAAGCGGTATGAGACTAGCTCGTATTGCTTGATCTATTATTCCATTAATCCAAAATTATGACACAAATTCAAAATAACCTTCCTAATAAAGACCGTTTATAATTAATGCATTTGTTTGCTCAGAGTTTCTGGATTCTTTTATTATAAGAATAGGATGTAGCTTAACATCTACATGCTCTATTTCATACAAATGTTGCTTTCTTCTAAAGTGATGAGAATAAATTTCATGATATCCTTATTCATTTTGGGGATTTGTATGGTGCTCAAATAAATAGGATCAGAAAATGCAAGACTATGTTCAACGATATATTCTAATTCTTCTTCATAAGATTAGGGATTATGCATCATAATTGATGGTTTTACATGTATATCAATTTCTACATAAATGATGCCTTCCTTGGATTCAGTTTTCAATGAATTAGTTTAGACTAATTTTAAGGGTATCCACATGGATTTTCCCTGCTATGATTATTGAAGTAATTCTTTGACAATAATTTTGAAAGGAATAGTTGCTGTATCATAGAATGCATTAACCATGTCTTTAAATTAGATTTAAAAGATATCTTGATTACTGATCTTTGAAATAATGAATGAGCATGGTTTTCTCTCCTATTATTTTGATAAGATTTTATTCTCAAAATTTTATTCCCTCAATAACCAATTATAAAAATGATCCGTTTTTTGTTATCCTAAATAGGCTTCCATAGTTAATTTAGAATCCTATTCAACTGATTATAATTCAACAAATATGGTTGGTTTAATTAAATTAATGTCCACAGCAATATTGATTGATTTGATAAGTATGGTGAACACTAATTCCCTAACTTTTTTAGTGTTTTGTATTTCTTCACTTTTCTCTAGCCATTCTGCCATCATGGGTCTTAACCATTCGGCTAATTCGACATTGAGAACTGATTTGGATCCTAGGAATTATCGCCATTTCATTTTTTTATTTTCATCTTCTTATCTAATTTAATCTAATTTCTTTCTCTCTTCATCTGCCAATTAATTCATTCTCTCCTCTCTTTTGAACATTTAAACACTGTTACTTAACCACTTCTTCTATAAAATATTTCTAATTATTTTGACATCAATTTCCATTAAGAATTTGGCTTCATCTTTTCCTAACTTAGCAGCCTTCTTCTTTTATTAAATGACATGAATTGAATAGGTTTCTATTTTCTGAGCAAATAATAAATAGTAATTCTCTTTTACAAGTGAAGTAGACTCTTGTAAAATGACTGGCAATTTTTGTATCTAGGCCATAGCAATATGGCACTTGAAATAATCGTAATACTTGTGGACTTCCTCATCATCTTTAAAGTATATCCATACTGGACTGTGTTTAACAAAGTCGAAGATGAGTCGCACAGGATACTTTTGATAACTGACATCCCATTTGAAATCCTTATGGGCATCTTCAAGATGCTGGATATTAAAGGATTTGATGGCACCAAAGGTTTTTATAATAACATTACCTTTCTTAGATTGTCCAAGAGTAGTTTTTTATAACTAGCATTATCTTTGTGTTACAGATCCAAAGATGCCGCCTTTCTTGTAACATGGATAATCTAGGAGTTATTCATCAAGGGAAAGAACATGTTGAGCGGCTTAATGTGGAGGCAAATCTTCTGGATCTTCATCGATGTACTTCTGGAGTTGCTCTGTAATCTTTTGTCGAGCATTCCCAGCTTATATTTGTCTTTCTTCATGTAATTTTATTACTTAAAAAGCACCAACTACATTTTCGATATATTTATCCTCTTGGTATAACCAATTTTTTGTGATTTCTTTCTTATAACAATTCATTTAATTATATAATAATGTAAGCGTAGAAAAAAGGTCAATAGTAATCATTTGCAGAATATGTTAAATAAATAACTAGTTAATCTGTTAATAGATTCTAGCAAACATCTACAAAACAATTTCGATCAACCAATCTTCCTCAACTCCTTAGTGACATGGATAGATCACCATACATGATGACGAGTTTAGACAGAGCTAAATTCCCTTAGGTGGCCAAAATGAACAAGACCTCCTATTTGAATTACAGCTCAAGCGAGCAGAAGAATTTTGAAGACTTGGCATCCAAATTTGTAAAGCAGTTAGAATAACACACAATAAGAATCGAAAGAGACACTCCAAGGATTAATTTGATGCGATTTTAGTTGAACATATAGAAGTCTAAGAGACATCTTCTTAGAAAAAGTCCAATGCCATACTGATTTAACATTATATACTTATTGGACATATCTATAGTATACTAATATAAACAATTTATCAGAGAATTGTAATCTTTTTTGAAGGCTCAATGTCAAATGACTAGCCAAGTGAGATTTCATCATAAAATATATTTATTTTAATTAAATTATTTAAAATAGCAAACACCAGTATGACAGATTTTGCATTGACTACATTTAGTAGTAAGGGAAAACTATTATAAATCGAATATGCTCTCAATGCTGTTGCAAAGGGTGACACAGCCATAGGAATCAAGGCTAAAAATGGAGTTGTTTTGGTAGTCGAAAAGAAGCAATCGTCAATTTTAGTTGAAGAATCTAGTGTTCAAAAAGTTGCTCTATTGACAGACAATATCGCAGCTACTTATGCAGGATTGGGTCCAGATTTTAGGGTCCTGTCTTAATAAGCAAGAAAATTAGTCAAAAAGTATGATCTCAAATACCAGGAGGAAATATTCGTATAAACATTAAGCAGAGAATTGGCGGAGGTACAAAAAACATTCTACATTAGGATGTATAAGTGGCAACTCAAAGAGGAGGTATCAGGCCATTTGGAGTATCGATTCTTATTGCAGGATATGATGAAGAGGGACCCCATCTAGTTTAGCTTGATCCAAGTGGAGCCTATTATAGTTGGAAGGCCACTGCCATTGGAAAGCAGGCAAAGAATGCAAAGGCATTTTTGGAGAAGAGATACAATGCTGATATGGAGATTGAAGATGCTATCAACACTGCGTTATTGACTTTGAAGGAGGGATTTGAAGGTATGAGTTGAGTATTATGTTAAGGGTAGATGACAGCGACGAATATTGAAGTGGGAGTGATCAGGGATGATCATGTTTTTAGGATATTGCCTCCGTCATAGGTAAAGGATTATTTGGAAGAGTTAGAATGAAATAGATATTATTATTATTATGAATTTTCAAGAATAACTTTAGTAAATTATTTAAGGAATATTCTCTCAAAATAATTAGAGCAGGAAACAAGTGGAGGATCTGTTGGCTCAACTTAGGGAAGCATAACCAAATGAATTTGTGATATATATGCTCAATCTTTGTCGACATGAGGAAATAAAAATTAGGCAATTTGCTCCTGTTTACTTGAGATATAGTCTATCCAAATTTGCTCCTAAGAGTCATAAGAATGTCTGGAGTAATTTGGTACCAGAAACTAAAGAAACTATCAAATTGCGTCTGTTTTAATTTATTGAAGTGGAAAATAGTAGTAATGTCAAAAATTAATTGTGTGATACGATAGGAGAAATAGGCGGTTCTTTGTATGAGGATGATAATCATAATGAATGGCCAAACTTATTACCGACGTTGTGGCAAATGTTCCTGTCACCAAAGAATGATATAATAGAATGTGGATTTAAAATACTTGGGAATCTCTTTACGTATTCGATTGATCAATTCGATAAACATTCACAAGATCTTCATACTTTGTTTGTTCAAGGATTGGCTAGTCCATAAATTAAAATTAAATCCTCTACAATGCATGCTCTGGGCAATTATATAAAATACTCATTGCCAACTTAGTATAAGATATTTTAGGACTTGATTTCAAATATGATGAAGGCTGCCCTCGAAATTACAATATCAGATTTACCCTTAGGTGAAGGTATCATGGAAGTGTTCTCAGATATAGTGGAATCTAAACCCAAATTCTTCAGAAAATAGTATAATATCTTCTTTAATGGTATTTAAACTATCTTCAGAGATTCCCAAATCGAAATTGGGGTAAAAAGGATTGGAACTGAAACCCTATTGAGTTTGGTTGAAAAGTTTCCAGGACTGTTCAAATTTGAAAAAGTCTACTTGATGTAATTGGTTGAAATGATATTCTTTCATATGATTTAAATAAGTTCCACAATTAGTGATGAATGGAAGAGACCCCCAGAAGGATTCAACGATAATTTAGAGCAGGATGAGGATTAAGAGACAACCAATTTTGGAATGTCTAGTATAGATAGACTCATTGAATCATAAGGCAAAAAGGAAATGTTACCAGTATTAAATCCGATAGTAAGTGAATTGTTAAGACATCAAGATTGGAGATATTAGCATGCTGCAATAATGGCACTATCACAAGTTGGTGAATACATTGACTAAGTGGCTGACATCAAAACAACAATCGATCTAATATTGCCTATGCTTAATAATAGCAATTCTATGATTCGATATGCTGTGTGTCATGCCATTGGTTAGATTTCTGATGATATGAAACCAAAATTCTAGGAGGCTTATTTGCATTAGGTGGTTCCATAATTCTTGAATCGACTTACTGTGGAAGACGTGCCAAGAGTGAATTCTCACATTTTGGCTGCCCTCACCAATTTTGTTGAGGGTACCGACAAAGGCATTGAAGCATATTTGCCTAATTTAATCTAGTTATCTATCAAATTTTTAACTGCTGGAATTTCCATTGAGAAAGAAGGCGCCATAAGTGTTATTGCAGCCACAGCAGAGTCAAGCAAAAAACTATTCGTTCCTTATGTCAATGAGTTGATTCCTCTCTTATTCTAAATCTTTTCAACCCATTAAACAAAACAATATAGACAGTTGAAAGGTTAGGTTATTGAGACAATCACTTTAATAGCTTCAGCAGTAGGAGAGTAAGTGTATCTTCCCTACCTATAATAGACAGTTTAGATTCTAATTCAAGTGTAGACAAACAACTTGGAAACTGCTGATCCACAGAAGTCTTACGTATTCTCAGGATGGCAAAGATTGGCATTGGTTTGTCCATAACAACTGACCAAGTATCTTGGAGACGTAGTGCCTTCATTATTTCAATTAATTGAATAAGTGTTTAATCTCAATACTACAGGATCAACCAACGAGGAGGAGTTGCATACTTATGACAACGAGGAAGCCTAGGTTGCCATTCACACCTTATCAGTATTCATCTCAGAACTCAGACAGTCTTTCTTCCCCTTTGTTGAGAAGTGCATTAAATTAATAGTGCCATTGTCCTAATTCAATTCAGATTCAAACATTAGAAGTTCTGCTTGCAAATGTCTCGTCAGTTTGGTCAAGAATGTTAGAGAAACTAATAATCCTTAGTAATTGATGAATGGGGCTAAGTATTTTCTTGGGATTATATTGGAGGCTGCCTTTAAGGAGTATGATCCAGTTGTCATCATTGAACAGGTTGACAGCATCAAGGAAATCATTGAACAAGTCTCTTAGCCATTTATGACCACCGAGGAGGTCACAGAACTGTCAGATAAAGTATTTAAGTTATTACTCGAATCAGATAAAAGAAAGGCTGAGAATGAGAATATGGCAAAGGATGAAGATGTGGATGAGGATGAGAAGAATGCCATTAAGGAGGAAACAGAGACTGAAGAAAATCTACATGTTAAAATTGCTGAATGCATTGGTTCGCTATTCAAAACGCACAAAGAATTTGTTTTTACACTTTATGAAATTATTTGCAATCAAATATTACCCAAAGTACTTGACCAGTAAAAATCTCCTAAGATGCACCAATTTGGTATTTGTCTAATTGACTACATGGTTGAGTATTTGGGATTCCCATATATACAAAACAAATTCATTGATCTGGCTCAAGCATTAAGTGTGTATGCATGTGATAGAGTGTGCTTTGTGAGATAGGCAGCTGTATATGGAATTGGTGTGATGGCTATTAAGACTCCATAGGAATTGTATTTGCAAGTCTCGCAATCTCTATTGAAATCTTTGGTTGAATCTTTGAAATTACAAATAAATCAAGAAGATAATGAGAAATAGTTTGGATTAGCAAGGGACAACTCGATCTCTGCTTTGGGCAAGATCATCAAGTCACAACCGAAATCGCTTGGATAAGATTTAATATAGGGTATGGAAACCTGGTTATATTTATTGCCTTTGCAATATGATAAACGATAGGCTTACATCCAGCATAATCTGCTGGCTGAATTCATAATTTAAGATGGAGATCAATTTGTCAATGGGAAACCTGAAAATGCATTATAAGTAAATATGTATATCATATGTGTATAGATACTCAAGGTTATTGCTAATTGTTATAAATCAAAGTGGTCTTCACCATAAGTTGATTCTAATATAGTGAGTGCACTTAGGATCTTTGAATAGTTAGATTCAGTAAAAGTAAATGTCCAGGAAATATTTTAAAAATTGAGTCCTGAGGATCAGAAGAAATTATTGGAAATACCTAAATGATAAAATTACGTTTGTGTTAATAATAATAATAATAATATTCATGTTAAATGAATTCACTTCTTCCCTCCCTCATCTGGTAACTCAGCTTGCCAGTTAGTAAGATTGTCATTTATCAATTGCAAGATGGTGGTCACATCCTTGTATTGATCTTCTTCCATATCGTCCAACTCTTTGATTGCCTCACATAAGATTGGGAATAAATACTTCGTCCTTTACAGTTTTAGCCAATTCGCAAGCCTTGGCAACATCGCTCATGATTTCATAACAAAACACTGAATAATTGAGAGTAACTCCCAATCTTAATAAATTGGTTTTTGGAAACTTGTCCTTGTCGATTAATTCCAAGGCTGTTTGATAAGCTTATTGAGCTTGTTGAATTGCCTTCTCCTGAGCCTTTTATTAAGAATATTCTGCAATATATCGATTGTAATCTCCTTTCATTTTGTGATAAAATACTCTAGCCTCAGTGTTAGCTGTCTTTTTCAAGAGAGTGTGATCAATCAACTACAAAACCTCATTGCAATATTAATCCAATTCCTTCTCCACTCTTGCCTTGTAATATTAGAGCACCTCTTAATATTTCACTATCTAACACTTATCCACTTTATTGTTACCTTCTACTTCTCCTTAATCTCATAGGCGGTAATTGCTCTCCAGGCAGTTCTCCTCTATCCCACTGTATTCTTGTAAGCTATAGAGAGTAGATTTCTCTCCTCATTATTCAAATCTTTAGTTATCTCTGCTACCTTCCTCATGTTCTCAACCTAATCATTGAATCAATTGCATTACCATATCCTCCCATCTTTCAGTTTACTCAGCCAATCGAGCCATGTATGTGTGTTCGTCTCTCTTATCTTACATAATAATTTATTTAGATATATTATTTTAATTTCTGAACTATGAAAAGAATTTAATCGCAATCTCAAATAATAAGTAGCCTTAATTATTATCCAGAATCATTTCCTTAGACTAGATCTCGAATGGAAAAAGAAGTTCTATTGATATATAGAAATAATGTGGTATATTCAATTAAATTGTATTCTATAGGTTTTCCACTCATTATTTAGATTAAGTCTTGTTTTATTTTGGATCTAATATTATGGTGATGCATATTGCTTTTTACACTTTTAGTATAATAATAAATAAATTCTATATTATATTTTTCTATTTTCTATTTCATTTTAATCCTCTTATCAATTATTTATTAATTCCTAAACTTGAAATAATATTCACACAGAGTCATATCAAATAACTTAAGTGCTTGAGTCATAATTGAACGCTCTTTTATATGATAAATAAAAAGAATCATTTATGGCAACAACAGGGAATAAGTAATATGAACTTAAAAGCCATAAAATTAACTTGTATCATTTGAGAGAGAGTTGAACCCATTTATTATTTATTTTATATATTTAATTTTGCTTCTCATAATACTTTCTACAACAAATTCCAAATTTGATTAGATAATTGCACATCGGGGTGGTGGAGAGCCAACACAAACAATAAACACATGGTATTGAAGCATGGTATGAATGAGAAGATCCACATTATCCATCCTTGAAAGGTCAAGTAGGTTGAAAATATGATGAAATAAGGAAGGCACGTGTAAACCTCGCCTAATTAGGTCTTAATTGCATTCTACCTGTAGTTTGGTACTTGTTTATTGCTTGAAAGGAGGGGATCAAGGCGCCCACTAAGCCAGTCACGACCCTTGGTGCAATGCCCAACAAGGTGCATAATATTGAGAGCAATAATGATGCAAATGCTATGTGTGATAACTTGATATTGGGCTAGATGGGTAAATTTTATATAGGATGAAGGATACATTGGGTAGGAATTTCTTGAGGGGTTCGTAGTCGTCTAAATCAGCTAATCGCAACTTAGCTATAATTGGCTCCACTTGTTACATTAATAAAATGTTTATATTAATTTAATTTGCATGCATCAATTCATTGATTATTGATAGGATGGCAATTGTAGTACAAATGATTCAGTAGTGTATTAATTTAATTTTGGGATATTTAAATGTTAATGAGTCTGAATTGATGGAGGTTGGGGGAGAGGGATGCATTCATTTCCTTGGAACAGATTAATATTGGCATTCAAAAGTTATTATTAAATTTACTTATAATATATAATGACTCGAGGCTCTGTTAGAAATTAAAATGAAACGATGTTCTTTATTTCCGCAGTCAATTTGATTTTTGGAATCACGAAGTCAGAAATGTTCACAATCATATCTAATGCAATCCTCTTTGGTTTGATTTTAAGTAAGTAAAGTTGATGCTTATCTGAAGTTTATTTGTTATACAAGTACAAGAGCCATAGAAAACAACTAATTTTCGAACAAGTCATCGTAGTGTATTATTGCTGTTTCCAATTGGTTCTGAGAGGAGTACCTGCTATTTGGTTTAATATATTTTCGATATCTTTGGACTAACATCTAGTTTAATTTGTAACCTTACTAATTGTTATCGCATTCACTTTCGCATAAGTTCAACCGATGACAGAGATTAGTATACTTTAATCAATTTTAGAATAATTGATTCTGATTATCACATTTCTTTACAAAAAGTACAATTTCACCAATCTTAAGAAGCACACTCAAAATAAACTACTAAAACAGATCATCAATAACGTAAGGTATTACACATTCGACCACAAGTAAAATGAAGTTAACGGAGACAACTTAATGCCATCAGAACAAATCTAAATATCAAATGCAACATTATTTTCATCTCGTTCTGAAAATCAGAAATTGCAATGTCAAATCAGAAAGGATATCAAAATCAAATGTTATACCAAACAACAATTAGACATGGCCCAGCAATCCCAACTCATCACTTTAAAACCCTCAGTTTTTGATACTATGGCTGGATTTCTGGAATTCTACTAAAAGGGTAAGCATTAGATGAAGGATAACGTGATTTTAGCATCTGAATACGAAGAACCAACAGGACGAAAACAATAATATAGATTATATATAGAATAATTTAAATAAATTCAAAAAGTATACACTCTAGTTGCATTTGTTAGTTTGCAAGATAAAATACCATCAAAACAAAATAAATACATTGATAAGTTCAAGGTAAGTTTGTCCAAAATATTTACACACAAATTGAAGACTCCTCTCAACACCACTCTAGGGTTCTTATAAGCCATTGTTTAAGAGAACAACACAATAGATGAATAATTAAAGTCTAACTTTTTGAAGCCTGCCTTTATCAATTCAAAAATCCAATATTATTAAGTCTAGGACATTTTAGATTATGTTAATTCAGCAAAACTAGTTACTTTTAAGGTGAGTAAGGTCAATTTACATAAGACTTTACAATTGATTTACGACATGATCGAATTGCAATGTCGAGCTAAGTAGATTCAAGTCGTCTTTACGGTGAATTCCAAACCCTTCGACATAAATGAGAGGTATTTGATTACAGCATTTTATGATAGACCAATATACCTATCTACTGATTAATTAAGATTGGAGCGAATCCTATTCAATTTATTGAACAAATCATATAGACACACATAAATCAAAGGGAAAATTCAATTAAAAGTGGATGTATTGACTGAACATAATTAAGTTTAATTTAAAATAAATGATAATGTTTAAGGATTCAAGTAAGAACAATTTGAATAAATCAACAATTTTGCTAAACTATAAAACCAATGCATTCATGGATTTCGTAATTCAATTGCCAAAAGATCGACTTTCAAATTTAGTCTTACACTGCAGATCACGAATAAACTAATTTATTTTCTAAGTGATTTTCAGTGTTCCTTATAAATAAATCATGATTTGGATGATGGAGCGAGTTATCATTTTTTTATCAGTCTCAACTGCCAATAAGAAAATCTCTAGTAGTCATTCGAAGTCAGTTAGAGGAATTTGAGTTTCTAAAGAAAAAACTCTAATTCACTTAAAAAACATCTACCAAATCACATATCATTATTTACAACCAATAAGAATCAAACATCGTATATCATACTATTATATGTAGGGATAAAATCTTAGAAGAATATGAAATTGATGTTGAACCGCTTGCAAATAAACCACTTTAATTGAGCACTTAAATGGTTCAAACCTCTCCTAAAAGTACTCTATTAAAGAACTAACCAGTCCAACAAAGCATCCTTCCTTTTCACAAATCTGTCTTTCAAAAGGAAATCATTGACAAATCACTAACTATTTCGATGGCTTTTGATCACTCCTTCAATGTGAAACGTATTACAGATTCAATAGACATCAGACAAGACATGAATTAAACCATTATGCTGGTTGATGATGAGCCATTCAATCATGACACTCTGAAACTAATGCTCAAGAGTTTAGGATTCAAAAATTTTATTAGTGCCTACCATGGCTAATAATGTATAGAATTAGTAACAAAACATTACAAGTCTATCAAAGTTATCTTCATGGATCTAGATATGCCTATAATGGGCGGAATTAAGGTATATATGCATCTTAAGTTCCATCTCTAGGCTACAAAGGTTCTCGTCCAATAGATGCAAGATGGTGAAATCGATTACATACCAATTGTTGCTTGTACTGCGCATGATGATAAAGATACTCAATAAGAATGTCTAATGGCAGGAATGATTTATATAATTGCTAAACCTGTATTTATAAGGAGTTTGTAAGAAACATTTTTGAGAATTAATGAAATCAAAGTTAAATCTTAAAATTATATTTTTGGATCCAAAGCAATTTCGTCAAGTATTAAATGATAACATTTTGAGTCTCTATTTGTGTGTTTATATTTTCATTAACTTAATTAAATTAAAATATCATTTTGTATTAAAAATATAGAAGAGTTAAATTGCTTATTAAGAGGATAAATAGGCTATCCTTATATTTTGATTTTTAGAATATATTTTAAATTTATTATTATCCAGAATGATTTTATAAGTCATTAAATTTCAATTATTCTTAGGAGTAGGACTAGGATTTTTCAAAAGGTTCTTATTAAAACACCAATAAACCATAATAATTGGTATTCAGGATTGCTTTTCTTTTCTAAATTTCATTAATCGTTAGGTTTTGCTCGACACAGATGATTACAACCAATACATAGCTTCTTCAGTAAACATAGCAAAGATATCAAGTAATAATTTCAAGTTATGTATAAATCAATTTATTCAGGAAATTTATAAATATTAACCTTTTGAATTAAAGATTACAAATAATCTCATCAATATTTTAAAGTACCTAAGAATAACACTTAGAAGTTGCTTAATCTGAATGAGTGGAATTTATATTTAAAATTACCATCAAAAAAAGTAAGCCAGTCAAAAGTTAACAAGAAATATAAACTTTTTGAATTATGCTCAGACATAGAAGTTTGAAAAACATGAAAAGTTAATACTAATAGAATATTGTATTGATTCTTATGGATTTGAATATGTCAATCATGAGAGGAGTAGAAGCACCTTATCCTGTTATAATTAGACAGCTAAACTATTAGTGTAGATGACGATTGATTTAGATATGGCTTATAAAAATATGAACCACTTAAATAATAAACAAACTAAGGCTAGTGCTATTCCTCATAACTAAAGGTAATGTTGCTTTTAATAGATCTTTAGGTTTATATTTGTTTTAAGAAAAAATAATCCAGGTTTAGATCTTTTCTCACATATATAATCAAAAATAATTTAAAAATAAAATCGGGCAGTTCTTTTAAAGAGCAATTCTTATTTTAATCATGTTTTATAAACTATTTCTATTGATTTTAGAAGTGAATTTTTGGTATCATCTATGAGAACAACAAAAATAAGAAGGATGGTTTTTTATATATAGAATACTTTTCATTAGAAATATGCTGAGCCTAACGAAATTTTATTAATTATAAAAATGAAGTATATTAATGCATCACTTCTATTGCACATAGATTGGACTGTCAGCTGGTTGTTTTATTCCAACAATAAAATTTTTTAATTTTATGGATTCTTTAAGTTCTTCTTGAATGTCAGACCCAGCTGAAGAAGATTCTTCAAAGCTAGCTTTTCTGCTTGAATTAATTTCCTAAGGAGGAGAACGAAAACTCGTTCTTTACATTTAAATAAATTTTAGTCTAATAGCAGGTTTTGGCTGAAAATATTGTAATGCCAGACGAGTTCCGCTTTCCTCTTGAGAGAATAGAGAGATCAAATACTCATAGTTGGGATCTTCATCAAACTTTAACCCTTTTGCATATTCCATAAAACTTGATAATTAAATTGGCAAACCAAAAAATTTATCTATTTTTAGAGCTTTTTTCATTTTTTTGATTTTTAAGTACCTGATTTCTTTATCTTGATCACTAATAGAGTACCAAGGTAAATTGCCTTGATGCAAATATATGAGCATATATCCCAAGGATTCTAAATCGTCTCTTCTGGATTGTTCTATGCCTTTTAAGGCATTTATAGATGCATATCTAGCAGTCCCTATCATTCCTTTATTCTCTTTGTAATGAATATGATGACCATCAATAATGTATTTTTTCGAAAGTCCAAAATCAATCAGATTGATTTTACCATCTTGCATAACAAAATTCTCTGGTTTGATATCTCGATGAATTACTCCTAACGAATGGAGTTCTTTCAAAAGTTTGATGATCTCCAATCCAATAGGTAAGATTTTATTGAAATTTCCTTAATTTTGGCGACGCTGTTCCAAGTTTTCTCCCATCAGATTCATAACAAAGTATGTATTTTGCTAATCAGACCCAGATGCAAACAACTATGTAAATCCTTCATGTATTTATTATTTAAATACCTTTCTTGCTCTTAAGGATTTGTAAGATTTGTATTTCTCTCTGCAGTAATTTTTTTTCCTTCCTCATAGAATTTTTGACAAGCTTACAAGCAAATATTTGACCGCTTGAAATGTGTTTGACTTTCCAAATGTAACCGAAAGCACTATTTTCTTTATGATTAGTATTACCCTTCACCTAGCTTATCGAGAAATTGATAGGAGGAAGAAGCAGGCTACTTAATTGACCTTTTCATTATGAATGAAATTTTATTATATAATCAATTACTTAATATATGTAATTTTGATAAAGGCCATTTCATTTTGATCTGACCAAACACTGTCTGATTATTGAATTGGAGTGAAAACCCATATAAAATTTGCATAATATTTAAGGGAAATTAAAGAATAAATTAAGGAGAACACTTAATCATTCCTGAGGTTTTGTTGTACATCCATGGATATAACAATTGGGTAGGAATGGGAGATTGTTTGATGTTTGATTTGTCGCTGTTGAATTCTTCAAATAATTCAACAAGCTACCCAGAGAACTCACAATATAATTTATATATATTAATTATCATTTTTATTTAACTCCCCTTTGTTTACTGCGTAAAGAATATAACTCCTCTAATTGTTAAAAGAAATTGTCAGAATAGTTCTTAATAACCCCAGCCAAATCTAAGACAAATTAAGCCAGCATAACCTGATTTTGATACACAATCCTACTCTCTTGAGCCTAGATCTTGGAGAGAACGAAAATCATAGTTTAACTGACATGTCTATGACACTCGTCAACATTATCGCCCATTTGAAAAATCTCCTCTGGATTGTACTCCTCATTTAAAGAGTTCACATCCACATTGAGTTGACTTACAAGTGGATTCTTAACGCTCATTGTCATATATCTTGGACTGATGATTGGTTTGTATCCATTCATTCTGGGAGTCGTAGAATCAGGAGGAGCATAACGCTCATTTTTTATTTAATATATGATGATGGTACTCCTGACATCTAATTTGGTAACATCAAGTTCGAACTGTTTAGCCATTTTGTTCATGCTGTTGTGGAATTCTCTTACATGTGTTTTCACTTCAGCATTCTTGATTTCTTTCATGAATTTAAGATTTTCACAAATCCTCATTTGACATTGATCAAACAATAAATTATCATGGGTCCAAGGTCCTGCTCCAATCTTTGTGAATACAATTTGCTTGTCTTCAATACTAATCAAATACCATTTTCCATCCATCTGATGCAATAACTTAAAGAAGGAGCAATCTGGTAACAATTAATAGGTGAAGTAATTCTCGATCAAATAGAGAATCTAAAAGAAATACTTAATATTGGGTTTTGGAAATTTCAATATGCCCATTAAAGAGAACAGTATCTTGCTCTCAATTTTAAACTTACTCTGAAATTTGAGTTCTTTGATCAATTCAAATTTCTAACCATATTCAGTCTTAAAGTACTATTCCTCCTATTATTTAATATACATTTCGCTAGTATCTCTCAAAACAGCATTTTAGATCAGTAAATCATGGTTAGAAATGTTGACATGTTTCCGTTTGAACATTTCGTCCTTCTTAATTTCATTCCTTATGTGCACAACATACTCTGAAGTAACATTATAAATGTTATGAGACTCCTTAATGAATTTGCTTTCCAAGAATTCTTAATAATCAATAAAGTAGTCACAGTACAGTTTCTAAATCTCAAGCAATTCATCCTCAACAATTTAAGCAAAATCTCCTTAAGGTTTCAAATTCCTAGTCACTTGGTTTGGATTGATTCCTACCTTCAATACCTTACTGTACATTTGTGTATCAATCTGAATATCCAACTCAATAGGAATTTCCAACTTCTCATTCTGATTTGCTCTAAAATTCACATTCCTCGGTCTAAACTCTAGGATGTCTGGATTATCATCATTGAGGATTGCAGTTTTCTTTTGTAACTGAATAGCATTACTTAACTAAGTACCATTTCGAATGTCATATTCAGTCCCCAAACTGCTACCCAGTAAAGCTTCATCCTAAAAATTAAGTTACATAGCCACTCTCTCTTCTGGTTTGAAATGCTCCATCTCTTATTCAAATAGAGTCTTAGAGACAACTGTGAAGACTTCCCAAACCAACCCTCCGATGAGTGCCAACAAGAAGATGGAGAGGAAAACAAATGATCCAATAAAGATCATTGGAGTCACTAGATTCTTGGTGTCAAATGAGAGTTCAAAAACTAATTGTCCCCATGATGATGCTGTAAACACTTATAACATCATCAAATATGATCCACCCATTGAGTTAAAGTCTGCGTATTTACATTAACCCCACAAATATCGAAATTCATTCGGATCACATGAGTTGTTTGAGAATGGGTTCTCATCATCTGTTTAGATCCCTCCATAGATGTAAATCCCTATGCAAGAATATGTAAAAAAGACTATCTACACTGGCAGGATCAATCTGAGAATTAGTGGAACACAAATGATGATCTTGTATAGCAGATTTCTCACATGGGCGAATATTTCTAATCCTCTCAGTAGATAACCCACTAACTTTATGGATCTGAAGGCTCTAAAGAGTCTGAAAACCTTCTGGATCTTAGCAATTCTCAAAATCCTATTGGCTTTGATTGATTATACGATATTTCCAGTCACAAAACTAAATAAGATATAATCAAACAGTATCTATAGAAATATCAACGAGATATCAAAAACATTCCTACAGATAACATCAAACATAATACCAACCATCAACAAAAAAGTCATATATTCCCAACCCTATCATTTTAATTAAACATTCAAAAATGAAGATACCTAAGAACACTATGTCAATAGTATCAAATATGGCAATCACATCCAAATCCTCAATAAAGAATGCAGAAATTATCAATCCACAATTAATTATTGTAACTAGGAACATGAATAGAGCGAATAACTTTGAGATAATATGTTATAATTACATTAGATTCAATAAATTTCTTTAGTCCATGTTTATTTAGGAAATTCCTTAGAGATTCCCAACACTTGAGTGGTTTTGTTCTGGGCAATGAGATTTTCTTGCTATTCTATAAGACGTAGAGTAATTGGTTAAATTCATCGAATTAAATCTTATCACTATTTGATAATTGTAAATTACTTGAAGTCTTTATCAATTTCAGAGAAGATGATTTTAACTTCGTCATCAGTGAGTTAATCACGGTAAAAGGTTTTTAAGAATTTCTTGAATTGATTTTCAGTCAAAAAACCTGCGTCATTAGAATCTAGTGAGATGAAACTGGCCATCATAGCTGATTTTTATTTGATGATGTCTTGGATTGCAATTTGCATTCTGTGTTTCCGAAATCCTTCATAGACTACAGCCAAGGGGATTGGTTAAAAGAGAAATAGGAAGAGTATTATGTAGATGACAAAATAGAGAGCGTAGAAAGTGCCTTAGAAGATGGGTGGTATCATAATGTCAGGATAGAAATCCAGAGTAGCAGCCATGAAGAGCATATTGAACAGTTTGAAGAAATCCCCATAGTCTTGTGTGTCTATATCGACGGTTTCCAGTTATCCAATTAAGTTGATTCCGATGAAAGCAAAAGTGGATATGATAATCACGTACAGTAAAAGTAAGAGGAGCAAGTCCTTGCTGGCTTTGACTATGCCCTTAAGATTTCGTCTCAGATCTTTGGAATAAAATATCATCAATGCTGGTCTAATTAATCTACTGAATCGAATTTGAGTTTAATCAATCTTCCAATTTATGAAATCTGTTGCACACACCAAGAAGAACAGCATTTTTACCATTCTCTTAGTGTTGAATTGGAACCCACCATCGTTCTTTTTAGTGGCCAGCAAAACCAAAGTTATTACGAAGTCAATCTTAAGGAATATTAATATGAACAATTCGATGTTGGCAACTTGGGGTGCTTGATAGAAGTCAGATTCGGGATAAGGTTTTTCAAAGAAAGTGAGGATTTGATAGAAGATTGTTAGTGTCAAAAGAAATCCACTCCAAATTCTGCTATTTTCAATGATCCAAAGATATTTTAAAATTACTTTGTCTGCAAGATCGATATCATTACGGATGGTTCTCAAATAGTAAGCGTCATAAATATGTCTTTCTGCTTTGAGTTATTTGTCATCTGAGGGCATGTGTTTGACAATCTTTTGGATCTATGCAACAAGCATGTCATTCTTTTCTTGGAGTCGGGTGTCTAGTTTGGTGAGACTGATGGCATTTTGTTATTTGAAGATTGCAGATCTCCTAGGATTGGGAGGTCTTGGTGGAAAATTGTCACACAACTAAGGAGATTGAATGTCATCTTATTTCATTATTTGTTTTATAATAATGTCTTTCAATAATCAAGTATTTCTTCACAAATCACTTCGTCGTCCTCCATATCGTAACAACATATTTATAAAATCATGAACGCTGTCAATATCAATACAAATAGTAGGGCAACTGTCAACTCGTAACATTGTTCCTTCACCATTAAAATGAAAGAACCAAAGAAGAAGAATCTAAGTTGATTAGGTCAATATCCTTACGCCATTGCAATCATCACTTCAGAATGCTTCACTTTTTTGTGAAAGAGACTGGAATGAGGCTGTTGTTTTTGTGATTGCAAACAAAAAACGACTAAAAATACCAATCTCACCGCTGCTGCAATTAAAAATGCAACTCCACAAAAGTAAGTCAATGGCAAAGTCATCGTGCATTGATAATAGTATGGATTTGACTTGCTAGTTCGAATTATCAATTTACCCTTCGATGTAGGAATTGGTTTACAGCAGCACATATCCACAGAGCATACACAAAAAGGCAATGCAACAACTATACGCTGATTATGTTGATGAGTTATCTTCATGTATTTCACTAGAATAATAAATTTCATCATTATAAAGCATTTTATTGATAATACTATATTTTTTATTAATATTTGTTAATCTATTTTTAAACAGTGATACAGTTCTGAGTATACTAGAATTTATATAGCAACAATCGCAAAAGAAACAATTTTTATTATACATATATTTCTACATATAGATTTGTTTGATTAGTTAAGACTTAGTAAGTATTTACCCATAATAATATGGCACCTATTGATTAGTAATTGTAATTTCTATAATAAATCTACAATATTGAAATCACTTCTCATTGATTTTTACTGACTGAAGAGGAATTGAGTATGTAGAATTGAAATTAAGAGAACACAAATTAAGTCATTAGAGTGAGTTCTTAACATCACTTATAAATTATAAAGCTATATTTTATTAAATAAATCTATCTTAATTTAATATCTTTTATAAATGGAGTAAGATTAGAAAGTGGAAGATTTTGTGATCAAGAAGTCAGAGTTTCTTGGAAAAGGACAATATGGTGTTGTCTATGGATGCTATTCAGAGAAATTGAAGGATCAAAAATTATGTGCCAAAGTATTCCTTTATTGAGATAGTATATAGGTTCTCCAAGCCCAAATTGAGAAGGGCTTGATCGATAGAGAAATCAAAATCTTAGAGTAACTGAATAAAGTGGACAATCCCAATCTAGTCAAAATTTATAGAGTGATCAAAGAGGAACGACAAATATATATCGTTATGGAGAGATGCACCGGGGGAGATTTGAAGCAGTTGATGGACCAATACCAATTATCCAAAAAATCATTCACCCTAGAGCAAATACAAGATATTGCTAGACAAATAATATTGGGATATAAATCCTTATTTGACATCAAAGTTATACACAGAGACATCAAGCCAGCCAACATTCTTATTGAAAACAATGGAAATGGTTAGATTATCGTGAAAGTATCTCATCATTCTTATTAAATTAGCTAACTGACTTTGGAATGGGAAGAATGCTCGATGATATTACTAAAAAATAAGTATTAACAAAAGTAGGTACTCCAGCCTACGCAGCACCTCAATTGTACTTGGAAGATCAATACTCTTCAAAATGCGACGTCTATTCTGTAACCTAAATCATCTAAGTCATTAGTTGGGAGTCATCCTCTATCAATTAGCCTTCAATAATAGATTGCCATTCACAGCCAAAACTATCCCAGAATTAACTCAATTCCTCAAAGATCTTAAAGTAAAACCCTTCCAATGTCCAGAACTAACACAAGAGGGACCATAATAAACTAAGAAAGCAATCCAAAGTCTCATCAATAAAATGATGTAATTCAGCGAAGAAGCAAGACCAGGATGGGATGATCTATTGAAGAGTGAACTATGTAATTGTGTACATCTCTATATTTTAGTTGAGATGCCCGCCAAACCATCTAATTTTGATAGCCAAGGTGAAATGAAGTTGTTGGACTCCATCTTTTTATATCAATAGCAGTCAGGCTAACAATAATACTTCAACGAGGTCAAATTTAGAGCAGTTTGCAAATTTGCCAATCAAAACAAAATCACCAAGGCTGATCGCATTAATCATTTGGTTTCTCTATTTTTGGCAAAGGCAGAACTATCCTTCAATCTTTCCCAAGTCCTTTCAGAATAACTGTACACAATTTCAATTATAATAGCTTAATATCATTCCCTTATTTCAATGTTTACCACTTTGAGTTGCTCCAAACTTGCATCATTGGCTATCGTTATAAGATTTTGATGAATGCCTTTGGTTTCTGCTTCAATTGTTTGGATGTGATTTGTGAGGAGATGAGAAAAATGTACGATAATCAAGCCTTAAAATAAACCTTATAAGAATATTTGAATGATCATTCTGAATGGACTGAACAAACCAAAGAAAATATTAGTGAATTTTTGAATATGTCGAATAAGGCCTTTACCCATGCTGAGAATCAAATCATCAAACTCATGAGGACCAACACTTATCCACACAACATCCAAAACTTCTAAAAACTCATGTCCATCATTGATAACACAGAGTTCAAAATCTATGGAAGATGGTTCTAATTCTTTTGGAAGTAGGATTTAAGAAAAATTTTGGTTTATGACAAATCCAAGCAATACGATGTCGGATATCTCAAGTAATCAATACTATTTAGAGTAGAATGTTGGTACTAATCGAGAAGTTTTTGAATATTGATACCGAATTTCCTTTTGAGAAGTACAGTGAACAAGATCCATAGTAGATTGTGCTCAACGAAAATTTAACAAAACAACAGTTGGAAACCCTTGTGCAATAGAGAAAAAATGTTTGAGTTATAATAATAGAAAATAATATTTAATTTGCAATTATTAAATTACACAATGAATTAAAAATCTGATCTAATAAAACTAGAGGAAATATCAACTAATAAATTCAGCCCAGAGCTATTCCTTCAATGCATACTCTATAGAAGTTAGCTGTCATTAGATTTGTCTTACTTTCTTGAATAGGCTATCTACAAAAAAGTAGTTGATGATAACAATAATTTTTACAACCTTTAAATACTTCGGATTTGTGTCGTATGCTACAATTACTACTAATTGTTGCAAGGGACAAATTTCTTAAATAAAGATAAATATGCTGGGATGGCGAATCAATTGAAAAAAATCTTTAGAGATGAGAAAGAATACCTAAATTAAATTACTCAATTTTCCAATGTAAAATCTAATACAGCTGATTATTTGAGAAAGGAAATTTAAATGACATTTGAGAAATGCAAAAAATTAAAAGATGTAAATTATCTTTTTCTATTATGAGGCCGTTCCTGCTGAGTTTTCTAAAATAGTAAACTATTTTAGGGATACTAAAAAAGGAGATCTTAAATTTGAAAAGTTGCAAACTTAATTGGATGCCACCAACTAAATTAATTACGACATATATTCTTATTTTTTCAAATTGTATTACTAGCAAGAATGGTTTACTTAAAATTAAAATTTAGAAGCAATTAAGTAATAACTTCCTTAGATTTTGTAGATTGTAATGCTTCATTATACATTTCTTAAAACTTGATTCCATTTACCCAATCGAACTTTTCGCAGATTAAACATTAATATTTGTGAGAATATTAGATAATTAACCAATAGACTATTATAAAAAACTTATGGATTAAAATTGAATTATTATATAATAGCAGATATACAATATATTTAAATCCTTTATTATTGAAGGTCTAACTACAATGATTTAATTTATACTATAAATAACTGTGTTGTTCTAATCGATTAATAAAATGAAAATAATGATTATTTTTTAAGAAATGAATTAATTTATTCTATTTAATGAATATAAGCTACTAAGTCATTTCAATCATGAGTTAAAATGAGAAATAACATCCACATGATCTAAAACAAAGTTATAATGGAGTTGAGATATAATAAAAATTCAATACTGACCTGAATTTATGAATTCAGCATTTTGATTTAAAATTCAAAATTACATTAATGATAATTTATCATTCAAAATTATCCAACAATTCTTTAGCATCCTTCTCATTTGGATCCAATCTCCAGAAATTACTCTAATTATATTCCTATTTAATTTATTCATCTTCTTCATTCTAATCATCATCATTTTGTTATTCCAACTCCTCTTAAACATCTTCATCTTCAGCAGTATCCTCCTATTAATCCTATTCAAATTCATTCAACACTTCGGTATTCCTCTAGACACCCTCTCCATTCTCATTATTTCCAACATGCTTGTCATTCTTTTAGAAATTATTGTTAAATTTCTAATAGTTGTATTAATGTGCATACTCTTAAAATGTTCAAGATATTGTCAGTTTCTTGTTCATCAAGAAGATCAGGTTCCTAACTGGGTCTTGGATTGGCATTACACAAAAAGGGTTTCTCTTTTGAATTCACTTAATTTAAGATGTTGTCCGCAAATATCTACCATTATTCATCTATAATGATTGAATCATAATATACTCTAGCGAAGGAACTTGAGAATTTTATTGTTTTGTTTGCCCTTATCTTCAAGGTAATTGGAGATGGAAGTCAAGAATCCAATGAAACCTTTTTTAGAATTTTCATTATTGTGATTTTAAACAATGTAGTTTAGAAGGTTATTATTTTCAAAAACCTATTGAAAGAATTAAAAATACTTTACATCTAGAGTGAAATCATCTTAATTAAGATCGATAATTGCCCTAAGTATTTTATCACAACAAGCATGTATTTGATTGTTTGATTCATACTTCAGAATGATAACTTACAAAGCTTCAATTAGTCCGTAATGTATTAGAATCTTGATAATTTTTTAATCGTTTGTTCTTAATATATGAATAAATTGAGTACTGAACAAGAACTTGAATAAGTTTGAGTAAATGCATTCTTGCTAATCCAAAAGGTTGGATGGACGATCTATTAGAATTAATGAAGTTGCTAGTGTGATAATCTTGATTCAAAAGGTTTGGAGGTAATTCAGGTAGAATCGATTCAAAAATTGAATAATCCTTCTCCAAATTATGAACAACCTCATCATCATCTTCCTTTTTGGTTTCTTTCGATTACATCTCTACCAAATTGATTAACAATTGGTATGGGCCTATTCTCTATGTTTACAAGGCGATTTTCAGGAATAATTCAGGTTTCTTGATGATATCAATGAAAGGTATGATCTCCCCATTGTTATAATACAAGGAACTCATGCTCTTCGTTGTAATCTCAATCAATATGTCGCAAACATTATCCACTATCTCTGTGTTGTAAGATTTGTGTTTTAATAATTTAATTATTCTTTCCAATAATTCCTTCCTTTCCTCTAGGAATTTCTCTTCGTAATTTTCTTGGGATGTATCCAAAATGATTAGCTTTTCAATTATTTCTGCGATGTGCTTAATATCGATGTGCTTTATTAGGTTTGACAGTATTGCTCTGTTTTTGACGATCGTTGCCCAAACCTAAATATTTAAAATATCATACATCGAAGCCTCTCTTCTTTATTATTGCTATGAATGCCTTTGCAAAATATCCTGCTGAAGTAACATTCAGGATGTCATTTTCCAAGAAAGACAGGAGTTAGTTGTACAATCCTTGGCGTATTTATAAATTTTCATTTTAAATTTCTTCTTCGGGACACTCGAATAAGTAATCAATCAGCTTCTAATTTTAACTACCTAAGATCTCACTTGTTAGAAAAGGGTATCTAAGAGTATAATTAAGAAATTACTAAATTTGAGTTTTCTTATCAATGAGTTCATCTTCAAATTAAATAATGTAATTGATCATTTTTTAATACATTTCTGGATGCTTAATGACACTACGAATATGCTTAATTTAATACTGATCAGCAAACTTGGTAGCTCCTAAACCTTTTATTTCTTGTAAAATTCCATCAGTTGATAAAATCGTTTCTAAATCACAATCAGGAGTTGTCAACAAATTATCTAATTGTTATGGCTAAGTGAAAAAACGAGCAAAGCTAACTATATACAATTTCTTACTTGAAAAACATAAAATTTAAATTTTTAATATTGTTATAAGATTACAAATTAGAAATTATTATTTTCGAGATAACCAACACTTAGTATCTTATTTGCTTGTAATTAAACTCTAAGTTTTTGCATAATAAATTGGAGAAATTATAAAAGATAACTATAACAATTAATTTGAATATTAGAAATAATCACTTAATTTCATAAATGTGTATTGTATATTTTATTCAAAAATAGGAAAGGTCCTGTTATGAATAATTAGAACAGAAGAGAATTGTATCTTGAGATCGTTAGTCATTCAATGATAAATGTCTGAGTCATAAAGAAGGGATGATATTGAATTTAAAAACTTAGTAATCAATAATAGTCAAATGAGGATGTTAAATTTCTTCTCTATTATCAAATATAAATTATCTACAAATCATTATAACATCTGATATTAAATGCATTGTCTGGAGAGAAGCAATAATACACTTAGTTTGACTCTTCTGTTTCCATCCAATTTAACGAATGTTCTCCTTCTTTCGTTGGCTGATAAATTTTTTAACAATTCGGTTTACAACTTTTACACTTTTTCCATCAGCAATATGTATTAGAGTCTATTTTCAGCAATTCTAAGAGTAATAACAATTTAGATTACTTGTTTTGATTGAACATCTCAATAACAAAGCTACTTTTATAAAATCTAGTGGCTTATGGGGTTGTAGGTTGTTTGAAGAATTTAAATTCCTTATTGTTTTGCTCCTTAACAAATTAGGGGAGCTTGTTTTATAAACTATTATTTTTTTTGTGGGTTCTTAATGTATACTAAGGGCGTTTTGAATTAAACTAAAATGATTATTTAAATTCACATTGACTTCCCAATAAAGTGGATTAAAATAATTCAGTATTTTCAGGAGTGCTTCCCAAAAGATTTTTTAATTTTAATTTTGCAGCAGGTAGTTAATTTTCATAAATGCTACAAGTATTCGATATGGAGTTCTTACTTATGAAAACGTGACTATTTTTAGGAGAGTTGAACAGACTTGAAGCCTCACTTTTTCTTTTTCTATGATAGGATTCACTTGAAATCAATCTTCCCATACTATCTCTTTCATTAATAAATGGCACAAAGGTTTATTTTTTTTCAATTAATTGATTAAGTGGATGCTCTTAATCCTTGATTGAATCCAAAATCAAGGCCTTCATAAATTTATCCGTCTTATGAATAGCAGGAAGTTCCTTATCCTTATAGAAAACACAGTAATCCTAAAAATTTTCACTATTTTGCTTTTTCATTATAGTAATATTTTTAATAATAAAACATTAAGCTACTAGAAAATATCATAGATGAGTCATTCAATAATAAACCAATAGATTTTCTGAATAAAGGGGTATTACACATTTTTCAGGATAGGCCTATTTGATAATTTAATTATAGACTTCATATCCAGACTAGAATAAATAAAGGAGAAAAAGATAAAAGGAATAATATTAAATATAAATCCATTAATTTGAATATACTTTAATGAATCAACTAAATTTATTTGTTTCTTACAAAATTTTGGAGGGACATTTGTTCAAGGATTCCATTATCGAAAAATCAGTTTCTAAATTAATCATACTCTTTAGTAAGCTCAATAATCTAAGAATTCGATATAAATATTACTCTTAATTATTTGGTTCATTGATATTTTAAGTAAAGGAGTTTTCGAAAGAAGTAAAAAAGAATTAGAACGATTGAGCAAAGAATAAGTAATTTGTGTCGTCATCCTATTCAAGAACCTTCTTCATTTCCTGGACTTAAAGCTGGTTAATTTAGAAACAGGAATTAAAGAATTTACATTCGTCTTCCTAGAAATATGAATAATAAAAACCCTGAATTAAAGAATGGATGCATTGAGTGTTTTTTGTATGTATTCCTTCAAACGCTTAGAAATCGAATCGTTAATTTTGAAATTCTCTTTTAATTCTTCTGGAGTGATAATTGCCTATAATTGAGGAATCAATTGATGGAATTAATTAAGTAGTAATCCTAAGATATTTTGAATTAACTTGTATCGATATCCTGAGATACATAAAGAGAGCAATATTAATTCTCCTGTTTTCAAGTTGAAGGCAGTTTGCAAAGACCTAAAAATAGATGAATGAGTTAAAATACTTTTAGTCCTGCAAATGTTTATGACACTTTTTGGCAAAATCACTTTTGTTGGTCAAAATACGAATCATATGAAGAATTTTGTTATCGGATATATCGTTGACTCTGTAGTATTATTAGTAATTGGTAGGTCCAGATTTTTGTTAGTGGAAAACCTAAGTGGTTTTAGTGGGGGTCTATGTCTAATTGGTTTCAGATAGTATCTATCTCAAGATATCAGATTAGAACACATCCATCCAGGAGCATCTCTCATGTTCATCATAATAGAGCATCTACTGGATTAATTGTCTCACATTTTATGGCACAATTCCTGTAGGACATTACTCGTCACACTATTTTGGTGTTGCTTTGAGATTCCTTAACTTTTACAATAGTTCTGGTTAAGTGTTGGCCTATATAGGTAATTACCCATAGATCAGTTGATAAAATATGACACCTAATGAGTAGACATCAGCTTTGGAAGAGAACTTTGATTCTAAAAATAATTAAGGAGCTGCATAGGCTGGAGTGCCTACTTTAGTAAAGTTTTGAGCATAATTCATGTCCTCAATTACTCTTCCCATGCCCAAATCGGCAATTTTGAATACTCCATTTTAAATAAGAATGTTGGCTGGTTTAATATCTCTGTGTATAATGCGGGATTTATAAAGTGTCTTATATCCATTGGCAATTTGTGCGACTATGTTGATTGCTTCGTCTATGGTGAAGGGTTGGTTTTTCTTCTTTCGTTTATCCAGAAGTTATTTGAGATCTCCTTCTTTGCAAAGTTCCATGATGATGTAGATGCTGCCATGTGATTTTTCATTGAACACCTCAAATACTTGGATCAGGTTCTGGTTTTCTCTTTGGATTGGCATGAGCATTTATATTATTTCGACTTCTCTTTTCAGGATTAACTAATCGACATCTTCTACTTTCAAGACCTTGGCACACAGTTACAAGTCTGGATTCTAAATGTCTGAGCAACCATAAACAGCTCCATATTGTCCTTTGCCATAGAATTTCTTCTTATCTATTTGATAGTGTGAGATTTGGATGGGTTCCGAATTTTTGATAATACTCTTTTTACCTGTTTATTCTATTTAATTCATTATATTATTTTAATAATTAATTAATGAAATACTTGTAATTATTGTTGCTTTTTATACAGCCGATTATTGAATTGGAGTTATTCAGTATTTCTGAATTCTATTTTACTTAAAATGGCAATCCAGAAAATTACATCATAAGTACCAAAAATAAATATATTATTTTTATATATTATTTAAGATGTATTACTAAATAGCACAATTATCTTATTCTGGTCTTCTTTTTATGATTCAAGTTCTCTTTCTCTTTATCATTAGAAGAAGAAGTCGTGCTTCAAACCAGGTGTTCTCCGAGTATCAATATTTAATAGAGTAGACCACAACAATTAAGCCAATTCGCCCCAGTACCTAAACGAAAGGATGCCTCTAGGAAGTCTTCAGTGATAATAAGTTCGACGATCAGAAAAAGTTTTTAGTAAGTGAGAAATAGCACTATCAAATTGGATGGGGCTGAAGAAATCCCTTCTTAGTCAATGGGCGTCAATTCAAATCATTACATCAAGGCTATTATGAAGGAATAGAAAATGCAAAGGAAGAAATCGATAAAGATTGAATCCCCAAATAGCACAATGTTGCAAGTTCAATTTGCTCAAAATAAATCTCACACCGAAAACCCTGATAGTCAAAGAGATCCGTTCCAGGAATTAATCGGAGATCAGAAATCCTAGTCAGAGAAAAATGATATGATCATCTACGTGACCTATTATGTGGAGCGAATCGGATTCGAATAGGGATTTATCTTGCTGCTTTGGTATCTTGATGTAAACTTCTACATCTTCATCCCAATATCCCTATTCGCTGGAGTTTTGATGAGAATACAAGAGAAGTTCGGATACAGATTGATCCAAAAGATCCTTCTAATCTTGCTTCATAGTCTTCTTGTCCTCGAGACATATCTTATCATGACGAATGAATATGAAACATTTTGTTATTTAATTGTGTTGGGAATAGAAACTGTGTTTAGTATAATATCCTACATTTTACTGAAAAAATGCAAATGATTAAATTAATTCACATCAATATTCAACTATTCTGATTCAATAGTATTTGTAAAATGCGATGATTTAATTTTATCAAATATGTATAAAAATATATTAAAAATGAATAAATTATAGGAGTTGAATGCTTTTGACCACACCAAGAAATTCAAAATCAAAACTGACCGCAGCTCCTAAATTACATCTCCCAAAAACAAGGAAATCGATGCTCAAGATGATTTAGTCAAGAAACTAACTGAAACCCAAAAGATGCAATAAAAGGAAATAGATAAATTATTGTTAACCATTGAAAACAAGGAAGATCAAATACGAAAATCCCAGGACTTGATCAAATTGCAACAAAAAGAGATTGATCGCTTGACTCACATCAACGAATATCTCATGCAAGCCAATTAAACTAAATTAAGCATTTTAAAAGATGAAAGGCAATTCAACCAAGGAACCAAACCAAATCCAAAAACAAAGAATCTTAAGACCCTATTACCAATTGAGAAAAAGAATAATAAAATCACAGAGGATGGTAATACCCAATCAGTAAAACTTTTCAGGAGATAAACGTTTCGAAATCCCACTCTAGCGAGATTCCACCCAGACGATGGAGAGACCTTCAAAAATGATAGGAATAACTCTGGAGCATCTAATTTTTATGATATATTACAGCAAGAGGACTGCTTCAGAACCAATGCAATCTTGAATATCTAATTATGTAATCCTAAATAGTTAGTCTTTAGCTGATGAAGATGCAACTACATAATATAATAGAGATGGAACAGTCTCGTTGATGAAAGTGCTTCTGGAATCTGAAGAAAACTTTTGTGACATAATCCAATCGATCTCAGCATAAAAATTATCATTTCTCTATGACAAATTCAAAAGAATAATGTCAGATCATTAATAATTGTTTATCTTAGTATTAAGACTCAAAAAAATAGTCACAGGAGCTCTGCAGATGAATTCCTCAGTCCTATTAGATGATGCGTTGCAAACCATCATTGACAAGTGCGTTGACTGTTTAGAATGCGATAGGGCATCTTGTTTTATTGTTGACTAAGCAAAAAAAGAACTTTGGACCAGAGTTGCCAAAGGTACTCAAACAACAATTAGACTATAAATTGGCCAAGGACTCGCAGGATTTGTTGCTTAGAATCGAATAATTTTGAATATTGAAGATGCGTATAGAGATTAAAGATTCAATACCTAATAGGACGTTAAAAACAATTATAAGACAAAGACATTATTGGTATCACCTATTTTGGATGGTGATAAATGCATGGGAGTTTTATAATGTGTGAATAAATAAAATGGATACTTTACTAAGGATGACGAGGCTCTCTTATAGATTATGGGGGAGTTCAGTAAAAGTGTATTAAAAAATGCAATGAATCATGATGCCTAGATGTTAATCTAAAATAAATTAAGACACATTATTAAAACTGGCATCATACTTTAAAGTAAGTAAAACAATCTTATTGATTTAATTCTCTCTGCAGAGGATAGGTTAAGATCGTTAATGAATGTGGAATAGGCCAAAGTAGTCTATTATAATTAGGTTCTTTCTCATATTAATAGAGAAGGCAAACTTTGTTAGACTGATACTTTGTTGGGCATAATGGGAACATGTATTTAGGATCAACAATTGGTGGCTGTGAGCAATTGCTATACTAGTCCTATTTTCAATCCCAATATTGATATTGAAACGAATATGCCAATTATTTGTATGCCTCTAAAATCGCAAAATCATTAAATTATTGGGGCCATTTAAGTAATTAATGTCAAAGGTATTGGTAACATTTCATCAAACAGTGAGGCTAAGATACATTCTATCGATTTAGATATGCTGGAACTGTTTTGTTAACAATGTGCTTAGAGTTTGCAATACAGCAAGGAATCAATCTTATGATGATATTAATTAAAATATTAAATATAAAATGGGCAATTCCTAATAAAAAAATGATGAAAAATTAATTTCAACAGTCTGGCTTGGTGTGAATGTAATGATTATAATTATGTTGCAGAATGATTGGAAGGCATTAATGAAAGATCGATTGTCTCGTTTAGAAGAGGAGTGGGTGATGAGTATGATCAAATGCTTAGCTAAACATTCTCCTCAGGAACAGAATAGATTTAGACAGAAGATCAAATAAGTTTGTAAATATTTTGTAAACCACTATTTAAGTGAGTGAGACTATGAAGGAAGACAGAATGAAGCAGATTGTGTAACAATCAGAAGAGTTCTTGTAAATGTTTAATTATTATAGTTTAAATATTTAGAAAGAACAATGAGTTTCTTAGAGAGGACACAGTCATTCGCACATCATCAGGCGACCTAACATTATCAACTAGTTACAATTCCTGTATATCTAAATTCCAACAATATTTAGTTTCAAAAATCAACGAGAATCAATCTATATCTTCGTAGAAATAGGAGATACAGGATTACGAAACTCAGAATGCTCAGGCTCAAAAGTTTTACTTAGTGTTTACGATTATAAACGAGATGATCAAATCGAACCAACATCCTTTTTTCTATATGATTACATAATTTTAGGGATGGGCCAAAGCATACCTAAATAATCTTCAATAATCCAATCAAAATTTGTCGTAGTTGAAAGCTCAAGTTGCCAAATTTGGTGTAACAACTAACTAATTCCTGAGTTATCTGATTCATGCCTTGAATGAGTATTTGGGTGACATTTCAAGTGATCAAATTGATATTGCATAGAATAAGTATCTAAAGGATAAAGCAAATTACTTTAATTTTTTTCTGTCAGTGGTAAGACATTTTAATTATCCTATTTAGACTATAAACGAAACCCTAACAATCCAATTGATGGAAGTGTTGAAGATACTGCATAAAAATAGTATAGTAAATTTGATGGGAAAAATGACACACTTATCACTCAAACCTGACTTCTTTGACATCCCAAAGAAGCATATGACTTAGACTAAGCCTTTTCAAGAATAGATTGAATATCTATAAGCCATCTAATTCTCAAAGCATCCAGCAGAAAAATACTTTGTTTTAGCAAAGGGATATCAATTACTAAGGGAATGTCTTACGAAAAGTGCATCTAGTTTTGTTTAGTTACAAGCTATAAATTATGTACTTGTCCACTCATAAATCCAAAATTTGCATGCTCATTTACATTTACTCGAACTATTTTATCCCAGCTCACCATTATTACTAAAGTATAATTCGTCATTGTAATTTTTATAAAATATTATAATATGACGACAATTTTAAATTATTATAATTAATCATAATGAGATGTAAATACGACTAATAAAAATAGAATATTCAATCTAAGCAACACAACAAATATAGAGTTACATCTTTTGTAATCAGATTCTTTTGCAGAACTCTTAAAAAATGAGTCATCTATGATATTATAAATGAACTTCATCTAGGATAAGATTAGATCTCAACGTAAAGCAATCAAAAAGAAATAAAATTATATGAATTCAATTCAAGATAATCTAATTCAACAGCAGATAATAACATACTAATTGAATAATAGTATAAGGTAGAAGTGTTGATTAAGAACTTTTGGAATACTATTTAAATGATTCGAATTTAAGTATGTGAATTAAAATTGTTTAATTAATAATGGAGAATGTGTGAATATAATTGGATCAGAAAATAATAAGAAAGTCTTAAGGTTTTAGTTAATCTAATTCAACTCTAGTAGATCTGAAATATTTAATGCTATTCTTCGTATTAATACTTTAGAAATACATCAAGCATTATCTACGATAATAAGGAATGAATATATTATAGTTATCATATTTATAGACATTGATTAACAAATTACCAAAATGGGAATGTATAATATTAATAAAATATTGATTAAATGGATTACGATGGAGAGGCTAGTCAGTTTCCAGATGTCTCACGTTTTAGTTTCAATCCAAACGGAGTCCTGCATCCTAAACCAGTTTACTCACAATGCTCATTTACAGGAGTGAAGAAGAAAAGCTTTTCGCTGCATGGTTCTAAGAATAAGGGATTGAGAAATCTGAGTTATAAGGTGAAAAAGATAATTGAATCAGAGTCACAGACGACTTATAGGTTCGTGGCTGATAAATTGGTGTCAGAGGACAGCGAGTAAAAGAAGGAGGAATAGAATGTGAAGCGTCGAGTCTATGATGCACTCAATGTCTTGATCGCGGCTGGGGTTATTATAAAGAAGAAGAAGTTCTTGTTTGCAACGCCAGAGACTTTCAAGAGTGGGAAGTACTTAATGATCTTAATAGGGTGCCATAACAAAGACAAATGGCAGAAGATTAAGGAAGATCAGTAGTTGAGAACCAAGAAGCATCAAGTCTTGAGTCATAAGAAGCAATACTTGATTGATCTAGTGAAGAAGATGCTCTGCATTCGCCATCTGATAACTAAGAACAATAATAACAAAAGTCTTCCCAATAGTTAGAATGCTGCTGAAGCGTATCATAGTAAAAGTGATGTAGATTCTTGAAAGACGAAAAGGTGGAACCCTCTCAAGTACCTTGTAGTTAATAGAGTATCTAAAGTGGAATCTTACTCTACTCCTACGTTCAACCACAAACAGTATTTCAATTCCCTATTTTTGCTTTCTGGAGTAAACCAGAGGATGTAATCAAACTATTACTAAAGTAATATAGCTACGAATAGTGATCAAATCACAAAAGGAAGTGTCTTTGACCTCTAAAAGGTTCTGCTCTTTTATGTCTGAAGTAGAACTGATCCAGAATGTTCACCAATCAGCTTTATTGTCCAAAGTCTTTGATAATAAGTCTTTTGTTAGTTTCTATTTGAACTTAACCAAAAATTGATTTATATATTAAAATAATTTTAAAATTTATCCAATATATAACCAGATGAAGAGATTTGATCTATTTTACGAGTTTTCTAATCAATAATTAGGATAAGGAGTGTTCGGATAAGTTTATTTAGCAAAGAAGAAAACCACTTAAGAATAGGTGGCAGTCAAAGTAACTGAATTTAACTAATGTAGATTTTACCCAAAAATAATCAATTGACCTTGAGTGAGATTGAAATTCTGAATGAATTAGTCAAACATTCGCATCCTGCCATAGTGAGAATAATTGATGTGTATGATCAGGGCACTCAAGTATATGTAGTTTAAGAATTCTGTAATAGTGGCACTCTATTTGATTTTATGAAAAAGAAACCTCAATATTTGGGTGAGGAACATTGCATTGAGATTCTGGAACAAGTTGCCCAAGGGTTAGATTATTTGCATAAGATCAATATTGTTCATAGGGATATTAAACCAGAAAATATTTTAAGAACCACCTATAATGGCTAGATTTACTATAAGATCTCAGATTTTGGATTGGGTTGTATTGGTGATGTCAAACTCACTTCTAAATTTGGGACTGCCTACTATGTTGCTCCTGAAATCATCGATGGAAGAGCAGAATTATATGGGTATGATAAAACAGTCGATATTTGGGCCTTGGGATTAATGTTTGACGAATTGTTACATGGCACTCCATTTTTTGATGGTCATACTGAAGACGAAGTCTTTATTAAAATCAGGAATGAACCCTACTATCCAAGAAAGCATGAATATTCAGGTAGCCGTTTGCCACCAAGAAAACAAATAGTTGCTAACATTCTTATGGGAATGATTAATAAAGAACCGAATCAAAGGAAATCGTTACCATGGATACTTGATTTAATAAGACAATACAAGTAGAATGTTAACAATAGTTCCATCTCTCTTTTAAATTAAGTCCCCTTTACTTAAACGCCTATTTCACCACTGTTGATTAATGATTTAGATGTTATTCAAGACAGGAAATCCATTTATCAACAAAAATGTGCCATACACAATCAACCAGCCATTTATAGGATGCCAATTAAGGATTAGGATATTGATGTTTCAAGAATAGTCTCTGCATGTTCTAAATGTTTAAGAAGCATTGGAGTTTATGAATTGGATACCTTATAAAAGAAAGTTGACGAGGCCTTACGTATATTAACTATGGAGAATTTTGATCAATTCTTTACCTAGAGTTATATCAAATAAGAATTAAAGGAAATGAGGGTAGAGTATTTTCTCAATTATTCATATTTTTCAATAAGGGATGATTAATTACAATCAAAATACGATGCCATCCTTATGGATTAATAGAAAAAGGCTAAGGTAGAATACACTACTAAGATTAAGTAATTGGTGAATTTTAGAGATAAGAATTATACATCTGATGAATAATGGCTGATATATGTGGCAGAAAAACTGACAGATTCAACTGAAAATGAGTTTGTATTATACATTAAGGAAGATTTGGCTTAATTTAGTGAACATGGAGTTGAAGATTGTAGGTAATTGATCTTGAATCATTTAAAAGAGGCATCAGATTAACTAAGTTCTTTGATTTGAGATAGTTTAATATAATATCACTCATCTAGCCATTTAATCCTTTTACCATCTTCCCATAACCCTCTCCTCATCTTGCCATTTGATTCATAATAGTTACCTTCCCCATGTTATTTTCCATTATCCCAGAATCCTTCATATTTCCTTCCATCCTCCCATTCATAAACTCCAAATCCATGTCGTTTATCTTGTACAAATTCCCCTAAGTATGATCTCCCATCTTTCCATTTATAACATCCTTTGCCATGCATACAATTATCTAACCAATCTCCAACATACTGCAACATAATTACACACAATTACCTATCGACCATCTTGCCATTAATATGTACCATGACCATTGATGTTGTTTTCTGACCAAGCTCCCTAGTAAGAACTACCATCTGGCCAATAGTATTTGCCTTAACCATCCTTTTTGCCCATGACGTAAAATCCTTCATATTTACTTCCATCTGCCCAAATTTCAATTCCATATCCATCTTGTACATCGTTCTTCCAATAGCCCTCATACTTGGCTCCATTGACGTGTACATATATGCCGTAGCCATGTGTCTAATCATCCTTCCATTCTCCTTCGTCTAATAAAAATAAAATAAACCTACAAGTGTCGCCGTCTAAATGCCAGAATTTACCGTTACCATTCGCTCTGTTATCTTTCCACTCGCCCTCATACTTGGCTCCATCTTGCAAATACGTGAGATACATTTAATTACCTGGCCAAGTCATAATTCCGATTCCCTCCCTCTTGTTTCCGACCCATTCTCCCTCATACACTCCTCCTGTGGTGTAGCGATAAGGAGGCCGCCTCTATTTCTCGGTGTTATTATTCAAATGAAGAACTGGTTCTTTGCTCTCAGTGAAGTAGCCTTTCTGGTGTTGGCTCTTTCTTGAACGCACAGATTGAGGAGTGCATTCCAAATCAGACAATCTCAAGACTTAAATTTCAGGTTCATTGCAAATCTCACTGCAGTAATTGCCCATTTGTATTTTAATGAATTCAAATTCAAAATATATTTATTATAAATAGAATTCATTATCATTGATATATAAATAATTTAAAATATGAAAAGCAAGGAACTTTGGACCTCTGCAATAGATTAGCCCAAGGATGCGAATTCCAACATTACCAACCAAGTTTTCGCATGTGCATTTTTGAAAGGTATGTGAAATCGCAAATCCCCAAGATGGTGATATATTCGTGGCAGCCGTGGGTAATGCACTTCTTCTTTTCGATACCTACAAATCTGACATGCTGTGTCCACCCTTGAGAGGACAACACAAGGAGACAATCACTTGTTTGGCCACCTCTAAGGATGGAAACAAATTGGTGTCTGGAAGTCAGGATAAAACAGTTGTGGTTTGGATGTACAATAGTAAAAAAAGTGATCGTTTGTTGGAGCCAGAGAAGTGGTTTTCTCATAGTGATGCTATACAATGTGCAGCGATTAGTCCATTGTAATAGCAGATCTTCACAGGGTCGAATTAGGAGTATTCCCTTTGGATTCCTGGAATGAGCAACATCGAGCGATAAAAGTTTAAGGAGAAGATCATTTGTTGTGCCTGGAGTGCAGACGGGTAATATGTATCCTTTGGAACCATAAGTGGTATAAATAATTTATTTGAAAATAGGTTTGATTGTAATTACGGACAGACAGGCACAAAATCTGAAAGAGATATAGACTCAAAAAGGAGGACCTGCTTGGTGTATGGAGTGGTCTCCAATAAATTCAGATAACCAATAATCTTAACTTACAGTGGGAGTTTGGATGAATTCTTTATATCAATTCGATTAGAATGGATAATAAATTGGAGCCAGAATAGAACTGCCCTTCGATCCATTACATATCAATTTTTAGCATAATGGAGAGTACATGGCAATTTCAGGCAACAATAGTAAAGTCAATTTGTACACGAGAGAAGGGGGATTCCTATTCGAAGTATGTTAGCAACAAGATTGGATATGGTGCACTAAAATTAAGCCCAAATCAACCTTAATAGGTTGTGGCACGAATGATGGATAAATCATCATTTAAGAATTGATTTCTGATACTGTTATTGGATTATATAATGACAAGTTTATAAGCAGAGAGCAATTGACTGATGCTATTATAGTGTCAATGAATTCAAATTAAAAGGCTAGGATAAAATGTAAAGAGTTGGTCAAGAAGGTCGCTATTTTTAAGGAGAAAGTCGCCGTTCTGTGTGGAATCAAGGTTCTAATCTATACTTGCGTGATAAAGGGAGATGATTATATGAAGTACAAACAATTCAAGAAGTTTGCCAAAAGAGTGGATTGCGACCACTTCTAATTGTCATCCTCCAATGTTTTAATAGGTGGAGGTTAGAAATTGATTGCCTTCAATTTTAATGGTGATATGGATAGAACATGGTCCTTTGAAGCACCTATTAGTTTTGTTAGTGTTTAAGGAGGCCCTCCTAAAAGGGAATTGGTGTTGGTTGGATTAGAGAACGGGGGAATTTATAAATTGTTCTTAGATAATTCATTTCCGATTCAAGTTCATAAGGTCAACACTTAGATCAAATATCTGACCATGTCTCAAACTAAAAGAAAGTTGGCTTTGATTGATGGCAATTCGAATCTCCAAGTTCTTGACACTATCACTAAGGAAGTACTATTTGGGGAGATGAGTGTGGAAGGAGTAGCATTCAATGAGGAGTTTGAGGATTTGATTGCTTACTCTGGCAAGGGATTATTGTTTATTAAATGTATAGCATTTTAAGCATTGAATTAAAAAATAAATGGAAATGTTATAGGGTTCAAGGGATGCAAAATATTTTTATTTGATGGCTCAAAACCTTAGACGATTGTTATCCAGCAGACTGCAAATATGTAGAAGTATTTAGAGAAGAAGGACTTTTAGAATGCTTTGAAAATAGCATGTTTGGGAGTTACAGAATAAGACATTAGAGCATTGGGAATAGAAGCATTGATTGCAGGAGAATTTGATATTGCAAGAAGAGTATTACATCATCCTAATTAAAATAGTGTTTTTTGAGGAATAAAGATTATCAATATATAGATTTGTTGTAGAAGTATGAGAAAAGGAATTTGGATGCACAAACGTTGAATGAACTCAATGCAGAGACACTGGCATATCAAGGGAAGTTCATTGATGCAGGCAATCTGCTTATAAAGGTCGGTTTGGCAGATAAAGCAGTTTAACTGTTCAAAGAGTTGAAACGTTGGGATGAAGCAAAAAGTTAATAAATTTGGTTACATAATTAGATTTTGCAAAGAAAGGAGATGTGGCATTTAGGGCTGTGACATCAGGAGGGAGAACAGGCACTGGAGTCAGAGCACCAACATCACAAGGGAGAACAGGCACTAGTAGAGGATAGGCTGTGATACCATAGCCATAAGATATAGCAGCTCCAAAGATAGAAATGAATATGTTATTGAGAGAAGAGGCAGAGTGGATGAAGGAGTCAGGAGATTGGAAGGCTGCTGCAGACTTATTTGTATAATGTGGAGAATTCAAGAAAGCCATTGATTTGTATGGGTAGAATAAAAATATCGATGGATTAATTAATGTTTGTAGAATGATGGACAGATAGGACAACACAGACAGCATTGTCTAATGTGCCAATTACTTTAAGAAACTCAAACATCATGGAGGCGCTAAGGAGGCCTATCTTAAATTGAATGACTTGTAGAGTCTGATGGCTTTGCATGTTGAATTTGAGAAATGGGAAGAAGCCTTTCAAATTGGTCGCTCAAATAAACAATTGCTTGAGATTGTCAAAGTTCCTTATGCCAATCATCTATTGCAGAATGATAGATATGAGGATGCACTCAAAGCCTATAAAAGTGCTGGAAGATATGATATATCAATGAAGATGACTAAGGATATGGCTAAGAATTGTATTGAAGAATAAAGGTATCATGATGCTAGTCAATATCTTTGGAATCTAGCTATTGATTGCCTTACTCAAATTGCTGATTATCATAATCCCTCTGGCGATGATGTCAAATCAATTAGATAGTATTAAGACTATAGTGATTTAGCTGATGTCTATTTTGCTTATCAAAAGATACATAGTTTTATCGGAGAACCCTTCCAGCCTCTGTCTGGAGAAAATTACTTCTTACAAATAATGAATGCAGCTCGATTTATCATCTCTAAGTGGAAAAGCACCTATCAAGGAATTAAAATGAGCTATGTCTATTATTCTCTTGCAAAATGTGCATCTCAACTTGGATGTTACAAAACTACTCGTATTTGTTATGAAAAACTCAATGTATATATATACTTCTAAATTGTAGTCATTCAAAGTACCACCCGAATGGAGTGAAGAAATAGATCTTTAATCTATGCTTATCAGATCCAAACCATATACAGATGATGAATCGAGATTGCCCTTTTGTGCCAGATGTCAAACATCAAATCTTATGTTAAACGAAAATCAAAATTGCTCTTAATGCAATGTTTGTCTTCATCCTCTTTTTTCATCCTTCATCACTTTTTAAAATCTTCAAGTCGTAGAATTCAAGGTTGATAACGCCTTATCCAGAGAGGATGTTGAGAAATTGCTTAATACTGAAAAAGTCATAACCAATAAACGACCAGGTTAGCTCTTTTAAGACAAAATGAATGAAATTATTCAATAATAACAGACCTCGCAAGATCAGTATTTGGCAGTTGAATTAGATGAAGCGACAATTAAATCCCTATCCCCTGAAGAAGTCCTTATTGTTGATCTCAGGCCATATTGCAGAACTATTGATGTCAAATACTATAAAAATATGGATTCCTCATAACCAATTCATGTATGTCCTGACTGTACAAGATTCTTTTTCATTGACGAACATGAATTTGAGTATGTTCAAAAGAAATGTTGTCCGTTCTGTAGAACCACTGATAGAAAAATACCACAGAAGGATATATTTGATCTTTGAAATATATATTTACAACCATAATATGTGTCACTTAGTTTTATTTGTATTATTGTATTATTATTAAATAATATTTAAAGGGAGAGTATCTTCTTTTAATCTCGAAATATTAATATTAATTATTAAAATATTTCACCATAATTTGACTAGTTAAGAATTTAATCATATATATTTTAATTTAATTGGAGACTCAAAAAAATTAATCAAATTAGGTCACTATCTTCAAACAATAGGTTAGGGAGATTAGTAATTGATTAGAAATGTTTCATATTCTTTTTATTAGAGCTAATATGATATTTTGGTAAATTTTACTGTATAATTTAAGTTATAAGTATCGAAATCCTATTAGAGTTATTCTTCGTTGCAATCGGTAATAACTTTGCAAATCAACTTTGGAGTTATTATGTTTTAGGATTTGGACAACGCCTTGAAGCTTAATGTAAGGCAATCCTGAGTAAGCACTTACTGCTTATCGGCTGCAAATAAAAGGAATTCTTCTTAAGTTATGTTAACAAAGTCGGATATCTGAAGAGAATATTCCTGTGGTTACTCATTTAGGAGAGGCTGTAATTCATCTTCACTTAATGAACCATCTTTGTTGAGGTCTGCAGTAGTAAATAGCTTATTAAGTACTTTTAAGTGATCTGATGCATATAAAGTTAAAAGATATCGAAATAGACATTTGTGTAGATAAGTCATATTCTTGCATTTGATGATGTTGGTGAATGGCATAATGTAATCTTTGGGTTGAACCTATTTCATTTTAATAAGATATGGATGAAGTAAACATTTCTCAAGAGTGATTCTCTCATTTGGATTATGGTGAAGCATTTCTATTAATAAAGGATAGATGTCCTATTCTTGTTCAGCATAAACTTCTTCTGCTTTGAATTTATGGATTTCTTCAATTTCAAAAGGAAATTTATGAGTAAGTAATTACAAAACAATAATAGCCAGTGCCCAGATATCATTGGATTAGCTCCTGTTTTTAGTTTAGATATTTTAAGGTTTAGAGTGATCTTTGTAATCTTTGTGATGATGATGATGATTAGGGGAATTAGGTGGTTCATAAAGAAGAGAATTCTTAGGATACATAAATTAGTAGATGCTTCTAATTTCTGATAATTTGATGAAGGGCGTAGAAGAATCATCGAAGACTGAGAAACTATCAATAGTCAATTCATCGTGACTGTAACCTAATGAATGAACATATGCCAAGGCTTCTACCATTTGATAAAACATGGACCCGATGGTTTAGTATTCCAATTAGTTTGAATCTAGAAACTTAGAAAGGTGTCCACCTTGGCAATGTTCATAAACAACTTGATGATTTCTTTTATGTGAATCCATGTGAATATCTAATATTTTAACTATATTCATTTGATCCTTAATTATTAATATTCAGAATTACCAATCGTAGTTCTTCTAACATGTCAATAAATTGTTGACTCCTGTTTTCAAATTTGATCATTTCTACCAACACCAATTGTCCAGTCTCGTTATGTTACATCACTGTTTTGCTTTGGCTTTCTTCAAACATACATAAATTATTTACTGTGATTTTATCTAGAGACAACAGAATAGTTTCTGGAGGCTGGAGATTGAATGGACTTTGAACCTGGCTTTGTGCTCAATCTTTGCTAAGGAATATTCAACATAGATCCGTTTCTGCTTCTTTCTTGTAATTGTGTTGATTAGATGATCATAGTCTTTGGGGTTGGATGATTAGAAGGAGACACTCGTTGAACAGGAGTGGTTACATTATTTTATGACACTTTTTAGATAGGAGTTATTGATTGATTAGGAGAAGCACGATGAAGTGATGTGGTACCTCGTTGAATCGTACTGGGCTCTTAAAATTATATTGTAGTCGTTTTGTGTTCTCTAGTAGTAAGAGTCTACTGAGGAGGTATGGTTACAGATTACGGCTTTTGTTTCTTTACTTTCTTTGGATCGCTTTTAGATGCACAAACTCCCATTTTTTATGACAATTATCAAATTTAAATTATAAATCAAACCAATCATTTATTACCAATTAATATCATTAAATCGGTATTTTAGAGTTTAATAACACTATCTTACTGATTTTTAATTGATATTATATAAAATAAAACTATTCCATGTATTAAAGCAAAACAATTCTATCTTAATCATGTTTTATACCACAGAATTAAAAAGTTGATTGGTTGTCATATTTGCTATTTTAAGCACATTAAGCCATTACCCACTCTAATTTTTGGATGGCTTCTCTACAATAAATTGATTCATATATCCCAAACAAAGTTCCTTATAAATACATCAAAATTTGATGATTTCAATCACAATAGAGACTAGTAGTCAATCTTTTATTATCCAGTATCTAAATGTTTGGTTATAATCTAAACTTAATTAAGATATAACTTACTGGAATAGGAATTGATGTTTCGAAGTAAAGTGCAAGAATAATTGATATTCGTAAATATACTCTAGAAGGATATCATAAAATGGAAAAAATTAGAGAAAATTCAAATGGAATAAGACAGATCTAAAATAATTTTTTATTATTTACTCTTATCTAAAAATACAGACTTCTTAACCCCTTTAAAATTCAACGAATAGTCTCATGTCATTCACTTGCTAGTAAATAAATCAATAATTAACATAATTGGTAAGTTGACAAAAATTACCAACTTATAACCTGAAACATAAAGTCTACCTATTAAATAGGTAAATTAGATAGATAAATTTTATGTCGTTTAGTAGATTCAATTGAGAACAATATGCACTTAAGAATCCCTTTCTCTTAAACTGAAAATATTATAAATTAACAATTATATTTTATTTCGGTGATAAATTCTATTTTTAGGAACAAACATATAATCTGTTATTAATTTTGCTCATCTCTCCCCTGTTAACAAGGAGTATTTAAAATTTCAAAAAAGCGGGAAATGATAAGGTACTTAAATTGAAATACTTAATTCGGCGCATTAAAATAATTTGAAATTAAAATAATGTTCACAGGAACTATTTCAGTAATATATGGTCCAATGGTAATAATTTAAAATGATGTAGTTTTCTGGTAAAACAAGTGAATTGATGAGATTAGTTAAAAGATTTACAATATCTGAAAGAAAATGTGCAGTTCTTAATTATGCTAATGATAACAGATACTCAGATGATCAGTGCATTTCTAGTCATGACAAGTAATAATCTAGTTCTAAATTTAGATAATATTTGAAAGCCATAAAAGTGACCAAATTATTTGATGCTTTTGAGAAATGCAAAGACTACGATGTTGTAGCCATTGATGAAGGACAATTCTTTTGCGATGTAACTTAATTACTAAATATTCTATTAGATTGTTGAGTTTAGTGAAGCAATGGCGAATTTGGGGAAAATAGTAATCGTTGCTGCTCTTGATGGTACCTTTGATAGAAAGCCTTTTCGGAACATCTTGAGTTTGATTCCATTGGCGGAACGCATCACTAAGTTAACAGCTGTTTGTTGGTTTTGTAAGAAGGAGAATGCTTCATTTACCAAAAGAACAGTTTAATCTTAAGAAAGTATAAAATATAAATAAAATTAAGTTGAATTAATCGGAGGAGAGGACTGCTATAAGCCTGCTTGTAGGGCATGTTTTAATTTGACAGAGGATAAATTTGAAAAGCATACTCTTTCTTAAATCCCAGTTTATTCAAACGATGAAAGACTATTTGGTTAACAAAATTTGATTTGCTGAGACACTATAATTAATTATTTTATATTAATAGAAATTTTAATTGAATATTTTAAAAACAAATACAATAATTAATTTCGGAGTTTCTTGTTTTTACTTTTCGATTTGAACATCAATTTTTAATTTATTTATCTATTATGTCCTAATAAGTATAATGGCCAGTATATTTGGAAAATGATGTATGCGATAAGTTTTGGAACCGAGGGGAATGTGTTTTGGATGGTGAAATACTTATAACTCAATAATTGAGTAAGACAGATAGAAAAAATTAAGTAATCAAGGAGAGAACTTATATCTTGACTGGAGGAGGAATGTTATGCTATTAGAAAAATAATAACATCAGATGGTTGTTGTTGAATTATCAGATGAGTGCTAAGCTAATTGATTTGAAGATCTAGAATAAGGATTAGGATCTAGTTAAAGTGATTAGAGTAAAGAGAAATTAATAAGTATATTCCTATTTCTGGAATGCAGATTTGTAAAAGTTTAAAAATGATTCTTCAGTTAGTAAACTTTCACCTTCTTCAAACGATTAACAGCATTTTGCATTTGCTAAAATTTTGAATTAGCTTTATACTATCTAGGATTTGATGGGTAAGGGTGGATACTCAAAAGTGTACAAGTTGTGTCCTTTGAATAAATAATCATTTTAAAACTAATATTATGCCGGAAAGGTCTATAATAAAAATGAATTGGCATAAAAGAAAAATCTAAGTTGTTTAGCCTAACTGGTCAAAGCTGAATGTGAAATTTTGAAGCAAGTCAACTCTCCCTTCATATTGACGTTGTACGAAATAATCTAATTGGATGAGTAATTAAGTAAATATTTCTGAGAATTTTGATAGTTTTAATTACAGAATTATTGCGCAGTGGATCCTTGTATAAATTATTAAAAGAGAAAGTCAGAATTTAAGAGTGTGAGGCTAGTGCGATTATCCACAGAGTTGCCTTGGGACTTTAGGCCATTCATAGGTAAGTACAGTAAATCTATTCAGTTTAGGATATGTGCACAGAGACATTAAATTGGAAAATATTCTCATAGACAAGGATCAAATCAAGATTATTGATTTTGGATTTGCAGAATAAATTAATAGAGAATTCTTGACATCTGGATAAGGTACTATTGGTTATATGGCTCCAGAAATTTTCACTCATACACCATATACTGAAGTGGGAGATGTTTTTAGTTTGGGTGTTGTTTATTATTTATTATTGACAGGTAAACCTCCATTTAAGGGACTTAATTAAGAAAACGTTATCAGAGCAAATAAAAAATGCGAAATAGATTTTAGTGAATATTGTTTTGTTAATGTAAGTCAAAAAACCATACAGTTGGTTAAGGGTATGTTGTAGAAGAATCCAAAATAAAGAAGTTCCTTAAATGAAGTCTTATAGAATTTGAAAAGTCAAAATCTACTTTCAGATATGGTCTATAGATCAATATCAGTTGAAGGATCTCAACTAACTAAGCAAGGAGGGATGCGATCACTCTATTTATAGAGCCAATGCTCTCAAGAGTCTCCAAGGATGCAGCATAAGCAATCCAATTTGTTGAATATCACATAAACGTTGGAGAAATTTGCTGTGAAGGCTAGTTCATTTCGTCCTTCGCTCTAGAATATTGAAAATTATTCTTTTGACAGTGATGACTTGGAAGACAATAGTTTGCCTCATTTTGTTTTGGAATTTCTTCAAATTTCTAACTTAATTTTGAATTAATCTAAATTACCTTGATAATTATTTAATATGTAAATAACATGTATGTTTTGTGACCAGAAGCCCAACATGCCAGAATTGTTAAACATGGTAGACTAAAAATAAATACAGTAAGGCTCTTTATTCCAGATATCAATCCCATACTCCAAATTTCCAACTTCGAAGTTCAACTATCATTCAATTCCAAGATTAAGTTTGCTATGAAGAAAATGAAGAGTATTTCAAATCGTATATGCTCTAGTTATTTAGTTTTTACACTGTTCAAAATTCCAAGAAGAAGCACAAACAACTGTTAGAATATTATCGATACCATACCGACATCCCCAGGTTCTTTATCAAAAAGATAACGTCCTTATTGGAAACTCACCATGAGAAGAAAAGAGAAATAAAGTACAATAAAATCAAATTTCAGTTGGGAATGTTAGTTGTTGAACCTGAAGATTAACATTTCTCATTTAAAGCACTCCAAGGTTTGACAGATTTATAGACTTCCAGACAATTATAGTAGTTACTCAAACTAATCTAATCAAATCGATTTGATACGAAGAATATTGCAGCTATCATCAAAGAATAAAAATAGTAAATTGCCTCACTTAATAAAAAAGAATAATTGAAGAAAATATTGAACATAGAAATATAATAAACAATCACTAAAAAAAGACCAACAAATCATACTTTACCTACTTAACTTACTTAACCTACCTAAAATACTCAAAATACTTAATATACTTAATATACCTAGCATACCTAACACACTTAACCTTCATAACATAATTTAGGTAGTCCTAAGAATCATAAAACTAAAATGATAGGAACTGAAATTTATGGGAATGTAGTCAAAAAGGAGTTTTATAAAAGATGGTCTGATGTTCTGAGTCTGAGATAATTAGAATTTCATAAAAATAAAATGAAGTCCAGTCTGCTAAAGAAAAAAATATCACTAAAATGATTTTTATATTTTATTATAAATAAATGAATAAAGCTGTAAGAGTAAGGTACTCTAGTCTCGATGAGTCTAGAACCAACACCAAAAGATATTAAATTGTGTATACAGTTACTGATTAGATAAAAACTTAAGTGAACAATCTCAAGTTAAATCATCATCCTTTGAGTTATTACATATCCAGAATTTGCAAGAATGTCAAAGAAATGAGAAGATATCGCACTGATGCTTACATCAGAAATTAACTCACCAAAATATATGCTCAAACTATCCATCTCAAAGAAATCCATGATGTGTTCAAGGTGCCTATCCAATACATGAGCGAAGATCTCATTCTCTCCAGATGCACCTTGTAATTGATCTCTCAGATGCCCCATCAATATGCTCTTCGTCCTCAGCAACAATTAACTCACTTCATGCAATGGATGGCCTACTTCGATGAATAGGTCTATTTGGAAATGCAGAGAATACAAGAGGGATACTTATTGCAAATCCAAAGAAACATACAAGAACAATATACAACGAATGTAATTAAGCAACAATAAATCAAACATCAAATCCATCCTCGAAAGAAAGACATGTACAATTACGTGAATCGACTCATAACAAAGCCGTCGTTTAGAACCATGAGTCGAATATCTGTCTTGGAAGACTATGAAACTAAATTTGGTGAATTCTAATTAATCACACCATACGCTCGAAGTTATGCTAAACAGTTAGACACTATTTCTTAAAATCTCAACACAATTGAATGAATATTCTTGGCAATCATATATTATAAAATCAATCATTAAGCTTAAATATAAACTGTATCAATCACATCTAATTAATCTTTGTCAACAAATTGTAGCTTCCTTAATTATCTAATAATCAGATCCAATCTAGCCTTATTGTATGTGTTCTTAGTTAAATTTGGTTCGATGTTGGTCATAATGAGTAAACATTTAACTGCTTCTTACACTCTACTTTGGAATTCTGTCTTATTGAATTGTTTTTTTAATTTCATCACTGCCAATTAGAATGCCAATTCTCCTTCTTCTAAATCGAAAAATTCATGATTTATGACAATATCATTGGCCAGGAAATCTATGGCTTTATCAATGAATTGCAATTGAATAATTTGATCCAATGCTTCTTATTGTTCATACTCAAAGACCATGTTTTTAAATAATTGAATAGCGAACAATTCACCTGTTTCAAGTAATTTACAAAAGAAATCCATCATTTTCATTTCTGCTTTGATCAATTGTGATCTCACATTACTTGATGAAGTGACATTCAATAAGACTTATTTGAAATTTGCAAACATAAAAACTGATCTCTCATCAACAAAGAAGTTGCAAAACAACTTGAAATAAAAACATCTATTGATATCATTAAATTGTAATTATAATAAAGCCTCCTTTGCCTCCTCATTTTAGGTGATGTTTTGTAATGCCAATAGTCCTAATTAGATGGTGAGTTCCAATTATTCGTTTGTCTATTTGGTCTTATAAAAATTGAGCATCTTTTCTTTGATGATTTCCATCACTCTTTGGAGGGTATGTAATTTTAGGAATTACTCTTAGTAGAATTCATCAATGGCGAATTGAATAATTACAGACAGAACTGAAGTCATGACATCTTCATCTCCCAAGAGTTTTGTTAAGTTAAATACTAGATTTGTCTATAAGAAATTCTTTCTATCTTCCTCAGTCTAAGCATACTGGAGCACCAACATCAATGCTTGTTTTCTAACTTCCAACTTTTGATCCAAGACTAATTCACATAAATCAGAATACTATTCGTCCATAAATTAAATTATATAATATATATATATATTGATTATATAATGCCAACATTCTTTCTTTGATTAAGTATTTTAATACTTTCATTATATTAATATTATTTATAACAGACATATGGATACCTCAATTGCCGGATTTACCTTTGGAGCAGATGAACTCGCAATCAATAGTAGTTTTAGTGCATAGAAACACCCCAGAATAAGCAAGTGCTCCCCATTTTATAGGATGAATAAACCTCAAACGTACATTTCAAGATTTTAATGCAAGTGAGCAAAAACCGCGATTAAGATTGCACTCACCGAATAAGGAAAATGAGTTAATGCAAATTCGCAAACCTGTTCGAGTTACTACATCTCCTCATTCTTAACATCATTAGATGAGTTACAAAGAAATTTGCGCACATTTGATCTAACTGTTCAAGAGTTAGACCAAATTATATTAATAATTAATGATAGCAGATAATGTAAATATCAGGAATCAACTCCAAAAAGTTCAACTCAAACATGATTACTACTGCAAATTGTACAATTAATAATGAATATACTCTGACAATTAATTACATATTTTGATCATCTCAATGTTTAGTTATACAACTCTTCATTTATCCATTTTTCCAATTTAAATTATTAGACTCAATGATTATTTTATGAATAATAAATTAATATAGACTCTCATAAATAAACTTCGAATTCAGGATAGCCAAATCAAACTACTCCAGTTCTATAAAAAGTACTGTCTGCCAACATCTCAAACATCTAGTAATAAATGCTTATTCTAATCTAGATTCCATTAAGTCATTATAAATGCAGGCCTACTTTAACTTGATAATGAATAAAACCTTCTTCTTCGGAGGACCCTTTTGTATTAAATATGGCATAAACATGGTTTCGAACCCAGCCACTCTTATGTACTCCCCCATATTTTTCATTGGCTATGGAGTTTGTAATCCGTATATTATAAAATAGGTTATTCTGCCTATGTATACTTTGAAGGCTTGAGGAATAGAAACCTATCTGAGATCAATATTTTGGCTTTGAGAGAAATGTCTCTGCAAACATATGAGCATCTATTATATTTGGATGCTGAATTTCATTTGAGCACTTCCTCGAGATCTAACATCTACTCCCTCTATAAAGCACAGAAAGGAATTGAGTCAAACTTGAGATCATTGAACTAATATTTCATGCCTCTTTTAGCAGACATTTCATTAACAACTACCATACTCTGTTTTAATTTTGGATGGCCATTTTTTACATCGTTTCTGGCCACATTTGTTGCTTACTCGGCATTCACAATCCGCTATTCAAATGTAAAATTTGTAAAGATCTATCTATTTAGTATAGAAGAAAGATTATATCACAAAGAAAGAAGCAAGAAAAATTGGCTGACTTTACAATATCTCAGGCTTTGGATAATCTATTCACAGTAAAATATTTTAGTGCAGAAAAATACGAGTTAAAAAGATACAACAACTTGCTAGAAGTAAAAGATTTATAAATAAATAACATAGAAATTGCAACAATCGTCAATCGACACTTTCAGAACATTAGCCACACTGAATGCCATCTAAAGATTAATACTCTCTATAGGATTGACAGTGAATTTAGTCTTAGGAGTTAGTGGAGTCTAAGCTGGCATAATCACTCCAGGAGATTTGATACTTATTTAATCTTTAATGCTTCAATTGATTCAACCCTTATTTCTATTGGGAACTATGCATAGAGAATGGGTTGAATCAGCAATTGACATGAAAGATCTGCTTTAGATAATGACAAGAGTTCCCAAAATCTAAGATTTACCAGATGCAAAGGATTTCATGTACAAAACAGGCTCAATTAATATCCAAGATATCTCTTTTGAGCATACAGAAAATAAATAATTGTTTAAGAATTTTAATTTGCAAATCAAAGGAGGGGAATGGATTGTGATTGTGGGTGAAAGTGGAATTGGAAAATCTACATTGTTTAATTTAATAGTAACTATTTCATACTAAACATTTAGTTCAGGTTGTTGGATCCTTCTTAAGGAAATATTTCTATTGATGATTAGAATATCAAGACTTTAAAGTTGGAATCATTTCGAAAGTATTTTGGAATTGTTGCATAACAATCGTACTTTTTTAATGATTCCATCAAAAACAACCTTTTATACGGTCTAGATTTGATTTATGATCTTACACCTGAGATGATCAAGTAGAAAGAAGAGGAGATGAAAAGACTGTGTGCATAATTGAAATTGTCTAAGTTGATTGAATCATTGCCAAATCAATATGACACTTAGATGGGAGATTAAGCAAGTAAGATGTCTTAGAGTATTAAGATAAATTTTCTGGGGGTGAGAAATAGAGGTTATAAATCGTAAGATGTTTATTGAGAGGAGCCAAAATATTATTATTGGATGAACCTACATCAGCTTTGGATCAAAACAATGAGTAATTCTTCATTGAAACCTTGGAATAAGTGTTAAAGATTCAAGATCTGACAGTTTTGATCATTACTCATAGATTGCATTTGACTAAAGTAGCAGACAAGATTCTGTATCTGGGGAAGAATTGTCAATACGAATATGTAACTTAATTGAATTCTAGAATAGGGAACTCACGATGAATTGATTAAGAACCACCAGTCTTATAACAAGTATTGGGAAGAGTATTAGAAATAATGAAAATTCGATTATATTTACGTATTACACCAAATTGAATAAAAAAATGAAAAGAATAATTATATTATTATTTTATGAATCCTAAATTTGAGCATTATAGTTTCCACTCGAAAAATGGAATACATAAGATTCCTTAATCAGAATAGTGTTAAACTCAATAGAACAATGTCAGTTTTGATACTAATATTATGAGAACCTATAGCTTAAGTAATCCAAAAGGGTACTATGAAAGATGGAATAGTCACACTCAAGTAGAAGTTGCTAAGAAGGAATGCAACTTAACAAACCCCTTGATTTAGAATTAAGTAAGAACTCTAATTTGACTCAATAGCAAGTAGAATCTGAGTTCTAAATTAATGTTGAAAATATCTTACAATTTAATCAGAATTGTATAAATTCATTAAATTTTCTAGTGAATGGTTCTGAACTCATGGAATTCAATAGAGATCTTAAATCTAATTCAGAAATAGCACAAAAAGAGGATGATCAACAATATTGTAAATATGACAGGAATTACGAATCTCATAATACAGATATAATTGTATTGGCAACTCCGCCCTAAAAAAATAAGCTCAAAGCTGTTGGAAACATGTTTTTGGGACTTTGGAGATTATAATAAAATGTAGTTGAACCTATCACATCCACAGTAAGATAGAACTATATATAATTAGGAATAATTTTATGATAATTTTGGATCTACTCAGCGTCATATTAATACGAAAAATGCTTATAAAAAGGTCCATCCAGCTACGGATTCTCAGGAAATGCGATTGATGGACCTTTTCAATTAATTCAAATTGGTATGCCTCTTCACATAATATTCAATGTAAGGTTCAAATGAAGACATTTAAAACATGATTAAGATACTCCAAAGAGATCCCAAACGGTATTGATCCATATTATTCCCAGTAATCTGACAAATCCCCAGGATCCAAATCACATCATAAACTCCCTCAATCAATATGGATAAAATGCTCTTTACATAGCATCTAAGAATGGGAATGCTCAAGTAATAAAGTTTCTGTTGTCTCTTGAATGCAATACTCATATCAGAAGTCGCATCTTTGAGGATCTCACTGAAAGTCCATTAGAGGTTTCATCGAGATGGCATCATTTGGAATGTGTGAGATTGTTGTTGGCTGCTGATAAATATAGTAATGCAGAATTGAGATCAGCAACGAAGGCAACTTAAAATCAAGAAATAATCAATATGTTGAAACGAAATATGAGTTCCTCTCTTTTCTCTTGTTGTTTGTGAATTTAGAATTTTGATTAAATGTTATTATTATATTTATAGAAATACTGAATCATTTAAGATTTTGTTCTTATTTATAGAATTGTCTATATTCCAAACAAGATTAGCAATAAGATTGGATGCCTGATGGATTTTCCTATTTTGACCCTATGATGAAGGCACAACTATTTAGTTCGCATTTAAAAAATGAGAATTTATCTGGAGATTTTATCAACAAGCACAATTGTTGAATGTGCTTCATTTCCTATATGATGATACTCTGTGTCTTGGCTAATTGAAGCATATCGAGTTCATTGATTTTCTGTTTGCATAGACACCAAATGTTGACCTAGTTTTAGGAAGATATAATATGTTCACAGAAGCAAGTTTTGTGATAGAAATGATTGCACTCTAATTCTATCATGTGTTTGTTGCTATTATTCGAACATTTAAAACATTTATGAATTTGTATTTAAGAATTGCTTAGTTAATTGTTCTTTATCCAGTTCAAATCTAAAATTGGCTATTGCATAGCGTAATTTAAATTGTTGAAAATATCCTTGATCTATTTATTGAGTTTAGTAGTAACAATTTCATTGTGAAACTTAGCAAATTGGTAAGTTTCATGTACACTCGGAATGTTGGATCTGATAACTTAAGATTAGTCATCTGGAAGTTGATTGAAATCCATTGACTTTTAAGACCTATGTGTTGAGGGTATGAGTTAATCGACGATAACTTAATCCATTTGCAGTTTCTTCCTTAACAAATTATTTTCTTTAGCTATTTCTTTTATCCTTAAAATGCATTTCAGAATCTTATCTTCCAAATTTCGAACCAAGTAAATGCAGGATTTATTCTTGCAAATCAAGGGTTTTAGATGGATTGAACTCATAGAGGAGAAATCTTTTGAGAGAGGTTTAGATAGACTTTGTTTAGCTTACAAATTGAGTTATGGAAGAGAAGGCATTTAGCTAATGCTGAGTGTACCCTCGCCTGGGGAATTGAAACGTTTAGAATGAATTGCTTGGTATTATTATCCTTTCACATTCAGATATTCTCGTTCTGATGAAATCATTCTTATTACAAAGTATTAAAATAATATTATAAACTAAACAATTTAAAACAAATATTTAGAACTAATAAACAACTACACAATTCAATTTTGCTTCAGTATTTCTTATAACTTCTAGTCATTCAACTCTATTTATTATTATTCCAAAACTTCCATATCTACATTTTCTTCAACAGCTTCCTTTTACACATAATCAGGAGGGTAGGTCAAGAAAGGGATTTCACCTCTTTGCCAATCCATCAAAATCAATTTAGCTGTAGACTTCGTATCAGCCTCGCCACCCTATAGATATATAAGTAGATTATTTACCTTTGCTAACTTTCCTTTCTTTACGGCCACCTTCTTCAAAAAATCGTGTTCATCTACCCAATCATCAACATCGTAAATCCTCTTTAAGTCTGAAGCCCTTGCCTTTTATAACAATGCTGGAATGTAAAATTCAGGATCTTCCAACTTCTCAGCTCTCACACAACCTTTCAATACAACTTCAACGTCATCCTTTCCCTCATGTTGATACACAACTCCTGGACAATCAATTAAGTAAATTCTTTTTGTCAATGCAACATACTGCCATACTCTTGTTTCTCCTGGAACTGGAGCAGCCTTGCAAACCTTTCTTTTTTTCAATGAGTTAATCACAGAACTCTTTCCGACATTTGGATATCCCACAAATCCAATTGAGATAGTTTATTTATCTCTATGGAATTTGTCAAACTATCTCAACAGATTTATGAATGGACCCTTACCAAAAGCCTTATTCACATTAGCGTGATAGGCAACAGTTGGATAGTCCTTTGATAGATATTGAACCCATCTAGATGTCAACCATGTAGGTATCAAGTCACATTTGTTGATTAGCAACACCAAATGCTTATGTGGACAATTCTTCTTGATGTGGTTCTCTAAATGATATGATCTTGTGCCCATAGGATCTCTTGCATCCAGGATACAAACCAACACATCGGATGAATCAATCACCTTATACAGTTCTTCCCAAATTCTCTTTGACTAACCAGCCATCAGTCGTTTATCTCTACTTTCCTGCTGCACTACCTCTACAGGATTCAATTTCTAATCCTTCTCAACTGCATATGTCTACTCTTTTTACTCAGCATGATCTGCTAACCCTTCCATTGTTTCCACATTTAACTTAATTCTCTTTCTTTTGGATTTGGGTCCATAAGTATCCTAGAAATTGTAAAAGGATATATGTACTTCATAACTCTCCAATTCCAAAAGGGGCACGTTCTTGTTCTTTTTCTAAGCCTCCACTAATAATGACAATGGCAATTGTTTGGCTTTGATCAGAACACTTCTAGGGTCATGAGTTCTATTAGCCATTTCTTATCTTAATTTATCAAGCTATTATTGATCAATGGTCCTGATATTTCCAAACCATTTCCTATTGGGATCAATTCTTGCAGGTTGAGTTGCCTGTTTCCACATTTCCTCTCTAAGCATTCAAATGATTAAATACTTATTGGGTTTCTCGTTGTACAGATTTAATCTCTAAATAGTTTATTTGGATCTGAAGAACTAGTGCTTAGCATTCAATTATTTTTCAGGCAATTTTCTATCTGGATTGGTAGAGGCTCCACTCTTTGAGCCCTTTTAGGAAGCTTTAAATTTTGTATTCATCTTCTTCTTAAAGAACTACTCCTTGCTGCGCTTAACCATTAAATAATAATTAATTATCAAATTAAACTTCGTATAGTTTATATAATCAAGAATATTATTAATCACTAAATTTTGAACTCACTTCCACAGTTGTCACAATAACATGTTTTTCCTAATCTTTTGTCTAAGAGGAATCGGAATTCGCATTTCGGGCATTTTTTGAAATAATTGTGATGTTACTTGAAAATTGTATCCAATTGTTTTTTCATCAAGACCTCTATCAATTTTCTCCCATTCTGTAACTGATAGATGGTTTTTTGTTTGATTTTGATTCCGCATAAACATTTTGGCAGATTCCTTACGTCAGACAATTGAATTTGTAAACCTACTATTTAAGAAAGGCATTCTGTATGATAATTATGCCAGCAAACTAAGTTGATTTTCTTTTCATAAATATCCTATAAGCATTGAATGCATTTGGAATTTTAAGTTTTCATAAACGATGCTTGTGTGCAATTCATAGAATCTTCTTCTTTCTCTTCTTGCTATTTTGAAGGAGGTTTTGAATTTTATAATTGTACCATGTGATTTGGATTCTTGATTTCATTCATAAAAAGATCAAATAACTTGAATCGAATTTCTACCTCTTCTCAATGTCAGGTTCAAATTACTTTTTTTTACTTTAAGAATGGTATGTTTGTTAATTTAAGGCGATGTCTAGTTGGTCATAAAGTTCTTAAGGTCTCTTCTGAGAATTCTAGGAAAACACTTTATTTGCATTGTATTGATTATTATTTATTATGTTATTATTCTAATTCGATTTATATCCCTAATTTGGCTGCTTCAATGGATATGGCTCAAAATTGGAGTAATATAAGTTGTTTTGGTTAATAGAAATTGGTTCAGGCTGCAGATAAAGGGATTTGATTTTGTCTTCTTGCTTTGAGGATACTGATCTCTACCTTTGTTAATCCCATCTACCTAACTATTGAGCTTAATAATCGTTGTATTTGATTTCATGTTCTTTTGGGATCATTCCAATTGGATTGGCAATATTATCCTTGTAATTTTGCAATTGAGCTGGCTTATTGGAAGTGTTACTTTAGACCTTATGGCAATAATTATTCGAGACTGCCATTCCTCTTTTCCAAGATATAATTAATATTAAATACGGGAAGTATAATATTTATAAATGCTTCTTTTAAATTGATATCATTTTACTCTAATATAAAGTAATAATAAACATATGGGAATCTGTTCTTCTTAGTCTAACTCGAATTAAAAAAATCCACGATAAAAACAATAGTTAAAAATCATCCTTCCTAACAAATCTATTGATGAACCTAAACCTGAAATATAAGTTTAAAATTAATCGAATAGAGAAGCTTCTGCTCAGAATACTCCTGCTATTCAGAATAGCTAATAAAGCATTCATTCTCCTGTGAATGTTGTTGAGGATAAGCGAAAATCAGTGCTCTCACATGGCTTGTCTAAATAAGCCGAAAAACCATTAAAATAAAACAGCTCCAGGAATATTAGATCTGGATCACTGAGATCCCTGAACATTCCCGGATCACCTTCATCTTCGTAGAGAGGTTCCCTATAACCAGGCGTCCAATTTTTTAGTACGAATGCTTCAAAAAAATATTCATTCCTGCACAACAAAGAGTGTTAGAGAAATGTAAGGCTTAAAGTTAGATTTATTTTAGCCAGAATTGTCATTCATACAAGGGAACAAGAATGGAAAGAAAGCTCGTTTGGAGGTGTTGTCCAAAGAAGAACAGGATAGTATCAAATATATTTATTGGTTAAAATCTAATCAATTAGTAACAATTATTACTATTAATATATATATAGGATCATAAACACATCCTAAAGAACTTGGAAGTCCATTAAGACAATAATGCATATTAATTGGTCTTGGAAGATTATGATGGCTGGAAGTTATCTCGATTACAGAACTCGGAAGATCTCACAGAAATAGTTTTAGCAAATATTGCTGACCAAATGTTTCAAGTACTAAGCTATTTTAAAAATTTATCAATAAATCATGGCAACCTAACCATGAATAGTTGGGAATACCATTTCATATCTGGTTAAGTATTTATTAAGCTGGTTGACATCAAATCAATCTCCACCAAAAAGGTGGAAGATATTGATGTAATATGTTACATGCCACCAGAATAATTATACAAAGAGGAATTCAAACCAGAACGAGACTTGTGGGCAGTCATGCTTATCCTATATACCTTGGGGAAGGGGAGTCTTCCTTATCAAATTCCCCCTTAATAATTACATGATGCTCCTTCTGTAAAGTAATTAATGTTGCATACTACTTTTGATGTGGAAGCGGATATTAAAAAGTTCTCAAAAGACTTTATAAGTATATTGCAGTCAGTGGTGGCAGAAAAGTACCCAAAAAAAAGGAAAACTTTAGAAGAACTAAAAGCAAACAAATGGATAGTTGATCTGAAATATCAAGAAATTCCTTTGTAGGAGAGACTGTTAACGAACATGTTAAATTAAAAGGATAGTTGCCTCCTACAGTAGGCTATTCTTGAAATAATGATCTAAGAGTTCGAGCAGGAAACTGCTCTGCAATTATAAAAAATATTCAGTGAATTCGATGGGGATATGGACACCATAATAAGTAAGGAAGAACTAATAAAGATGTTTCAAAAATATACCAAATTGAAGGATCTAGAGAGTTAAATTGATAAAATATTTGTGTCTCATTCACTAAAAGAAGAGTAGATGGCTTAGTTCACTTTTTTATCGCTAGCTGCTCCTAGGGATTAGTTGCTTACATAAACTAATCTTGAGACTGTGTTTAATCTTCTTAGTAATAACAAATCAGAAATTCATGCTAATAATGTTACCAAGTATCTCAATGTGATCAATGAAGAATTGGAAGCTCAATTTGATGAATTGGCGCCAGAGAAAAAAGTAATTTGTATCGCTTATCATATTAGTTAACTTTAGATTAGTTCATTCGGATGATGGAATTACTAAGATGAGTAATTTTATATGTTCTTAATATTTCAATTACAATTACTTAATATATGAAATCATTATATTACACACTTATTTATATTTTATCCAATCATGAATAAATATACATTAAATTTCAAAGACAAAGAGATCGAATCTAGTTATTAAAACATAACCTAACAAAACTTTAGAGTTTTCACTCTTACTATTATGACTTTGGGACTTCTGGCTGTGGCAATAACTAAAATTATCGAGAGCATTTTACTCAAGGAATATCAAACCATTTAAAAATACTGTTTGTTTATATGCTACTTGATTATTTAATATTGTATAATGAAGAAGCACACAAAATATATCCGATTTGCCATCATCCTATTGAATCACCTGATCTCAGTATTTTTCAGTCTCTAAGTATCAGAAGTGGATGATTCTTACAATAGTTTCCTCAAGGGAAGCAACGTCATGGGAGCAAACTTTTTGATGCTAATTTCAGGTGAGTTCCTGGATGCAGCCATCTCAGTCATAACTATTGGAATTATCAAAATAATTTTGGTGTAAGTTTCAACTAACTCTTTACTTTACTCCACAATCATAAGTTCTGTGCTTGTAATCATATACACAATTCGTTACTTGTACCATTTTCATAAGGCAATGCGCAGTCAATTCCTATTGGCTTTGAATGATTCGCACTGGGAGAAAATATTAACTTCCATTGCATTTAAGCAACCATACCTAGTCTTATCCTTTATAGAGGATAACATGCAATTTGCTCTGAAACAAGAGGCTCAATGCCATAAATTTTTTAACCGATTATTTGATGGGTCCAACTTTATCAGAGATGCAATGTACAAGGGCAACCAATTAGAGAAGTTCTTGTTTATGCAAATCTAGAAATATAGAGTGGATAGGGCATCTGTTTTTAATAAGACTTTAGTGGTGGAATACTTCAGAAAAATGATAAGAATCGAATGTTCGATTTATTATGGAAATAAACCAACTATACTGCTTCTAATGAGGGATTTCCTGAATGAAAAAAAGCCAGACACATCAATCTATGAACAAAGACACAGAAACTTTATTAAACTCCTTCTTAAAGTCTTGGGTCACATTGATAGGTTATCTTCATTTAAATGCCGTCTGATCGAAAGAAAACTCTTAATCTTGTAGTTGTATGAGGATCTAAGACTCTCCAAATTGCGAGAAAGCGAAATTAACATATATAATTTAGCATAAATTCTACACAATTTGTATTCTCATCTATCCATTAAGGCATTTGTAAGCGGTAACAGTAATTTCAATACGATTTCAAATATCTTTTTGTTGATATTGCTAATAATAGCTGAAAATTCCTAAGGATTATAAATTTCAATTTGTTTGACAAATGAAGAAGAAAACTAGAGATGGCTTCACATTTCAGGTAATTTTGACAAAGAGAAAGTAAAGAGAGCATTAAGACAAATATCTGATTATATTAATTTGATTAGTTCAAGTTAGATAGTAGAGTAATTTAAAATTTAGTTATATCTAAATCAATATATTTTAATACCATTTCAACTCAATGAATTAAATGTAAGAACTCGAAAACACCTTGATTTAGAATGATCTTATATTTCTTTCAATTTTATCAATATATAACATCGATCTTGATTAATTTAAACTAAATAAGATCGTTTTATTAGCATGATTAATAGTGAATTGAACTAGTTTAGTAAATATCAAGGGTTGTCAACCTATAAACCAAAAACATAGGATAGAATAATAGAATCACGCAACCCTTTAGATTATTATTAGTAAAACAAGATAGACACTTTGAATTGGGATCACTCACTCTTATAAACCAAATAACCAATAAATAAAGAGTTGGATCGGATAAATAGTTTGGCTGAAACAATCTTCATTAGAAGAGAGTAACAGAAATAGGATCACTAGTAAATTTCAGAGTTCAGCTAATCTAAGATTGAAGACGTGAAGGAGGATTTCAAAATGTTGGAGTTGAAGAACAATCGAAAAGTTTAAGAGTTAGCGAATATAAAGAATGAATTGCTCGATATTTAATGCGAGTATATGAGCAGGTCATAATTGAGATTGCAATTGAGTGAGTACGTGGAGAATAAGAAGAAAATGGGTGATGAGGATTAAGTGTTGAAATCAATAAAAATTTTATAGAAATGATTATATAAATTTATAATTTACTATGTAGCAGTAATTAGAATAAAGTGTAAGGAGATTGGGAGATTATTAATTTGACACCAAATATCTATTGGGAGAAGGGGCTTTTGGTAAAGTTTATAGAGGAAGTAAGCTGACTACAAACTAGGAAGTAGCTATAAAAAAAATAGATAGTTCAATGATCAATAAGGATCAATATCTAATTGATGCATTAAGTATCTATGTAGAATGACAATGTTTTAGACTTCGAGATCCAAATAATGAAGTAACTTGATCATCCTAATATTGTGAAGTTTATAGACAAATTTAATACGGATCGGTCAATCTATATAGTAACAGAGTATTGTGCAGATGGCGATCTCAGAAATATAATGAAGGGAAGACGTATACCAGAATCTGAAGTTAATTAGATTTTCTGTTAATTGGCAAGTGGTTTTAAAGAGTTAGTAAAAGCAAATATCATACATCGAGACTTGAAGCCTGCAAATATAATGAATCATAGAGGTGTGGTAAAGATAGCAGATTTTGGATTTGCCAAGATAGTGGACAACTTTAGTGGAGACTTGTTGAGAACCTGTGTAGGCTCACCCTTATACATGGCTCCTCAAATATTGAAGAGAGAAAAATATACGACGAAATCTGACATTTGGTCTTTGGGAGTAATCTATTACGAGATGATTTATGGGATGGCTCCGTGGACAGGTGTAGATGAGAAAAGCTTAACTATGAATGTGATGAAGCAGCCCTTAAGATTTCCAGCTAGCACTCAGTTATCAGATTTTGGAAAGGGTTTTTTGAGCAGAGCTTTGGAGAAAGAAGAGAGCAAGCGAATGGAATGGGCAGAATTGTTTGCCATGTTTGAATCAGAATAGAATTTAGGAGCTATTCAATTTAATGCAAATATGAATGGTAGTTACATATTGGATTAACCTTAACCTTAATCTTAACCTTTAGTCTAACCTCAACCTTTGTCTCAATAAATTCAATAGAGCGATGCTTCTTCCTAGAAATTTCTGTGTCAATTGAATAACTATAATTTATAAAGGATGTAAATCAATTTTTCTCATTTTGTTAATGTGGAAATGACCTAGCATATTTCAAGCATTGCTCAATACTAAAAGAAGGAGATGCATTTCGAAATGCTATGTTTGTTGTCTGCCAAATTTACATCCAACTCATTTAAATTGCTATAGTCCAATGTTCTTGCCTTATTCGAACAGTACAAAAGGACAGCAGAATACATTCGATTTATCAGTCAATTGTAACAGGAAAGTCAATTGGCATCGGAATTATTTCAAAACACAATGCAGTATTTTGATCGCATAGGATTACTGTCCAATCTTAGATTATCTGCTGACTTTTCTTAATTTATTGAAGGTGGAGATTTAGGTTTAAATTAACTAATTTCAGTCGAAAAGATAATCAAGGAGAGAGTGATCAGCATCTCCAAACAAGTGTTACAAAGTGCTAAAGAGAATGATGTGTTCAGTTTATTAGATTACATGATGGAGATGTGTCTAACTAGAAGTAAAATAATGAATGGAAATACGAACATAGATTTCTCTTTGATACATGAAAAAAAGTAAACATCGGATTAATAAGGCTAACTAAATTTTAAATTAAATGAGTTATATAGTTATTGAATTTTATCAGGGTAACATAGATTTATTTTATTATTAAAATACTGAAGTTTCATCTCCCTTCTACAAAGTTGATCCATTGATCTACTTTATGCCCTTCTCCCGAGCTGTTTTCTCAATATATTCCACCAAAATCTGATGTTACCTTTAGTTACTATAAAACCAATAGCCCACATATCCCAACCCCATCAACAACACTGATCCCAACAAGAAACAAACCGAATACAATAAGTAATACTCTGCTTCATAGAAGTATGTCTTTATAATCTCAATATTCACCATTTGTGTGTGTCTGACTACCAGATCTGAAACACCTTCCACTGTTGTATTATATTGCAGAATATACGTAAAAGATTGCCCAACTTAATATTATCAATTACTATACCATCAGATTAATGATAGAAACACTTCAATTTAATAGGCTGCATCTAGAATCTAGTCAGAAATGCACTCTAAGCAGTGATCCCAAAAAAGAAATCATCATATTGGTATTCTTTTTTGATATCATCCATATCTTCCAATTTGTAAGATTGATTAAAGAAAGCAAAATCTCGTAAACCCAAATGTTTAAACACTTGATCTTAATGATTATTCATAACATAATCATATCCATTTGAAAATAGAATTAAATGTTAATTGACACCTTATACGATGACAAAATCATCGGTGGCATCCAAATCGATAATTCTGTTATCTATCCTCTTTTTTCTAATTGAAAACGAATTTCCATTATCTAAATCAACATAGTATTCAAGTACATAATGGTGATTCATGGATTAATAGGCCATAAATACATTTCTACCATTTCGGGTATCAACTGATATTCCTCCAGATTAAAAGTTAATCCAAGATCTTAATCCAAAATTCACATACTGATCTCTATGAACATCTATCAACAATAATCCACACTCCCTATCCAATAAAAACATTGAGTAATATCCATCCGCAGTCCCATGCTTTACAATAGCAAAATCAACTATCTCAATCGTAGAATTCAAACCAAAATCCTTTAATTTGAGATTCTTAATAAATCTTAGATCTTTTTACACTATCTTATAAACATCTAAGCCATCTCTACCAACTGCACTAAATACTAATCCGTCAATCTCTTTGGTTAATCCTCTGTATCCTCTCTTTCTCCAATCAGTCACTTGGTAAACATCAAGTGATGTGGTTTGTGATTCCATTTGTTCCATGCTAAACAACTGAGCAGTATCACTAAAGAGTAAAAATGCTAGATTGGTAGAAGGAGAGAACAATAATTGCGGTAATTCATTCTTAGCAACCAAAGACGGTGCAATAGTCTGAAGATCTGCTTTCCATAAAATTCTAGCAAACTTTTATCCCTTCTCTTCAAAATCATGTTCGAAAACAGTATTGTAATTAAATTTAAGAAGATAGGCAACTGAATCTGAAGTGATTGCCAACATGCCGTCTTTTATATGAACCATCGACACAAATTAACGAAAGTTGAGAATAGTGTCTGATTCAAAATCCTTTTCTGTAAAATCATATGGTTGAATGATCCTGAATTCTTGAGTTTCGAATTGGAGTTGCAATGGGGTTACTTCACAACCTCTGCTATGATTATATGATAATAGAATTGCATCTCTGGCATCATCTAAATTCAATGTCCGATGCTCATTCGCATGTATTTTAATGGAAGTTAGAGGCTCTTCGACCTCAGTTATAGTGAATGCCAACGAGTATCTCGTGAATTGGGTGATCAAAGAAATCAATAAAAAGTTCATAAAAATTAATTCACTATTAAATATTCAAATGTTCTATATCTTTTGATTCTCTAACACTCATTAAGTTCGATTGTATGATCTAAGGAGGATCATCTTCTTTTTTGAGCACATCCTATTTATATTTGGTTTAAATAATATTTTCTAACTCCTGGGTTTATGCTTACATAGATTTATTTTTTTTTATCAAAAAACCTAAAAGCAAAATAAAGAGAATTAGAAACAACAAACAGCCTAAGACTACCAAAAATGCCTAATCTTCATAAACATAGGTGTCAACAACCCTAATCTAAATCGTTTGATGATGTCTTTGGTATTTACTTTTAGTAATCTACTCGATATATTATAAAGTATATGAGAAGCTAACTGGTGTGTGACTGGAAAAGCAAATGATTTAGGCAGGCAGAACGTAAAGTTCGGAGAATACATAGGACTTTGATGTTATGCCACTAAAATAAATTTTATCTTCGTGATAATACACTTGGAAGTCCGATAGACGAAAGTGTCTAAGGTAGGTGTTCTCGTCAGATAAGTGATAATTGAACAAAACTAGATGGTGATATTGTCCTTAAATTATTGCAAAGTCAGCTAGGGCATCTACGTCATAGATCTTTTTTGTGTAAATCATATTATGTTTATACCAATATTTAGATGTCTGATTTACAATGTATTCAACAACTGCATAGCGTACCCACTTATAGGCCACGAAGACATTGACTCCGTTGTAAGAGTCAACAGCAATTCCTCCCTGCATGTTATCGATTTTTGTGATTTGAGTAGTGAGATTGGCGGATTCAACGTAACACCAAATAAGGCCTTGTTCAGAGTCTAGGATGTAGACATTGTTATTCACTTCAGCGAAATCAACTATGTTTTTGTAGGTCTGGAATTACTTGATGAACGTGATGTTTCTGCCCTCAACACTGTAGAGTTCTAATCCTTCTTCTCCGATGGCTGATAGCAAAAACTATTTATTTTAAATACGAATCAATTTTGTCAATCTTCGATAAGCCCGTTATTGCCAATCTTTGACTTCTCGATAGATTACTGATCTGGTAGCTAAGGTTTCCAGTTCCAAAAGGTAGGCTTGAGTGTTTGAAAGAATGAGAACATCCAAATCTAATTTTATCATTGAGATTTATTGACTGCTATCCATTGAAAATTAGTGGTGCTAAGCTGTATCACTGTCACTGTAAATGAGACGATTATTTGAGGAAAATATTAAATAGGAACTTGGGGTAAGTTGAATTAAGGCAAGCAAGTATTGATTTTCATCAAATTGTTGATATAACTAAGTATGAAATCCTAACGTTCTTTCTTTGGCATTGCATATTGATTGTTCCTATAATTAGATTATAGATATTTTTCTCGCCTCTGGGAGAGTCAAAATAGTACTTAATTGATTTTGATGTATATAATAGTTATCAATATTGGAGTGATAAATATCCTTAATGTTTATTGAAAGTGCTAGACGCGTAATCAATAAAAAGGTAAAAAACATTAAATATTAAATAAAATAAAAATGACTGATAACTTGGATAAGTATTACAAGCTGCATCACCCCGAATTTCTAAGCGAGGGCATGCAGGTGCTGAGGGAGTACATCTACTATTGTAAGTTTGATTTCATAGAATTATGTTTTCGATATGATCAATTCAAAGATGGTACTATTCAAGAGAAGGTATTGAGAGATGTGTTGGTTGAAGTTTCAAAAAGTTAATTCTATTTTACAGAGTTTGATATTGCAAGCATATTGAAAGAAGCTCCTTATAGTTCCAATAGGAATATCGATTATAGGGAATTGTACAAGTATTTAACGGAGTGTGAAGCACCAAAGAATTCATTCCATGTGTTCAAGAATGCAATTATTAGATAGAAGTAGAATTCAGCTTCAAATAAATTATTCTTGGAAGAAATTCAGAAGCATTTTGAAGAGGAAGTCTCAAATTACTTTGATCGTAAAGCCATCTATGATTTCAAACATTTTAATTTGAATTTATTGGATTTAGAATTGTTGAGTTCAAATGCAGTTAATATAATGTTCGATGACGTTGTTCAAGAGAAGATGGCTAACTTCTCCAGACACAATAATAATATCATTTTGGAGAATTTCCAAATTTTAATTGCCAAAAAGATATCAGTTCAAGCCTTACCTTAATTGGCCTTCTAATTTATAGCTCCTGAGAAAATCGAAATGGCTCTATTTGATTTCTTGGGCATCAGAAGAAATTAAAAAATGTTTCCGTTTCTTATGAAAGACCAATTCATATAACTGATAAAAGTCAAATTGTACAATGTAGAAATGACTTATGATGAATCCTGTCTGTTGTATTACTTGATTTGGAAGAGAAACAATTTTGGAGAATTCAATCTTCTGACATTTGTTCACTTTATCATGGAGTGTAGACCACTGTATTTCAAGGAAATCATCAAAATGTATGATGCAAAACAACCTCATCTTGAAATAATGCAATTACCCAAGATCTTAAAGGAATTTCAAGAAATGGCAAGCAAATATACCACAAATATGCTTGCTTAAGCATTCAAGCCTTTCTAAAGTGATGGGTTGTGCACCCTAGAAAATTTGAAGATAGTAATTCGATCCTTAGAAATCGGATACACTTAACTAGATTTTAATGAATTCAGATATTACTTAGCTAATCATGGGTTGTTTACACTTTCCAAGCAATAGTAATTGTTATTAAAGGTTTAGGAGTTCTTGCAAACTTTGGTTCAAGAAAACTTTGAGAAGCATGACTAAACAGAATTAACTGATTTGGAGAAGGCTTACCAAACTCTTTTCAAATCAATTATGTTATCCATTTTATTAAGGTATGAGGACAAGGCTTAGAAGATGATGCAAGCAGATCAATTGATTGATGAAGTCTAATTGAGGAAAATCATTAACGAGGATCTGCTATTGGTAGATCAAGCTAGTGTGACTATGATTATTCAATCTCTAGAGCATAATAAGGAACCTTCATATCAGTAACCTCTAAGAATGATTTATTTTCCTGAATTAATTGAGAAACTTAGAGCCAGGTTCAACGATGAAATCAAGTTGCCTGCTCCACAATTGGTCCCTTATGACAAGCCAGGGCCGAGTTTTAAAGAACTCGAACCCACCTTCAATTATAAGGATGGATAGTTTGTAAGGGATCCTGATAAAGCCTTCCAGATTAAGCCTCTGGATGACAGAGAAGTATTGGAGAAGTTGAAGTATCATCTAATTTAACAATTCAAAATAACAGGAGAGAATGAATATGAGAAATCGGAAAAAGCAGTGTATCAACTTTGTTTGGTACTGAAAGATTTCGATAAAATAAAGTGTGGCAATATAAGCAAGGAATTATTGTTTGAAATACTGCGAGATCTAACAGAATTATCAATATAGGAGATCAATAATATTATGGATTTCGCTATGGGTGTCTCTAGGGTAGATGAAGATTCATTCTCTTATTAATTCTTTTGTGTACAGTTAAATGAGTTTTATTAAAAACATTAATTAATTTTGGCTAAAAGATGATTTTTATTAATTATTATTATTATAGCAAATATATATATATGTGAGTTCTTAATGAGTTTTCATACAATTAATAGACTTGGAATCCTTGATCCTAAGCTAACTGTGTTGTGAATATAACATTGATTTTCCATGATTTTCCGATTATTATTTTAATTGAATTCCACTCGTGATGTAATATAAGAAATTCAGAACATTTAAGATAAGATTAATTTTCCTTAAATTTCCTATCTGAATTTAAGGTTCAGATAATTAGAGATATCATCTGAATCATTAAGGCATTCGTTCTTGTAAAGATCACAATTTTAGTACAAGAGTATTTGGAATGTATTTTTTGAATTCAACGAAAGTTGTTAATATAGAAATAAATAAAATAGGAAGATTGAATTATAAGATTAACAGTAAGTTAGTTATTCATTATTAAGTGAGTAAATATGTTGATTTAGAATGTGGAACTCGAAATATCTAAGAATAATAAATGAGATTTAAATATTGGAATTTATGAATAATAATATTTTCAATAATATTATTTTAATAAGATTTAATGTCTGGCCTCTTCTATAATATAGGGTATTTCGGAGCCAAATATCCATGTCTAGTGTTTGTGATTTGCATGACAGTGACAGGCATAATGTCCTTGGGACTATACAATCTGACTGTGTTGACAGATCCTTAGTTTAAAATATTTAATAATATTTTTTAGCATTATGGGTATCATCAAGCAGCAGAACCTATCAGGAATAGGAGAGTTCTGCAGAAAATTATGGTCCTTTCTACAGAACCAATTAATTTATACTGGCATATTAAAATGAGGATTGGGTGAATGTATTTCAAAAGGATGGATTAAAAGTGATCTACTTTTTATAGAACATCATAAGAAACAGAAAGGTGTTGATAGGCGGGAAGAACACAACTCTGGATGATTTGTGCTACAGACCAATATCTGCAAAAGGGTGCTATGTGCCAAGTCCAATGGATATATGGTTACAGGATCCTTCCCTATTAGAAGTTAGATAATAATATTACTATAATAGAAAGACGAGGACATTCAATTCACAACTCTGTGCACAGAATCAATTGATGTGAACCAAACGAATATCCCTTGCAGTGACAAGAATGGAATTCCCATTATTTTGGAATCAGTATTTGGTGGAATGTATACAATGATGTATAAACAAAACTAGAGATTGTGAAGAAAGAGCAAATGACACTCAGCCATGTGACCATTGTTACATACAAGCCAAGACTATGGCAGTAACTTATTTATTGATGAACGATGAATTCACCAAGAAAGATGCTGAATAGTGGGAGAAGGAAGTTTGGATGGATACTTTGGATGCCTTGAATAAGAGAGAATATGCTAAACTATACAAGTACTACGATAAAACCTTAATGCCTGCTCCTCGTGAATAACTGTTAGACCAATATAGAGTGGCATTTATGGCAGAGAGATCAGTCTCAGATGAAATAGATGATGAGACCAATCAAAATGCTTGGATTGTAGTTGTTTCCTACTTTATGATGTTTATGTATATTGGTTTTGCCATTGGTCAATTTCCAAGTAAGATCTATAACGGATTTACATTGGGTTTGGGTGGTATCTTCATAGTGGCTGTCTCCATGATCAGCAGTATCGGAATGGTCTCCTACTTCAGCATCGGTTTGACAATGATCAGTTTAGAAGTAAGTGATACTAATATGCAAGGTTATTCCTTTCCTTATTTTGGCTATCGGAGTTGACAACATGTTCATCATTACTCACAACTACAAAAAGTAGAAGCATCCAACTGTGCCTGAGAGAATGGGACATACATTAAAGTAAGTAGGTCCCAGTATCACAATCGCAGCCATTTGTGAGACACTCGCTTTCTTAGTAGGTTCATTAACCAAGATGCCAGCACTATAATCCTTCTGCATTTAAGCAGCAGTCGGTGTATTTATTGATTATCTGTTGTAAATCACTATGTTTGTGGCCTTCCTCACCTTGGATGAATAAAGAAAGAAGCACAAAAGATACGATTTAATGATTTGCAAATAGGACCCAAATTATGCAATCAAAGAAGACAGAAAGCTGATTCAAACATTCTTCAAAAAACACTACTCTCCATTTATATAGAAACCAGCCTGTGTGATTACTACTATAGTCATCTTTGTAGCCTTATTTGCCATCAGTTGTGTGGGAATAACCAAATTAGAGGTTGGTTTAGATGAATAAGTGTCAATGGTTGAAGGATCAAATCTATTCAATTATATGACTCTGGAGAAGAAGTACATTGAAATCGGACCTTTGGCTTATTTAATTTTAGAGAATCTAGATTATTAAAATCAACATGATCTAGAATTGGTTGCCAATTTGTCCAATTCATTATCTTAATTGAATGAAACAGTTCAACCTCCCATTTACAGTTGGGTGGCATCTTTCAACCTCTTTATTAGAGAGAAGGCAGAATGGACATAAGCTTGTGAAACATAGGATATTGCACTCTATGACTTACCTACTCAATTGAAGAGATTCTTGGGAGTCAGAATCAATTCTCCATGTTGTCAAAGATTCGGTATTTGCGGTGAAACTTTCGAAGCTGATATCGTATTGAATGAATAAGGTTATGTCAAAACCAGTAGACTCAGATTTTAACATAGACCTATTCATAATTCAGCAGGATATATACTATCCTTAGAATAAACCAGACAAGTCATTGATAAAGTAGTTAAGGATGCCAATCTTAAAGAAAATCAGAAGGTCTATCCTTATTCAATGCCATATGTTTTCTACGATCAATATTCCTACATTCGTGCTGTTGCTATAACAAATGTGCTCCTTGCCTTAGCCACTATCTTCTTCACTATGACACTTGTTTAAGATGTTGTTTGTGCTATCATAGTGGTGTTGTTTGTGTTTTTGATTGCATTCAATCTCATTGGAACTATCTGGCTAACCAATGTTATCTTCGGAGGTTTTGTGGTAATCATATTTTCTTATTGTAGATTGAAATTAATGCAGTGAGTGTTGTTAACTTGGTTACTTGTATAGGTCTTGCTGTTGAGTTTGTAGCTCATATTGTTATCAAATTCAGATTGTGTGACGGTAAAAGATGGGAGAGAGTTACTGGAGCTATGTCAACTATGGGAACTTCAGTCTTCGTAGGCATTGCTTGCACTAAATTCATCGGAGTGGCTGTCCTTGGATTTGCTCCATCTACTCTTTTTAAACTTTACTATTTCAGAATGTACATTTTGATGGTCGTTTTGGGTGCTTTTAATGTAAATTATTATCAAACTATTTCTAGGGTTTAGTATTACTGCCAATATTCTTGGGTCTATTTGGACCATAGTTCAGTATTATGAATGTCAGAGTTAAATCTCTCATAAATTAATCAGATGGACCTAGCAATTCATCCTAAGCTAAAAAGAGGCCAAGTTACGGTTGAAATTGTAATATGTTAAAATTATATAAATTTGAATTTTAATTATTTATTTTTATTTGTTTCAAATATCATATATATATATATATAAATGATATCCCAATTTCTTATTCTCTTATTATAAAAAGAATAAGTATTCTTTATATTTCAAACTAACATAAATATAAAGTTGATGGTTCAAATTATGTTTAACAACAAAATCTGTAGAACAAACAACTTAAGAAATATAAAATACTATAGTTGGTTAAATGTTGAATTTTTAAGTAATTCATATTAAATATTTTGCAATCTGCTAGAAGAAAACTAAACTATCTAAGATTATAAATATTTAATTTAATTAAAGAGTTCATTAAAATTTGAAGATTCTTCTGACACTTGATAATTCAAACTGTTGATTTAATTTCTCTATTGAATTCATCACTGACATACTTAAATGCTGAGTTAAAGTGAATCAACCAATCAATTATATGAAAGAAAATAAATTATATAATATTTTGCAAATTTTTCAGCATTCAAGAGTTTTGAGTCTTGAAAATCTTGCTGATTTTTTAAAAGCTTATTACTCAGGAGATATTATTTCAGTGCTAACTCTTCCTTCAAAATCCACAATTTCCAAAGCAGTATTGAATTCAACTCTTTTTTTTTTGGCCTATAGTTAATTAAGATTTCTGGAGGATTTGCTAATCCTATACGTAGAGGGTTATAGCATGTTATTAGATAAAATCAGTCGATTTGCTTTTGAGTAATTCTATTTCGTTTCAGGTAAGAAGTACACTTCCTCAACAGCTTCATCTCGAATGAACTTGGAATTAATTTTAGGGAGGACTAGAATTTTGGGATCAGTTATTTTTTGCATTTCTTTTTTCTAATCCGCTTATTTGGTCAATAGAGAAATGCTTTCAGTTTTGAACCTCAAATTTTTATCGGGTAAGGCATCAAAGTTATTGAGAAAAGATGCTGGGTCGAACTCAGAGTATTTTTTATTGAGGAATTCATCTTATTATTAAGCAAAATGCAATGACCTTCCTGATTTGAGATATTCTTACATTTCTAGTATAAAAATTAATCGAGATATGCCATTATAAATTATTCAAATTAGCAAATTAAGTAGGTTAGATTAAACGGAATATACGATTATTCGTTTATACTCTCTCCTTTCGAGAGAATCAACCCTTAACCCATCCTTTGATTATAAATTAGAATTCTAAAATCAATCTTTCAAAAGTAGGACATAAATTAACTCTCTGGTTTCAGGGTAGTTAGATAAGGGGAGTTAGATAAAGTATCAGTTTCTTATATGTTGAATAACACGAACTAGTTTTCATTTTGAAATCTTTGTGAAACGGTCTTGAATTGTCTATGATTTTAATAATATGGATTGTTTTTATATTATAATGAAGATCCACAAAACATATTAATATCATAATGAACACTCAAAAATTAAGTTATTTAAAAAAGAAATAATGCAAATGATAAAGTGATTACTAATTATTTATATAATTATTATTATCATTTCAAATATAAAAATGCAACCGGTCCAACCTATTGCAGAAGGATAACGCACAAGAACCATTTATACTTTAATTAAGGACTAGAAATATAAAGATGCCATCAATTATTTGAACTACGAATTACAATTTTGTCCGAAAAGCAGAGCTCTTTCCCTCTTGGCATATTGTCATTATATGAATCAAGATTTCTCCCAAGCTGTGGCAATGTATATATCATACTATCTCATCTAGTTATGAACAATTAGTCAAGTATTATCCAGAAATTGATGACTACAAAATCTATTTGGCCTAAGCGTATTACAAAGATAGTAATCTATAATGCTATTTTCAAATATAGGTTTATATGACGAGGCACTCAAAACTTGTGCTTCTGTTGAAAACCCTCAATATTAGGGTAAAATCTTGTAGCTCCAAGCCTTGATTCGATACGAGAAGAATGAGTTCCAGCATGCCAAAACCTTACTCAAATAAAATGACATGGATGACCCTGATTCAATAATCAACGAGGCTTGCATTCTGTACAAAGAGAACAAATTTGAAGAGGCTAGACAAAGATTTCAAGATGCAATGAATCTGACAGGCTATTCATGTGAATTGTCATACAACATTGCACTTTGCTATTATAAATAAAAGTAATTGGCATAGTCATTGAAATTCATTGCAGAAATTATTGAAAGGGGAGTTAGAGAGCATCCTCAATTGGGTGTTGGATCAAATGCGGAAGGAATTGAAGTCAAAAGTGTTGGAAATTCATAAGCATTGAAGGAGTCAGCCCTTATCGAAGCCTTTAATTTGAAGGCTGCTATTGAATATTCAATTAAAAACTATGCAGCTGCCAAAGAAGCTCTAATCGATATGCCTCCAAGAGAAGAAGATGAATTAGATCCAGTCTCTTTGATGAATCAAGCTTTGATGAATATTGAAGAGAAAACAGCTGAAGGATTCAAAAAGTTGAACCATTTATTATAGAATCCTCCATTTCCACCTGAGACCTTTTCAAACTTATTACTATTGTATTGCAAATACGGATATTTTGATATGGCTGCAGACATCTTAGCAGAGAATGCTGATCTCACATTTAACACCATCAGTCAAGACGATTTTGAATTTGTCGATGCTCTAATCTTAACAGCCAGTAGTCCAGAGGAATCATTCAGGAAATTCTAATTATTAGCTAATAAGCACATTGACACTCTAAGGAGAATTACAAAATCTATTTAAGATGCTAGACTAAATAGAGACAATGAGGGTATCAAGAAATCATTGAAGGAGTTTGATGAATGTCTTGAGAAATACATTCCTGTGTTGATGGCTTAAGCCAAAATCTATTGGGATAAGGATAATTATTAACAAGTTGAAAAGCTATTTCGATAGTCAGCAGAGTTTTGTGCTGATCACGAGGTTTGGAAATTGAATGTCGCTCATGTGTTTTTTGTTTAAGATAATAAATATAGAGAGGCTATTAGATATTATGAACCAATTGTTAAGAAAAATAATGATAATTTACTATCATTAACTGCTATTGTTATTGCTAATTTATGTGTCAGTTACATTATGGTTAATTAAAATGAGGATGCTGAAGAATTGATGCGAAAATTAGAGGCTGAGGAATAAAAATCACAATACTAGGAGCCTGAAAAATCTGTTTATCATCTTTGCATCGTCAATTTAGTTATTGGAACACTGTATTGTTCAAAAAACAATTATGAGTTTGGAGTGTCTAGAGTAATCAAGTCATTGGAACCTTATAATAAAAAAGTAGTCTATTGAAATATTCCAATTAGATTAACACAGACACCTGGTATTACGCAAAGCGATGTTTTCTTGCACTTATTGAAGTCTTGGCAAAACATATGATCATATTAAAAGATACCTCTTACACGTGAAATGCTGGATTTCCTTGGATGCAGCAGATTCCTTTGGCAAAGGCCATACCTTCTGTAATTCCAATAATTAATATTTAGGTGATCAATCCTCTGGAATAGATGGATGAGAAGCATACAGTATCTTATGAAGCAAGAATGTTCAAGAGAATGTTTTTGAAATTAAGAATGTGAAATATATATAAAATTTGTTAAATTTAATTAACAAACCTAGATGAAGATGTTATATTAATAGTGTTTTTTAAATATTAAATAATATCAAAATTAAATATTATTATATTGTTTTATTACGATTGATGATGTTATAAAATTGACAATATTTATGATATTATAATAACATAATTTTCCAATAATAATTTTTTTTAAAGATGCAATCCATGTGCGTTTTCGCCATTCCTTAGTTCCATGTGTTAACAAGCCTAATTGGTCTGATTAATTTCATTTTGCAAATGGAGAAGTAAGAAATACATTAATCTAAGTTACTCTGAATAGTAGTTGCCACTAACTTTTGGAATTTTATAGTTTTTAATCAGTATGATCATCTTGGGGCTTGCTTTTGTTAGACCTAGATATGCCATTAATAAAACCTACATAATTTGCTTCATTTTACTATTTCTAGGGATTTCACTCTATTTAAATATAGCGAATTTTAGAAAGGAAAGTTTGATTCTTATGATACTATAATACTTATCGATTGGGATGATCTGCTCGTTGGTTATATTGCCAAATAGGATGATTGGCCTGGCTATTTAAATTCAAATATATATAGTTGCAGTTGTTTTAGACTTGATGTCGTTTTATTTTTAGTATTTTTTGATTGAGATTTAGTTACATTCTGGGGAAATTCAACTTCAACAGAGCTATTTCGATAGTAGGCTCTGGAGGGATGGAGGCCATCACTTTGATCTTGTGTATCGTGTGTTAGGTTTATCCTCAAAAAAGATTGGCAGATGAGACACACCTGATAGTGGGCTTTTACATCTTTTGTGAACTATTCGTCAGCTGTACCTTCGTGGCAGAATGCGCAAATGTATATATACAAATATCAATTAAATTAGCAAGAAGCAAATATTGCATTAATTGGGTTTACAATTTTGAAAATCTCTAACATATTTTTGGATATGATTCTGTATTCCTTTGTGAAGTTGAACTATCCAGAGAATCAGACAAGATCAGCTAGAGTTGATATTGAGAACCCTCCCCAGAAGCTGGATCTAAGGAGTGTAGCAACTAGGGAAACACTCAGTGATTATTCAAATGCTTTGTAAAAAAGTGTGTAGGAACCAATTTCCTTAAGTAAGAAAGGCTTGTCCTTCGGTGTAATGGATTAAGTATTTACTAAATATATATTGATTTATTTACTTCGTTATTTTAATATATATAAATTTGTATGTAGATTGATTACAATTATTTGGAAGTATAATTATTAAGGTAGCACATAAGGAGGAGGATGTGAATGTGAAGGAATACTTGAATGATCTGTTGTCGCAGAAAATTGAGAAGATGTCTACGATAGAGGAGGCTGATCTCATTCTGGATGCTCTCATGAAGACAATCGAGGATTTGGATGGCTAGATTGAGATAAAGAAGAAGAAGGTGAATAAGGAGTTGGAGACAGCTTTGGCAATAAGTGAGATCAACTTGGGTAAGAAGACAACGGAAAAGTAAGAGATCGCAGATGAATTGAGATAACTTAAAGATGAATACCAGAAGATTAAGGCATAACTAAAATGAAAATGATAATTGTTAATTCATTAATTTCAAATTAGATTAAAGAATTAGTCACTTTTGATTTTCTGTTTCTTTAAATACTCAATAACAGATTCCATTTTGAAAATAATTACTTTGCTTATACCATAGCTAAATAATTCAAAAATTTGATATGCTAGATTTAATTATGAGTGATTTCTGTGTTATTTTGAGGTATTTTATCACCTTCTTTTTTTTTAATTGCTATATGATCTCTTTGCTTAATATGTATTTTTAGCCAGATTTTAGAAAAACTTAATTGAATTTTATGATCTTCTTTTTGATTTGTTTGTCTAAAATAGCAACTTCTTCTTTTGACTTTTTTTAATTTATTCTTTCAAGTTGATTGTAATGTTAGTCTTGATACTCTCACCTTTACATTTAGTTCTTTTATGTACATTTAGACTTCATCCTTGTTATTGAGTTTGGTTTTGAATTGAGATGGAATTCCTTCAAAGAATTTAATAGATATTAGCATCCTCGATGTCTGGTTGTTGAGTGTGGATCTAGTGTTGGTGACCCCATTGATCAGTGAGGATGCTATTCTAAATTTGGATGGGGATTTCTTTTTAAAATTTAAGTTCTTTGTCTTTGTGCATAAATAAAATCTCTGCAAAAGCGGGAATAGCATCAAGAAAAAATTAAAGAAATTTTAAATCTTATTTATTAAATCGGATTCAAAGTAAGGTCTTTGAGTTATTGTATTAGTGTTAAGGTTCCCAGGATATTAGGATCAAAACAAACAATCAGAAAATGGACTTCATATTGCTGACTTAGAGGAAGGTATCACAGAGGAATAATTATTTGTGGAATTCAGAAAGTTTGGATAAATCAGCTTTGTAAAATTGCATAGGTATGAATATGAATCCTAAAATAGGTATCCTTTCATTGGGAAATCAAAGCATTATGCTTTCATTTATTTCTCATCTCAAGAAGAGGCTCGTAAAGCTAAGGAAGCAATGAATTATAAATAACTCTTAAGAGAGCCAATGCGTATCACTTACATCTAAGAATACGAGAAGGATGCTAACTTATTCTTTGCAGGCTTCGAATTGACTGTAACATTAAAGCAACTTGAAGAATTCTTCTTAAAATGGGGTCAAGTTGTCAGTGTGAAATTGTCAACAGATGAGAATAAGAAAAGCCGAGGTACTATATCAATTCACATTTAGGTTACGGATGGGTGTAATATGAGAAGAAGGAGTAAGCTAATGCCTTGTTGGCTGACAGTACAGATGGCACAATTGCATACAATGAGAAAACAAAGGTCATAGTCAAGAGATTTGTGAAGAAAGGACAAACAGACAGAGAAGACAAGAGAAATAACCTTTACATTAAGAACTTCTGGCCATCACTCGAAAATTATGATTTGGATAACGCAGAAGTTCGTGAATCATTGGTAAGATTAAGGTTCATCATTTTAGGAGAAAGAAATGAGAGAAAAATTAAATGAGTGGTTCAGTGGTTATGGATCCATTGTTTCAATCCTAGTCAAAATTGATGTGGAAAGAAAGGCTCCATTTGCATTCGTTAGTTTCAATAGACATCAAGATGCTAAGGAAGCTTAAAGGACTCTTGGTACAACTCAAAAAAGGGATCCGTTGAGCACTGGTAGAATGATGTATGTTGGATGGGCTTAGACCAAGACAGATAGAAAGCAACAAAGAGACAATAATGTCTTTGCTAAATATATCTATGCTGATCATCTCTCAAGAAATGTCACTGAAGAAATGATCAGAACTACTCTCAAAGAATGCGGATATGGAGATATTCAAACAGTAATTCCTTTGTTTCTATTATTGTTAGATTAGATTAGAGAAAATGCAATAAGGATTCCAATAGATCATCAGAATTGGATACATTGTATTCGATTAAGCTTCTGATGCCAACAAATTGGTTAAGAATTTCAAGGAAAACGAGAAATTTGAAGAAATCAAAAAGCTCTTTGATCCAAGTGTTGAAACTGCAGGTGGCAAATACTTCTAACATCTCTTCCCTCAATAATCCTAATAAAGAGGACAAAGAAGAAATAATCAAAGACAATCCCCCAATAGAAGGATGTATTCTATGCCTTAAGGTCCTACACCATTTGGTTAGAGAATGCCATTCCCTCCCTATCAAATGCAATAAAGAATGCAAGGTCCTGGATAAATGAGAAGACCATTCCCATAACAAATCCCAGGATTCACTTAGCCTATTAGACCAAACATCCCTCCTCCTGTTCAATAGCCTGAGGCCCAAAAACAAGCTCCTCCTCAAGCTGTTCCCTTCAATTAGAGATAAGATTTAATAGATTTGTTGGCTAATTTCGAAACATTCAAAGCTAAATCCTAAGACGAACAACTCAGACAAATTCAGTAAGACATTTCAAATATCAATTTAGACAAATGCTTTATTACAGAATTAAGGCTAGACTTAGTACTGACACTGAGGCTCACTGGAAGAGAATAAGTGAAATATTGTCAGACCCGACAAATTACACAACTGAAGAAATCATTGATATGTTCAAAGAAGAAGAACAATTCAACTCCTTTATAGATGAAGCCATTGAATAATTAAAGGAAGCATCATGTTGGTGATCATTTCATTATTTGTTCATTAAATAAATATAAATAATATATAGATTAATATGTAAAATTGATTCAATTTGCACTCAAAATGATATTGTTTATTGGAATGAAGACCAATTTGATGAAGTATCCAACAGCTCCCATTACTGCGAATCCAATAGCGCATGATGTGGCAATTTTGATGTATTCTAAATTGAATATTATGGATACCTCTTTTGTCTGGTTTGGTGCATTTTCTGAGGAATCTATAACTTTCCTAGCCGAAACCTTGGACGTCAGACAAGATGCCATTGATTCCATTGAGAGTCTCTTAGCTCATTTTATTTTAATTATTGAATCACATGGCAATATTACTTAAGTTATATAATTGCAATATACGTGTAATAATTATTTATAAAATATTAATATAATTATAAATAATCATTTTGGAAATATGTGGTTGTCAACTTTGTTTCTGTTAACAAATTTCTATTCTTTGTATTGATTTGGAGCCGATTCAATAGGAGTCTTATAAAATTGTCCTTCAGTTATATTAGATACTTACCATAGCCTTTGTATTAAGCATCATCCAATTCCTTCTTTCGATTCAAAATTCTGCTATTTTATCGAGTATTATTGATGTTCTCAGTTTCTTGGAGATCGGTATTGAAGATGTTGGAACTCTTGTTTTTGATGGAAGTGATTTTATGCTATTGTACTAAATGGTTAAGAGAGTGTCTGATACATTAACTAAATTGACTGAGAGCATCATCTTGTTATGGTTGTTCATAGGGGTTAGTTTTTTAATGAGCAGCCCCTTAATAATTATTAGCGGCATCTGGATTGTAGTTGTTGGGATTGGCATAGGCGATTCCGGTGATTGGATTGTATTGCGCAACTGGTGGTTTTGCTGAGTATGATTTATTGCCACTGTTTCCTTGTTTATACTAGATACTCGAAATAACTGTTATACTTTTTAATAGAGAGCCTCGTCATCATTCGGTTATTGATAATGATCGTATTTATTGGATTATTACAATAGTTATGGTTGTTAGTGTTCGTAATCGTGATTAAGATTGTCTTAGTTGTTGTAGTTGTAATTTCCATATGGCTTTCCATTATTGTATTGGTCGAGAGAATCTTAATAATATTGTTCTGATTGTTTGTGTTAGATTCCAGCCTGTTCTTACTTCTTGCTCATCTCTTGGTAGTACATTTACTTCATATAATCATCGTCTTACTTTTACTGATATTGTTAATATTTACTTATTGGGCTTGATATGGATTTCCTTGGTAGGCATTACCATTATTGTTGTTTCTCTGATCTTAACCTACTTTGCCTGCAATTTTCAAATCTTCCTTTCTTGTTTGATCGACATCCCATCCTATTTTGAATCCCTGTCTGTTGTTCACATTATCTATTGTCTCAAAGAACAGTGATACCATTGTAAGTTCTTATCGAGTTCCTCTTCTCCCCGTCGAATAGCACTTGATTCTTTGGTCCTGTTCTTGACTAATAATGACTTAAATATTTTTAAAACCATTGCTAATCTTCTTTTTTCAAATTTTTATTAAAAAATTAAATAATGACCAAATAAAATTTCAAATGCATTTATTAAATTATCGTCGTTAATAATAATCACTACTTTTATTTGGATTATGCTCTCTTACTGACTTTATATTCAACACTCTCATTCTTCACATACTCCCTCAAATAACTGTTGGTCTTTTAGAAGATCTCCGGATATGGAACCTCCTCCTCCTTCTTCTCCCTGTACTTCTTCATTATGCACTTCACCTCATTGAACTTCTTCGATAGACTCAACTTGATCTCCACAGACCTCTTATAACTCCAAGCCGAATTGTTGATGCTCTTAATGTACACAATCATCGTCTATCACAATTACAATATAGATTTACAGCTATTCCATGATTCCAAAATCGAACAGCCAAATCCAAAGCTTGTTTCATCGACAAATCCTCCACCACAATCAACACACTCAGGGTCAGACTCTTAAAATTAATCAAAGAATCAGGCCAATTGAAGAGATCGAATGTCTTTTAAACTCTACCACTGAAATTGTTGTTCAAATGATTCACAAATTTTCGATAGTAGAATTGATCCATGTATATTTGAATCCCACATGCATGTTTCCCATTGTCTTTATTATTTATGTAATGACTGTAATTGCCCCCGATGATAAAACTATCAATATTACCCTTCTAATGTCTCTTCAAACAACTAATCAATTAGCATTACATACTTGTTTTTAGGAACAGGCTCAGATCTTGAATGTATAATCTCAAGTTGCATATTCTTACCTAGATTTGTTAACTCTTTCGTAATCTCAACAAACTAATGCATATTATTTAAATATCTTACCTCAAAACATATTCCAGAATAATAATACCATAACTCATTCATTTAGAATACTTCGTACACTATCTTAAAATCACACAAGACCTTGGTTTCCTTAGCGAGTTCTTCAAACTTTTCAATTTCACTTATGATCTATTAGAATCTTGCCTCTTGTTTTGTAAAGTAACCCTTTAACTATTCTCTCAATGTTCTCTTTTGTTTAGGCTCTTAGGTTTTCCGACCACTTTCACTGTTTTTCATTTGCTGATGAGTCTCATTCATGTAGATCTAGGGTATTTTCAATTTCATGAATCCCAGAAACTTATCCGTCTTGTCATCAGTGAAATTGAACTCTTCACTCAAGATCACAAAAATCTCTTTTTCCAGATCTCGGTATTGTTGACTCCGATTAATGATGGAATTGAGCTTGGCAATCTTCTGTAAAATGGTTTAATGTCTCAACATTCTTATGACCGTTTGGGAATTGAAATCTAATTCTAATAGAATTAATTCAAAGAATTAAGTGTGACTGATTTTCAATTCGAAATTATTCACATTATGAAATTAATTAATCACATGTCGGGAGATACTTAATAATTCGATAAGTTTCACTGGTCCTGGATCCTGTTCTGAAATTATGTCATATGATGCGCAGTTGTGTTTCGAGAGTTGAAGCCTGTCGGAGTGCTAGACTTCTCCTAAAGTGTATCTTCTTAAATTGTTAAGTGGAAGCAACTTCAACCAATAAATCACTGGCTACAGCAGATTCTGACAATATTGCACGAGTTCCCCTTCTTGGGTGATGTATCTAAAACTTGAATTTTGATGAGGACAGTTTTCATACTCCTCGATTTGACCAAAGATTGATGAAAATTTCAAAGTGTTTTGAGTCGGAATAAGGGGATTCAGATTCAATTAAAATGCTCCTCTGAGTTTAAATATCTTCTCAACTCTTGTGTATAGTTCTATGATGCCAGATTGAAAATTTTTAAAAAATAGGGTAGGACTTTAACTAATGGCTTCCTCTAGACAGGAAGTAAAGAAATTATTTTATTATTTTAATTGTTTACATTCAAAAAGTGTTTAAACTAACTCATTAAAATCAGGACAATTAGGATTAGCAATAGATCTAATTACCTATTAAACTCTTTTGTCTTTGTATTCATTAAGGAGACTCTAAGTGGTAGGGCGTTTTTAAGGATCCTTGTTCACTAGAGCAGTTATCTTCTCTCGAATTTCATTATCTGCCATACCGACCTTTTGGTCGAAGTCCTTAGGGAATTTGCATTGTTCTCTTAGTTGAGTGATGTAGTTGATTCTTTCCATATCCGTTTTGAAGGGATAATACGTCTCGAATAAGATGATACCTAGAGAGTAGATATCGACCTTGGAATCATATTGGCTCTATTCCTATTCAGGTGCCAAGTATAGGAAGGTGCCAACTCCTGAGGTCAAACTCAACTTTTAACTCTGATTGTTCTATACCGTAGAGGAGTTTCTCATTAATTTGTGATCGATGAATTTGATTTCCTGCTTCATTTCTGTAGCCAGACCAAAATCACCCAACTTGACATTCAGATCTCCATCCAAAAAGATGTTTTGAGGTTTCAGATCCCTATGAATGATGTTGTTTTTATGTAGATAATACAATGCATCCAAGATTTGTCGAATGATCTTCTTCTTTTGTTCTGAAGTGAGATTGCGTTCATCAATCTTCTTCTTTAAAGTATCCCCTGTGCAATACTCCATTTAAATGTAGAGCAATTGTTTGTTACTATTCTATTTAGGTTCATGAGCTTTGACTTCTGGAGTTTGAATGGACTCCTCTTGAATTTGTGGATCACAATTAACCCACTCAATTTGAAAATCCATATCATTGTTTTCTTGATCTTCAAATTGTGTATCATCCTCATAATACTCTTCTTAACTAATACTGCTTCCCTTCCTCAGCATTTATGGATCTTCCTCCTCAGATTCCTCTTCAGAATCTTCCACAAATTCTTCGTCGTCTTCAATGTTTTCATATTAATCCTTAATGTACTCTTCAGTCCATGCTTGATAATATCTCACTATATTAGGATGTTGGATTCTTGACAATAAAACGGCTTCATTCTTAGTTTTTTCGGTTAATTTCTTATTCGAGTAATCCAAGACGATTCTCTTTAAAGCATAATAGTTCCCATCGAATTTGTTTCTAGACTTGAACACTTTGCCAAAGCCTCCACTTCCAATAAGTTGTATCTCATCAAAGTCTTATTAAAATCTTGAGAAACTACACGCTTATAATTGTGACAGTTGCTCTATTGGAAGTGCTGTTGAGACGGGGTTAAATTGAGGTTCTGTATTGTCATACTTTTCCACCAGATGATCTTTAATTATGTCAAAACCAAGAACAGATTACTTCATGTCCAATTCTTCACTTACACTTCCGAATACGTTTGATATACCTCTTGTAATCTAAAGTTCATTGTATTATTCCACTTATTAATAATTGTTTACAAATTTAAATTAGTTTACTGCTCTTCTTTTTATAAATTCTTTATCCATTTCAGTTAACTTGGTTTCTAATTAGATTATTGTTTCCAATAGATTCTAATTTGAGCACTCAGAAACCAAATTTAGTATTTCTTATTTCTCATCTTGCAAAAATGTTGAATTAAATAATACATCAATTGAAAATGCAGGACCTTTGATCAAAAGCACAATTTAAGATGTAGATTGCTCATCCAAAAAGCTCTTTAATTGTAATTGAAATTATATTGAATCCTCTTTTTCATAATTCAAATGAATATCATAAGGGTAAATGTCTTGCAATTGCAAAAATTATTCTTTAATCGAAATCATTCTAGGATAGCTCTACTATAGTGATGCTTATTCGAAATCATGATCAATTGTTTACGTTTAATCAGTTTTGCATCTAAAATAACTGATATCTGTTTGAATACATTTGTTTTTCATTATTAAAAATATCTATAATCATTATTTACAAATAAACTTTAATTCAATCTTATCTCTGGTTGCTTGTAGCACTTCCAGAAACCATTCTTCAATTTGATTTCAACCATCAAATCATATTGATCACATTTATTTAGATAATTGTTTTCCAATCCAATTAAGTATTAACCACATTCAATTTTTAAGGTGATTTCTAAATCATCAATATTGTGAATCTAGTCCTCTTATATTAATGGTAATACTGTGGTTTTATGAATTTCTTTTTATATTACCAAATCAGATGCAATAGAATTATAATATTACATAAATAGCATGTTTAATGTACAGCAATAAAATTAGGTTGGAATAATATTTAATATCAAATTTAATATCTATCTATATGAATTATATTCATCATTTATAATTCCACTTCATTTTGATTAAATATTTCAATCTAATTTAAGCAACATCATAGACTATAAATTCATTGTAAAGCAAAGAGGTCTAATTATACATATAATGTTTACATTTGCAACTCCTGATGGAGCTCCTTTACCAATAGGCACTTAGACCTCAGGCATACCTGGGAAGGGAATATTTTAAGCAGGTGGTGGCATAGTCTTACCTTTACCCCAGGTACTGTGCTTACCAGGTGGCAAATTGTTAGCATAGTAATCAGAGTAGAATTTTTCATTTGTGTTTCCTAGGGCCACATCACACAATAAAATCAATCCTGTGTTGTTCTCTCTTGTAACGGCACAATAATTGGCTGATTTAGAAACCATATCTGCAAAATAAACACCCTGAAAGAATCAATTTAGAATTTACCTTTCCGAACATATATCCAGTTACTGGAGCTTCAGGTGGAGCAATTCTCAATCCTTAACTTAAAATACCAACAAAATTGGTTAATCTTGAACCATGCCATAAAAGCATTCTATTTCCAATGTCTTTCTTGAATCTATTATCATCTTAATCTTTTTATAATTCAAAGACGTCGAGTACATCTAAATCATAATTCTTATGGGTGTCACAATGGGTATTCTTGACAAACTCTTTGACGATTTTAACTTTATCTTCTGATGGGTCTAAATATTGCATATTTATTCCAAGTTTCTTGAAATTTTCATCAATAACGTTTGTATCATCATCCTTTTATTCTTCCAATATTTTGGTTGCTACTTAGATCTACTAAATAGATTCCAACATTTCTAACTTCTACTTTACCAATTGAGCTGTATTAATCACGGGTGCCTTCTCCCTGCCAAAATCATGAGGAATTTGACTATAGAACTCACTTGTCAATGTCTGTAAAGTTGTAGTATTATGAGACTTCTTATTCAACTCTTCCGAGATTTTCTTTAAGACATCAAATCCCTTGTTAATTGTTGAAGCTGCCAATTTGCCTAAAGGCATTTTCTTAGCATCATAACCTATTCTAAAAAATACAATATAATTTAAATTACTCTTTCATTTAATTATTAATCATCTTCATATCAAAGATTAACCTTACTAACTCTTTAATTTTTGTGTGCAACTTACTCTTATCATAAGACTCCTTTTCTCTGTCCTCTTTTAATTTTTCTAACTTCTCAGCATCCTTAGGATCTGTATTAATACTATAATCCTTGTCTAGGATTCTATAATCTCCTTTTACACTCTTATCCCTAACCTTCTATTCATATCCACTTTTGGCTGCTTCTAGACTACCTCCACATGGTTGTAAAGCTTATTACCCAGATACACCAACTCTACCCCATCTGGTAAATACAAAATATGTATCTAATTTATATATTTGAATAAGATACCTGATGATTTGCTCTTTAATAATTACACTACATAGAATTTATTATTATTATTTGATCCAATAATATTAGTTTGATTCATCATGCAGTCATATACTTTTGCTGCATCTTCATATACTACATAATTATCTCTATTATTAACAAATTCATCAACAGGAGCTTTGCCTGTAAATACAAGTTTCTTTAGATTCTATTCCTCATCTTTCTTAGCTGGAGATGGGGATTTCTTTACTGTTTTCTTTGGTTAGGGTGATGGTGACTTTTTGTTACTTTTCTTTGAATCCTTTCTTACAGGGGCTTTTTTTGGTGGAGGTGAAGGTGATGGTGAAGGAGTCTTCTATTTAGCTTTACCTTTTCCTTTTGATATGGATTAGCCCTTTGTCACTTTTGCTACCACATCTCTATAATTTATTTTATGACTTTGTACTTTTTCTTGTCATCAACTTTGTCTTCTTTTTTTGATCTCGTTGACCTTTTGGCAGGGGGAGGTGATGGAGATGGTGTCTTTTTCTTTGTTGCTTTTTTAGGGGGCATTATCAATAAGATATAAAAAATAATTATTTAATTAGAATCTAATCAGAAAAAAACATTTTATTAAATGGGTATTAGTTATCTATGATTTTATTTTCATTTTTCACACATTTGCTCTACTAAAAGGTCTAATACATTCTCTTTACACTTAATGGACTCATTATTCTATTGAATCATTAATTCATTTTACGAGAAAACAAGCATATCATGATCAATAGTATAAAATCAAAAAATATCTTTGAAAGTTAGATATTGATATTCATGAATTAGACACTTCTAAATATAATAAATTATGATTCCTCTTTTAATAAAGTTAATAATACTGTCATTACTTCATTTTGATGATCAAATAATTTTTAATTAAAATTCTCTAATAGGAGCATAATAACATATATGTTAAGATGCATTAATAATATATTTTTTATTAGACTTGATCTTTATGTAAATATTCAATATTTTTGTTGAGAAATTTAGAAATCAGGAGTGATAATTAAAATTAAGACAGAAATAAAATGAAAATTTATTATAAAATATCAATTGAATCCAATAGTTTACAAATACAATAAACATCCAATCTAGCATTCTGAGCAATCTGCTGAATATAAGATTTTTGGAATATACTGTAAAAAAAAAATATATATAGAATTAAAGAAATATAAATAATGAGAGAGAAGCAGCTATTAACTTAATAATCAACATTTATTCTTTATTTCTAAGGAAATGATAGATTTATATTTAAAAATTCACTATAAAAATGGAGAGTATTTTTACATTGTTTGATTTTTCAATTAGACTGAGGAGGAGAATGAATTATATTTTATATCGACTTAACTATTTGGATGACGTACTTTAAAAATAATCATTTAAACAACTAAGCAATCATTTAGAATGAAGAGAGTTTTAACGCAACCAGTATTAAAAAAATGTGATAATTTTTCAAGGAAAATTAATATATATTTTATAATTTTTATGTATTCATAAGGTGAATTCCTATTTAAAGATGTAAGCATATTTCTCAACGTCATCCTATTTATTGGATAATAGCTTTTATATTACATCATTTCCATTAATTTGCATGAATACTGTAAAATACTAATTGTTCTACCTATCTTTTGATCTGATTTCACCTTTCCGCAGTATTTTAATTAGAATTTCTAATCCTTTTTTAAGATGAATAGATGGTATTTCCATTATTTATGCTAACTCTAACATTTATAAAACACTCTAAATGAGTTTATTCTTAACCATTTGATTTACGTCCTCATTAGTCCCATGTTATACCGCATTACCAATAATTTCTAAAGCATCTCCTCTGAGTTCTGAATTCTGATCTTATAAAGAATTAAATAACGATATTAAGAAATTCTGATTAGACAATACTTTGAATAAGGTTTCGGTTGCAGCAAATGTTTAAATCATATTGCTACTCTTTTCTCGACTCTTGGGATCAAGAATATTTCTAATTTGTGATAGGAAGCCACAATCCAATAAAAAACGAATTTATTCTTGATTCCCTTGAAAAATACATTCAAAAATTCTTAAAATGGAAACAAAGTTGCATTGATGCATCAATTCTATCAACCTACTGACAATTCCTTGATCTATTAGTATAGTTATTCGAGAGGGTTCCCCATCCAACATATAACCAAGTGCCCAGATTGCATCATTCATCATTTTGATATTAGTTTGTGTGGGTTCGTATATAATTACTTTAGCGAATATATTAAAGGCTGGTCTTATCATTTCAAATTTTGGACTGGGTCTTCCAATACATAAATTTGCCAAACACCAGACGTAGGTTGCTTCGTATCTTAGTTCCATTTTTAATATAATTCTATCCAAATTACAGGCTTGAAGTATGCAATCTCTGTATTAGATTGAATCCCCTGCCAATTTGCCCAATATGACCATTAGCAACATTGATAATTCTGGGTTGTCATTTTGCAAAATGGACAAAGCCAGTTAAACAATTCCATTTTCAAAGATTATTCTTGAAATATCACTCTTTCCTCCTGCAAAAATGGAGATGATTTCTAATATATACAATTAATTTAACATGTAGCTTCCAATTTTATTATGTATGTGCTTCCAAATTCGATTAAATAAAAAAGGAGTGGTACAAGTTCATTAGTAAATATTTCTGCTTAATCAAAATTCTTATTAAATTATTGAAACAATAATACAGACAAGGTCTTTCTCAATTAAATTAATGCTTTATGAGCTTCTAGAATATTTTCAGATTTAATTGCTTCAACTGCATCCTTGACCGAAATCTATTCATTTGAAGTGTTTAATATAACTATTAACTGATTTTTAAGTTATTTTGACATCTCTTCCTATTCAAGCATCTCCTCATAGTTGTATATTTGTTAAATTTTTTGATTGCCACTTAATTTCTGACTATTTTTCATATTTTTTCTTTTGTTTTAGATATATAAAAAGATTTTATTAATTTTCCATAAACACTTAGATCTGCTGATTCATATTATTTGGTTTGCTATTAATTTATGACGTTGGAAATAGATTTTCAACGTTGTATCCTTTTATCAAATATACTGCGTCATCTATTGAGATTTATAGGCGATATATAGTGATTTATTTAGAATTTTAAATAAGAACCGAGACAATAGAGGCAGTTAAAAATGTAACAATATGAATCAGAAATATTTAACTTATAATTATTAAATACAAAAAGTAGCTTAGTCCTCTAAAAGTTTATTAAAAAGAAACATAACTAAAATCAAAAGATGGTAGGAACATATCCACTAAAACAAATTAGAAAAGCTATAAGAGATTGTGATTAGAATTTGAATCAGAGAAATCAGTGAATATTAAGAGGTTTAGTATTTGTTAAATGAAATGATGAAATTTATACATTCAGAACGCAAAGGTTTAGTAAGAGTATATCCATCATTCAGGGAATTATAATAACAAACGTAATTTATTACATACAATATTTTTGAAATTTGAAACCTTTTCTTAATTAAGATGCTCATTTTTGAAATTATAGTCATTTATTTAATAGGTATACTAGTATGTATGGATAAACATCAAAAACCTAAAGAAAGGTGATAATCTTTAAAAGGTTTAAGAGAACTTAAATAAGGAACTCTCAATTCATAGAACATTAAACCCCATAACGAAAATTATATAAGACAGCAAATAAAAACTTAATGCCCCCTAATAGTCTTCTAGACCTTTATAATTATGCTATTAGATTGATAACTAATATTGCTCGTTTAACTAAGTAGTCCACTAAAGTCTCCCTATAGTAGACTGTATTCACTAGGTAATCTTTTCACTGAATATGTTTAGTGTGGCTTAGAAAAGTCAGTCTTATCAAAGCACACCATTCAAAATGGTAATGTCTCATAGATGTATTAGATAGTAAAGCTCAACACATACCATGAGAAACTACAAACACTTTTGAATTGGGAATTGAAATGAGCATCATTACTAAGAGTACCAGAGATCATATTAATAATTTAAACATTAAAAAATATATTAGAATTGGTACTGGTACGGTATTTTGAGAGTAACTCTGGTACTGATATTATTTGATATGATATCTACGAATCATCTATCCTTATAGTTAATAAGTTGGAATCCAACTGATAATTTGGAAACTCTTGATTTCCTCATCAGCCAAGGAGCACTACTATGAATGATTAAAATATAATATTTACATACGTGTTACTATACTAACAATTGATACAAGAACTGATGATAATTCATTTCAGTTAAAGTGTTTGATGAATCCTCATTGGAATTCCAAGATTCCTTCAAAAAGCTCTTGGTGATTACTAAGAATATTTTATTTATATATTATAATTTATGTACTTCATCATCCACATATCTTTTGCAGCCTTTGTATTCATTATCTTGCTCTATCTATTTTATCACATGCATTTCAAAACTAACTAACTGAACTAAATAAACTAATCAAACTTATAAACAACTCAATCGAACCTTACCCTTAAGAAATCAACTCCTACGCATAATCCTCAATAACGACTCACTAGAAATTCAGGGTAATCCTCAGACTTTACACTTTAAAATACCCTCCGTCTCCATCGAACATTATCAAAAAAGGGTACCATAACCATCTAAACTGTTCCCGAATCAGGTACTTAGAATAGAAATAGTATGACTGTTGTTTCACCTATGAAGAATTTGCTTAAAACACCAACCATGACTAGGAAATAGTCTGGTTAACAAATTATACAATCTAGAAATATTATCAATCTTTAGACAAATCCTTCGTTATAGGAAATACCTGACTCTGTTAGACAGTGTGATATCAAGTTTTTAGGGGAAGTCAAACAACAAAGTCAGAGTAACAAATCGAAATCTCAAAATTCATACATAATTTATAGAGTTTTAATTAGAATTATAATTTCACAGGCTTTAATTGGGTGTTTATTTCAATTAAATATACATTTTTCAATTTCTGGACTCATTGACTTAATTATACTCCAGATATTTAGATTCTTTTAGTCAAACAGAAAGTGGATATAAATCATAGAGCTGATCCTATCTCTAGCCTTAAACATCTCTATTCTTCTACTATTTGAAATTGATTTCATTTGGACAATAACCTTCCTCGTACTCATAGCTATTGATACGATCTTGGAATTTGTGATTCTCAAGATGTAAAGAAAACCCAACTTTGATACATTACCCACATAAGTGTGATTAGCCTGTTATATTATATCATCATATAAATATAAAATAAATAAATGATTTTAATAAATGACGAAATATGTTATTGCATAATAAATCATCTAAATTGGAAATTAATATACTGTTATGATGAATTATCATAATTCAAAACCAACCAATATCTTATCTCTCTAAATCAATATTAAATACACAAAAACAAATGTAAAGAAAATAGTAATATGAAAATGACTTCAAAAACTTCTAAGAAGACGGTTCAATCTCGATAGATCAAATGCTCAAACAAAAAGACTTGGCTGAAAAACAGAAGGAAATTTGTCTCAGAAATTCAAAAACCTTCGAACTCTTTGCCACATGTAAATTTCTTATTCAACATATTTAGGTATGGAAAGACATGAAGGTAAAATTGACAACTTTGCAAAATACCTCTCCATCAAGATGCTCTTCATTGAAAAACAAGCTCTTGAATGTTACAAAGGAAATACTAATGATCGAGAATATGAAAGATGTCATCAAAGAATTGAATCATAATTACATGATGTCTATAATGAATACTACTAAGGTTTACTTAACCTCTGACTTTTATTATATATATTTAATCAATAAATTTTAATATTCTATAGTTTCTTAAAAATAACTTTTTATAAATTATCATCAAGTTTTTAATATAATCATAATATTCTCAAATATTTTATACATATTTATTAAATCGCTAATATATTCATTGTGATAAGTAGCTTAAACAACACTCTAATTCAATATATTAAATAATTACATCATCATTGCAAGCAAAGCATCTCCCCACATATCCAGAAACACATCGCTAGCAATAATTATGCGCACATGGAATCACAGTTATTGTGTTCTACAATTCCTTTCTACAGAATTTGCAAGTAAGTTGCTGTCTCAAAGAAAACTATCTCATTAGTATAATTCTTACTGTAAATTATTCTAACTGTTGAGATTTTATTTATAAATTTTTCATTTTTATTTAACTTTCGTAATTTTCATCAATCGCTTTTCTCAAAGTATCATCCATTCTTCTATAAGTATCCTTATATTCTAACTCCAACTTCTTTAGTTATTATGCCAAAGTAGAGTTATCTATCTAGTATCGTAAATCACTATTTATCAATTTTAGATAAATTATTTATTATTCCTACTCCTCTAACTGCATTTTTAATTTAACATTTTCTAGTTTTAAATCCTCAGAAATCCTAACCTAAATAACCAAAATCTCTATTTACTTGTTCCTAATACTTTTGTTCAAATTCTTGTTGTAGTCTCTCCATAATCTGGCAATCAGATTACGATTTGGTTACTTAAATTCTTTTTAAAATAGATTCATCATTTTATGTGGGTATTTGCTTTTTGTTCTCATTGGATTGCTTTATAATACTTAACTGTCTTTTCGATTTAAGTGCGTTTGTCTATCTGTAAGCTTTCTCCACACTTAAACTATTTGAGATTTCGTAGTTTATTTTTGTTTTATTGAAAAGTGCTTTTTATGATGTTGCTTATTCCAATAGAGGTAGTTTACTAATAAGCATTAGGTTTTGGAATTCTAAATTATATAATATTAATAAATTAGTCTTGAAAAATTGACTAATTAATATAAAGACATTATTCATTAATTTTGAGGATGATCTCATTCAATATTAATTACAATTCATATTAAAATTGGAACATTCTTACTATATGATATTCATAAAATTCAATTAGAACCTAAGCATAATAAATCTATAATGTGTTCATATATCTATATGATTCAAATTTATAATTAATTGATTGAGTTCTATAAAAAATTGGTTAAAGATTCTGTTGTATGTTACTAACAATTCAAAAATTAATCTTTAGAGTCTGCTTTCTCAAAACAATTTTATGTCCAAAAAGGCCAATATTTAACCATTAATTCATAAGTACAATCTACTGATTTTCTCTTAGTTTATAATTATTGAATGCCTATTAATAATAGAATAGCAATTACATTTAGAATAATCATCATAATTTTGATTGGATTACAAATAAATTTGATAGCATTTCTCTCTTTATTCATTAGTTTCCTTTTAAATGTATCGTTAGAGGGATTACATATTAACAGTTAATTATTTTAGAAACAATTACTATTTCTACTCAGCCATAAATAATAATTATTTTATAATAAATTCATAAAATTGTTTCTATAAATATGTTAAAATCATTAGATATAATGGTAATCTAATCTCTGTTATTTTAGAAAACCATTTGTTGATTGTATTGATAATTATGTTCTTAAAGATTAATTATTTTATAATCTGACATAAAAATTAATTAATCTTGATATAGCTCTATTTTAATTATTTAATAGCGTATAAATTTCTAAGATTATGACTAATACTACTTGAACATAAACTCAATAAATAATTATTGTAAGAACCAAATATGTTTTGAGATCTTTCTTTGATATTTTTTTTGTATTAAGAGATATTTTAATATTTGAGTATCATTTAAAATTCATGAAATATATAATTTTATCAATTTATATTTTTTTGGAATTCATTGATATATCTCTAGACATCTGCTTTAGCTGATTCTACACATTTATCAGTGTCACCTGATTAAATGCACTTTTCAAATTGATTTCCCATGAAGACCATCTTGAAATCAAATAATCTCATCTCTTTATCTACTCTCTTACTTCTTTTCATCATGCCTTGGATTAATTTAACAAATTACAATCTGAATATCTATTGACATCTTTGCTATTTTAGGATAAACAAGATAAATGGATAGTTTCTGGAACTCTTTGAACAAGTTATTCAAATCCTTTTTACAAAATTTCCAATTGTTATTACAATTAAGCTCCTGCTGGATTGGGTGATTACATGCCAGAATTAATTTATTTTTATTTTAATTTAATTAAAAAAATACAATAAAACTCTTGTAACCTAATAATAATAAATCAACCCTTTTTGTTTTTTTAGTATTATTATTTTTATTGAAGCATCTCTTTCTGATGCTTCAATCTTTCAGCTAATTACAGTGTATCTTCAGGAGTTAAGAATAATCCATTTCTTCTCCTATCAAATCTACCATCTAACTTGTTCTTCTATGATACTATTTATTAGTATTGCATCTTCTCATGATCCAACTTCTTCCTCTTCTAAATTAATTCCTCTTCAATCTATAATTATTAATAATTTAAATACATTTTCCAATTCCTACTTCAATTCTTTTTCATCTAAATCAAAGTCATCGTTCTTTAATTACTTCTATAAAGCATCCTTCATATTCTTCTTCTTTTTCAAAGAGTGATCCTCCTTCTCCAATCTCTAGGCTTACTTGATCATGTCTCTGGTCTTTTTCACTTAATTAAACGATAATTTGAAATCTTCGAATTTAATTCCACTGCTTAATAAATCACTCTCCAATTTAGCGAATCTTGCCATATCTTTTGGTCCTATTAAAACTAAGGTTTTTCCTTCTCTATTGATTCTGGCAGTTCTACCACATCTATGGACAAATGTATCAGCTGTAAAGGGAACTTGATAATGAATAACATTTTCAACACCCACAATATCAAGACCTCTTGCAGCTACATCAGTGCAAACCATGATATTGCTCTTTTTGGCTGTGAACTAATCTAATTTAGTTAATCTTTATCTTTATTACTATTAAGAATGTAAAGTAACAGCTGGAAGCTAAAATAATCACATAATATTATTACTCCAAGAACTTTTAGCATGGATGTCACTTTGTTTGCATATGTAATTGAATTCAAGAAGATGATGAATGTTTAATCTTCATTGTTTTTAAACCAATGATAGATGTGTAAAAGCTTATCATCCTCTTCCATTAATGATTTATAGAATTATAATTTCTCTGGGAATACTAGTTACTATGTTAAATCAATTATATAGGGTTATTCTTTGACCTTCAATTTACCTAAGAGTGATTATAATTTAGGAACAGTAGCTTTCATCTGTTTCATTAATAATTTATCTGCTGAGTTTTATTAATCATTTTTTGAAGTCTTCAAGAATTAGAATTTTGACCCAGTCTTGAATTAATGAGTTAATGTGGCAGAGACTAAAAATGTTCTTAATTCATTTCTGGTCTTTAAGGTGTATTCCTATTATTAAAAATTTTAAGGTTTCTTCTTTTATTTCTGTTTTTATTCTTTCTTTGCTTTTCTTTTTCCTTGCTAATTTTCTTCTACCTCATCATTTTCATCCTCATCCTCCTGAATTTATTCATCATCTTCATCTTCATTTTCTTCTTCTTAAATATCTTCTTCATTTTATTCTTCATCTTCTCCTTCTTCACCATCTTCTTCTTCTCCTTCCTCTCCTTCTTCTTCATCTTCCTCTTCTTCCACATCATCTTCTTACTCTTATTCTTCCTCCTCTTCTACTTCTTATTCTTCTTATCCTTCTTATTCTACTTCATCATCTTTATTTATTTCTTCTATGTCATTTTAAATTACATCATTATCAATGTAAATCTTACCTTTACCATTTTATAATTTAATAAAATCTTCATAAGACATTTCAACTGGTTTTTCAACTTCAAATGTAATTTTTTAATTGTTCAGATAAGCTGCTTCACTTTGTTCATTCATCATGGAAAGAATTCGATCTTTGTCATGAGTTATTTAAGATGGAGTTGTAATTTTGGTCATAATATTGTCGAGTTATGGAAAATGACCCAATTCCACCATTCTGTCAGCCTCGTCAATAATTAAAAATTTAATGAGATTCAAGTTTTTTATTTTGTCATTTTCTTCATTTTCAATGAAATCCCACAATCTGCCTGGTGTTGCGATTAATATCACTGGAGCTGCATTTATAATTCTTTTTTATTTCTCTTTAGACATCCCTCCTACTAAACAACCAATAGACAAGTTTGTGATTGCTTTCAAATGTTTATAAATTTACATTGCCAACTCTCTGGTCGGAGTAAGGATTAAAGCTATGATTTGTTTAGCTGGATATTTGTCCATGTTCTTCAAGATCTCAGAAATTAATGGAATTCCAAATGCCAATGTTTTTCCTGATCCTGTTTAAGATGCTATGATAATATGCTTATGCTTTTGGTAATTATTAAGAACTTCAACTTATACAGGTGTTGGAGTAGCGAATCCATTATTTTCTAGATTTTATATAACCTCTTAGTGAATTGCCTCAAATTAATTCCAATTCATAAAATAATTAAAATAATTCAGAAATGTTAAAAACTTTTAAAATTAATAATCTTTTATTTCTAACAATTTGCGAACTGATTTGAAAATATCAATTAAAATTATCTCACTCCTTAATTTCTTATATATGATTAAATTGAGTTTATTATTAATAATATTAGTATTAGATAATAAGTAATTTACAGATAACAACAGTTTAATTAGTTTGAATATATAATACTTAAATAAATTAATTTCTAAAATCATTTATTAAAATAAAAATTGAAGCCTTATGTCTAATCTAACCTCAAATAGATTTCATCTTCCTTGTATTGCTTCGAAAGAGGTTTCACCAAAAAAAGAGGCAACAACTACAAGAGCGATGAGACCATCTCTTTTCTTAAACTAACTTGATGTTCTTCCTTATTCTTTAAAAACTGAGGGAGAAGTTACAGAAAGAAATGTAGGAAATAAAATATACACTCAATGTGAGAGTGATCCACTTATCGAAATTCCTTATCATTTCCGTTTACCTAAAATAGTCCCAGCCAGACCAAAGAGATTTTAGAGATCTTTACCTGAAATTCCTATCATAGTCCAAGAATCGCGAAACGCATCTCCTGCTGAATTTGAGAGACACTAAAAACGAACTAAGTTATTCCTAAAAAGATAAGATTCAAAAATATTGGCACCAGTAACAAAATTTTAAAGAAAAAAAGTGGAGTTTAAGAAATCTTTAATTGTGATTGATATCGAAACAGGAAATTAAGACAAGCAAGAAATCTCTGAGACTTAAAAACCACTTAGAAGAATAGCACATTAAAAGACTAAATCATTTCAAATTAGAAATGAATGATTACAATATTAATCTTCTTATCTAGTCTAATTTAAATATCTATAATATTATTAGAATTCATGAGAATGATGATTATCGTATGTTTACAAAAAAAATTCTAAGAACTTCTACACTTATTCCAACATAATAAATTCTAAATATAGAAAGCAGCAAAATGGATTTCTTCTTGGTTACTTTAAACCTTAATGAATGATTAGTTTAGAGGAGTGTCAATTTCGCACTATTCTTTGTTTAAACTTTAACATCAAAAAATGCTGAACCATTTTACACCTTCCACTTGAACATTCAAAATGATTATTGAAAATAATGTAAGAACTTCATATTTTGTTTGGCTTGGCATTTAATTCGTAAATGGTTTGTAATATTATTTTACATAATATATCAGTCGTTTTTATTATTAAAAGCATAGCAAACGAAGAAATAAATTTATTCATTTCATTTTGATGAAAATTGAAAGAATAGAGAGGATGCGGGCATAATTATTTTACGAGGAACTATTAATTAAAATGAAATCATTCAAATTGAGTTCTATATATGTACATATTATTTTAGGATGTTACAACTAAATTGTGATATTTCAATATATTAAGTTTCTATTTTTTAATATCTTATAACATTAATTAAGTTCTATTTTAAACATATGGGCGCTTGCTCTTCAAAGAAATCCACTCTAAAATGCCTTAATCTAGGAAATCTTCAAAACAATCTAATTTCAGAAGGTCCTGCATCCCCCACGTTAATTTTCTCGAAAAGAAAAGATCATAAACTAGACTTTAATTACGCAGATGAGGTGATTCAACCTACGAATGTGATCGAAGAGAATTATTTAAAATATTATAATTAGATTAGACATTTGGATAAAGTCATTCAAAATTAAAATTCTATAATTGTTTAGCATATTTTGACCAGATAAATTTTTATCGCCGAAGTTTTAGACCATAACGAAAAAACTAATAATTATATTAACAGATTTTCAAACTTGTTTCATGAAAATTTATAGGAATTTGTTGAAATATATTGCCATTGCTCATAGTATACAATTATTAAGAATTATTGCAATGGAGGAAGCTTGGAATCATTAATATTAAATGAATCAAAGCATCTTACTATTCATTAAAAATAAGTTATTTTAAGATAGATTTTTAATGTCGTCTCATACTTACACTCAAAAGATATTGTTCATGGTAATTTAACATTAAAAAGCTTTGAGATTGTAGATTAATCTTCAAAATTTTAATTAAAACTGGTGGATTTACATTCCACTTTTATTTCTGATAAAAAACCTTAATTGAAGCTAAGATATTCAAGCCCTTAGTTATTACAAGCACACCTTGACCATTAAATAATCGAACCAACCTATGAGGATGATATTTGGTCTTTAGGAATCATTGGAGTTCGATTAGTTTATAACTTTTAACTTTTTACTGGAAATTCTTTAAGAGACTTTTAAGAAGATGTTTTATAAGAAAGAAGAAATTAGATTCCTTTCATAAATGATTCATTTCATTGTGAAATCCAAGACTTATTCAATTAAATGATTGAAGTAAACCCTCAAAACAGAATTTCAATGATTGAAATTTTAGAGTCTTCGCTGATGAACTCTTTTTAATTAAATTTACCACAAAAATCTAACAATATTATTATGGTTCCACTTTAGCAGATACTTTTTTATATGATGGCAGAAATGTTTAGTGATAATTCTCTTGAATATCTCGCTTAATTAAAAAATACAAAACGAATAACTCGATTTCAACTAGCAACTTTAGTTCGAAAATAATTTAAACATTTATATAACTAGTCTTAATCTTTATTTGCTGTCAATTAGATTTTTAAATCACAATAAGAATTATAGTACATTGAACTAATTGTTAGATTTACTGATAAGAGATCAATTATTACAAAAAAAAACTTAACAAAAGCATTCTAACACTTTTCCAATTAACAATAATATCTAAAACTAAATGATATTCTCCCATTTTTTTAGGAAAAGGAGATCCCACTGAAATAAGCATTCAAATAGTTCTCATAAGAAAAAATAGATATCATCTAATTTTATGCATTAATGTTTGATTATTTAAAATAATAATGAGAATCTGTGAGGCTAAGTTAATGATGTCTATTGTATTTGTATATGTTTATTGAAATATTTATTTTGAATTATTCAAGCAAATTACTTAATGTAATTTGAACTTATAAATATGAAGCTAATATTAGTTTAATAAATTTTACTAATTGTTATGTAAAGATTTCAAGAAATTATTATTTATTTTCTATATATTTTGGCTTAAATGATTAAGAATTAGATATAGGAAAGTAAGAATTCGAAGACTTCATATGATAATACTTGTTTATTATCAATTTTTTTTAATATATCTAAGATAGTATAAGTAAAGTATCTTAGTGATGCATTTTCCGATTAAAAGAATAAAAAATAAAAAATAAAAAGTAAAAATTGGAGTAGCCGAGCTTCGCTCTCGGCGCCTCGTGAATGCAAATCACGCGCTCTACTAAATGAGCTACTACCCCACATTGATTAATCTATCTAACTATCTTTTAAGAATAGTTTGAAATTTAAAATTAATCTATCGATATTAATCTTTAGAATGCTTGAGGATAAAATTCAAGACATTTAGTCAACTGTAATAAATAATAATAGTAGTTAAATTAATAATGTGAGTGCAATTTCTGTTAAATTTCTTTAAAATTAATTTTAAATTGCTTAAAGTTATATGATCATATGCAGGTTGAAAAATTATATGAAATTTTATTTTTCCATGTACCCTTATTATATCTTCATTAAGAAATAATATTAAGATCGTAAGAATATGATGAGAAAAAAAATTGTTTTAAATAACTTATAAATTTTTACAGAAGCTAAGTTGGAAAAATAAATTTTTTCTATTTAGTTATACTAATATTGTATAATGATCAAATAGACTGTTGACAATTTTAATTTATATAATCATATGTTTAAAAGTGTTAAATGATTAGACATATACTAATTAATAAATTTGCATAACAATAGTTCATAATGATATTAATACCTTTCTTGTACCCTAGTTATCTAAAAATTATCTGACAATATCTTTTCAGAAAAATGACTTTGAATTTCGATATAAGGTTAAAGTAAGAAAATAATATATTAATAGTAAAATTTTAAAACAAAAATAAATTTTAATGAATATAAAAATAAAAGTAAAAAATTGGAGTAGCCGAGCTTCGCTCTCGGCGCCTCGTGAATGCAAATCACGCGCTCTACTAAATGAGCTACTACCCCACATTGATTAATCTATCTAACTAGCTTTAATATATAGGTGGCGACATTCAATGAACTAAATTGATTTGTAGAACTAGATAATTTAATATTATATATTCAACAATGTAGATGAACTAATTAACGATCAATACTTTTTTTTGCATTATTTCTTCTTAGGAAAGTGTTACTTAAAATAATCATAATGAATTTTAGAGCTATATCTGGCATATTGAAAATCAATACTGTTCTATGGAATTTAACTGCCACAACTTCTAATTCTATTCGTTCACTTTCACTTAACTTCACTTATAAATTAGAAACAAGTAATTAGAATAACCTAATATATATAAACTTTTAAAGATATCCAATATAATGCTTTTTAAGAAGGTGAAGATATTTTATCATTATTTGAATATACATTTCTTATATTAATCACTTCAAGATATGAGATATCCAACAATAATTATGGTTTCTCCAAAAAGATACCCTGAATCTGTACTAGTATTATTAACTGTTTAGTTGCTGTTGTTGTTTGCGGGATTATTAACTTGATTATCAGTTGCACAGACTCCACATTTATTATCTGAAGTGTTCCATATATATGTGTAGCCAGTAATCAAGAAGCAATCATCGTTAGTTAATGCCAATGGATCAATTGCTTGACAAATTCCTGTGTGAACTGCACAAATTTATTATATCTTCTTATCCCAGTTGAAAATTTAGTGGAAGCTCCATTTGTATCCTAATTGGTCTCACCTGTATGAATCATGAATCATGCATGATGTTGAATTTGTAGTTGTATTTTTATGCCAATGACATCTATCTCTAGTGATGTAATAAGAATTTTAATCAATATTTGCAGATGCATAACCAGTCATCAAACTACATGTTCCCTCCAAAGTTGATGTTTAAGTGACACACATCCTTTATACGCAATTTTAGATTCTTGCGTATAAACAGGTTTCTTAAGTTGGCAATCAAGGTGAGAATTTCCACCAAAATCTAATCAATCATGATCTATACATTTTTGTAGTTCAGAGTTCCAAGAGCTGACGGTTCCATTCAAAGCGGTTGTGCAAGCAGATTCAATCAAAGTACCTACACAAGTTGATTTAACAATACATCCCCCCACCTTTTTTAGCTGTAAATTTGGTCAAATAATTGATGCATTCTTCTTCAGCAATCAATTTTAAGAGAGCAGTAAGAAAACTTTTATAGTACAAAACCTTTGCGTAATTACCCATTCATAAAGTAATCCACTTGATGAAGTAATACAACAAGCCTAATTTGTAGCTTAGTAACCAGTTCCTCTAGTGACACAAAACTTTTCATTCGAAATACATGTTGATAATTCTTATTGGCTAACATGTTTAATTTTTGGGTTCCTATTCTAAAATAATAAAATAACATATCAGACATATGGTAGAATCTTACTTATCTACTTAATTTTAATTAGTAATGTTTATGTTTCTCCTAATAGATTCTATAATGAGTAGTAATTGTATTAAATAAATAATAAAATAAATATCATAATATAAAGATTATATGATTTAAAAGATGACAATATTTGAGTTATAAGATGAAACTTAAATAGAAATATTATAATAATCAATTTTATAAATCTTATTGTAATGATAATATTAAATAAAATAACTGTAAATAATTAATAACAGTTATTTTGTAACTATTATTTTATAAGAATAGTAATGCCTGTAGTCTGGTAGCATAAATCGTACAACTAGGACATCTTCATTTTGAATTAATTATTCAATTATAATTTACTTTTACTTCAATCATTAATAAATATCAGTGTAATAATTCATTACTCAAATAAGTCAAATTCCTAAATTACAAGAACCCATAGATACCATGCAATTAGACTTGCTCTGTAATTTATGATTTATATTACCAAAAACCAGAATATATTATCACTATTCTCGAACAATTATAATTAATTTACAAACTATGATACGATCAATTGCATCCCACCTTAAAAGTGCAACTCGCATTTACTAAGCCTCAAGATACTTACCAAAATACTTGTTGTCTGAGAATGTGAAAGAAAAGTAATTAAGAGAAAATGATATGCTTTGGATAGCAGCCAATGCAGAGTAATCATCAATTCAATAAACTATAGTGATAAAAGATGTTCGATTATAGAAATTCAAAAATTCATATAAGAAGAACCATTACTAGAATAATCTCCAATTCGATTAATGGACCTGGGAAATAATTACTTCAGACACATTAACCCTAGAAAGAAAAAGACTATGCTATAACTCTTAGATGCATACGTTGATAACCTGACTTCAGAAGAAGCCTAACTCTTTCAGGATGCCTTATCCATTTATTTTGATAATACGTATTAAGGGAAGGATATGGAAAACTTGAGTTGTGAGGACAAGGACTTTCCAGAACCATTATTATGGCATATCTATAGCTTAATGATATTTGATAGACTGAGCAGTCATTATGCTCGTTATGAGTATTTGGAGTAGTTTAGGATTATCGAATTTTTTAATCAACGAGACAAAGTACCGACATATTATTATGTATAAATTTTTAGTCAAAAGTCAACAGAGTGAAGTATGTGTTTACTTCTCATCCTACACAACCAAATTCATTGACCTAGTTAATTGCTATAAGTAGAATGCTCCAAGGGATCGAATAAAATGACTACAAGTATCTTAAGTATGCTGCCAAATTATTCATCCAATCCAACAAACAAAGAGTATTTAATGTAAATATTCTAACACCACATATTATAGAAAGTCTCTTACATTGAAGAATCATTAATCTATCATTCCTAATATTTACCAAATCTTATTAAGGCTGTAGCTCAGGCTTATGAACTTGGTTTGTAAAACCCTGAGTATTATTTTGAAACTCCTGGGACTTGGTTGACATTTGATTTTGATAATCATCCTGGAATGGTAGACTTCTCATTTCTATTCATTAGGAAATTGGTATTATGTCTTATACACATGGATTGACAATTGATTTGACATTGTAATAGTACAAGGAGTATATTGCTGAAGCAAAATTGGAGGAGAATGAAGATTTTAAGAAGATTTTAGAATTATATTAATCAGCTTTGGATTATAGCAAGGACATAAGAGATTTAAGTGAAAAATTTAGAGTCAAGAAGGAGATTTCACTTGAAGAATTTTATTAATAAATGCCTATTTTCAATATTAAAAAGATAGAGGATTAAATTAATTAAATTCTAGATCACATCTTGGCTAAAAATGATGATTCTAAAGAATACTTTATTGCTTTAAAGTTGAAGAAACTCTATTCTATTTTCAGACTAACAGGAGTATTGGGACAAATTAGACTGGCTGGTGAAGATTTGACAGATGTATAAATACTTATATATTCTTATTTAGCTTAACAAAATCAAACCAATGATCAAGAATATATTCAAAGAACTCTCGCTTTTAAATGCCAATGGTTAAGCAGCAGACATGATTATTATTGCCAATTTCCAAACTTAATCATAGTATGATTTAGTTAATGAATTAATTAACCAGTATAAGGTGGAGAATGTAGAAATAGTGCCATTGTTAGAAACCTTTTCTTCATCAAACAATACTGATTCTAAAATAACTATGATTGCCAGTAGTGACACGCGATAAAGAGATGGCTTGATCTTGACAGAACTTAGAAATATGAGGGAATACAAAAGGAATCCAGAGAAGTATATTTATATGGGGTAGGGTATCACTCCAGAAAGAGGAGGTGGGCCTTACACATTGATCCATACTAAGTATTAAGCCTTGACGAGAGCACAACGAAAAAGGCATATAAGAACTATCTAAGGTCACTACTTTACCTCAGAGTTTGCTAGCGAAGATGTTGCCTTTACGTTTTTGTTAAATGGCTTATCAAATATAAATTATAGTGATGATTTCGAACCTTCCTATGAATACATGGATTTTTTGTTTGAATTAGGTAAATTTTTGGTAATAGTGTAGATAATGCTATTGGAGTTCCTTAAAGAGCAATGTAAAAGACAAAAGAGTACAACGACTTGTATGTGAAAAATTAAGTTGTCAAAACTATGGTTGAATCTTTCAATTTTGCAGGAAGCAGAGAGGTTGCTAAGCCTTTTGAAAGTATAAAGAATCAGAGAGCCATAGTTCAAGCATATTGCAATAGCGATAGATGCTCCTTCACTCACCCAGAATTAGCTTATTGGGATAGAGTTCCAGAAGAACTAATCAATAAAATAGCAAATTATTACTATAATAATCATCCCCATATGAAATACATGCTTTACATGTATGCTCTAATGGCCAGAAGATGTGACTTAGATTTTGCAAAGTAAGAAGTTGGATTGGACTCAACTAACCCTTATTTTTAAGCTATGCAAAAGGGGAGAGCAGCTTTGATGAAAATTCTAGATTAATTAGGCTTAGGTGATAATAGTACTCCAATGATTGCAATTTGGAAATAGCATCTGGGGTGCCAATTATAATCGATGAATATGGAAGTCAATTAAAAGTTCTAAACATTCAGAACTTTGAATTAATTGCAATTGTACTAAGCTAAGAAAATGGTCAAACATGGCATTTTAGAAACTGATATTGCTGTAAGCCAAAGAAAATTGAGAATATTGCAATCCACACTCGCAAACATGACATCTTTTGCTGGAAAGGGTTGAATTATTTATCTTAAGATAATTAAAATAATTTAATATCTGCGCATTTCTAATAAATTACTATAAGTATTATTTTTCAAATAATATTAAAATGATTCAATTAATAAAGATTCAAATTATTGCTATTTATACAAAACACCTCATTAAATGTATTTAAAAGACCCCTTTTAAGTTAACTAATTCAATAATGATTAAATGATAATTCATCTACTTTATGGCTTCTTAGATATTACCAATTTATTCCTAGTTTATTATGTGAATATATTCCATTTTTTAGCATAAATAATATTAATATTTTTTTAGTTAAACAAACTTAGTTGCACCAAGCAAAAAACAACCTTTGTTAGGTTGCAGAATCAAATGATTGGAAGTTAGGAATAATGGTCTTCAAAGACCAAAAAATTTATACAAAGTATTACAAATACTACAAGAAGTTTACTTGTTAAAGTTTTGTGTTAGTATTCAAACACATAATTTTGTCTTTTGATTAATTCTTTTTATGAAGGACAATTTCTAGTGAATTGGAAAATGAAGAAAGAGCAAAACGGATCATCTAGCACATATTTCCATCACTAACAGCAAACCAGTAAATGACAAGGGCCAGAAGCATAAAAAATAAGGCCTAATAGAACTTCTTATAGAATTTGCAGTTCCTTGAATACTTCTTTTGAATTTGAAGATCATTATGAAATGACAATATAAAATCATTATAATATAATTACGTAATAAAAAAAATTAACAGTTTGAATTCCAATTAACACATGTTGTTGAGAATTATTAGGATATAAGTGAATAATATAATAATTATTCTAATGACATCAATCTGTAAGATCAAAAAAAATACTTGTATATAATAAACCTTATGCTTTTAAGATTATCATAATTATATTTCTATAAAAATATTAACAACACTTTTTTTTTTAAATTATTTCTATATATTAAAATTAACACCAAAAGTTCTGAAATAGCAATATAACTATTTTGGATATCAACATAATTTTGTTTCTTTAAGGCATTTCTATCTGCTTTAAAAATTAGGAAATTTCAGTAATATATATTAGAATATTATGATAAACAATTAAATAAAATTTAATTTGATCCTCATTATATTAACATTATAAAATACTCCTGAAAGTATAATTATATGCTTATACATTTCAAAATTAATATCTTTAGTTTTTTCCTCAATTTTACCCACAAAATTGTGCTTATTAAACCTAGGAATGATTGAGAATATCTGTTATTTTAGATATATTTATTTCATTGCTTTTAATATTGTAAAATGTTTGTTTCTACTATTAATCTTCATAAGTATGAAATCTGTATTTACACTAATTTGAGCAAAGTCTAAATAATTATGGTCTTAATTTATATTTACATTTGTGCAACTATCCTAAAATAGTTTGAATGTCGCAATCGTTCAAGTAAATATTAATTAAAATTTCTAATTATTTTCACTCTATAGAAATAAAACAACAATTTAATACATATATGAGTTAAAATAATTTCGAAATTTGTGAATATTACATACTTCCATAATACTGAGTAATAAATTCTTCCATATTTATTAAGAATTTATATTAAATAACTAGAACTTACGATCTTAAACAATTCTACATCAAATGTTATTAGGGCTAGGATTTCGCAAGATGTCTGATTAAAAACGAATAAATTATCAATCATTTTTAGAAGCAAAAAAGGAAGGTAATTCAAACTCTGAGAATATTAGACTTTAACTGATACTTTTTGGGAGGATAATCACAATATTAATGATTAATCAACAAAGAAATTAAATTAATTTAATAGGATATATTAAGGGAGCATAAATTTCCTTATTAAATTTATTATTACTATTAGATTCTAATTGATTCATCCGCACATATATATATATATCTCTGTTTAAAGTTAAATGATAATATAATTGAAGGTAGACTATTCTAATTTCATTTAATTATAACATGTATACAAGAATATATAATCTTATCCTTAGATTAAGAATTTATTCCTATTTTTAATTAGCTTTCACAAGTTTTATTTACTAAATAATTTAATAGTATTGATAAATTAATGGCTTCCATTCCAGTCTATTGTAAAAATCATACTCAGAAACAAATTTCATTTATTTGTATTTCCAAACATGAATGTTAAAGAATGCTATGCTCAGATTGCCTTTACACTCACAAAATTCCATTTGATAAAACCCTAACAATATAAAAATTTTAAGAACGTTTAAAAGCAAGACTACTATGAATTATAAATTAGTGATCAGTCTCAATTAAAAGCTTAAAGGCTTAGATTCTAAATAATGATTAACGAATTGGAATAGAAATTTAAAGTCTTCATTTAAACTATCAGATAAACAACACTAAAAATGTATCAAGAAATTGAGTCCTAAGAGTAATTTTTCTACAAATTTTTGACAGATAACATAGCATTGAGCAATACATCTTGGCATGATATCAATATTTTAGTTGACATTTTAGAAGGTGTTAAGTTAACTGCTCATCTTAAAATAAAAGAATAAAAATTATTTACACTTCAAAAACTCAATTCAAATCTATCAAACTAAATCTCTAAATTAGATAAAAATCTATAAAATTTTACTACGACATGGTATTTGTTATTCAGATAATTAGTTAAAAGATCGATTAGATGATAGAGAACTAAGTTTAGAAAATATAAAAAGATATTATGAATAAAATTCACATTAAATGGAAGGATGGAATTTTCAGAGAAACTGGATGGTACTGATACAAAAATATG